GATCAGGTAAGCTAAAAAATGTAAACAACAGACTCCGCTGCACTCGGCTAGATTAAAATGCCATGTAATCTGTTTTATGCAGCATGACATGGATTCTTGGCGATTGTTAGGTTTAAATGTCACCAATTGTGGTGCTACATTCAAACGGTGATCGCCAGAGGGGAGGACGTACTCGATTACAAACACCTACCTGATTCTTTTTTACAAATTATCTCGATTTCACAGTACATCCGACCTATTTAAAATCTTCACTTCATGTAATGCTTAGTCAAAGTAACATGTATCGTTGTCATTTTTACTTCTATAGAGAAAAAAATTGGCAAAAACATAAACAGTTGATGCACGCTTTGACATTTCTTTGTAAATCATAACAAATAATTATATTGCCTCCAAACTTAAAACTTAATTGCGTAACAGGATACTGTTTTCAGCTATAAAGTAGGACATTTACGGGATCGTGAAAACGAATCGGAGTATCAGACATGATATTATTTATTAAAGTGGTTTTCTTCTTTATTTCGACTACCATCGCCATCGTAAACTCAGATCGTTTATAATTATTCCACACAGTTTCTCGATACCCAGGAAGCAACCTATCAAAAGATTCGATGATGGGGCGTTAATAAATCTCAGGGAGGAAATGAGAATGTCTTAAAAAGGGAATGTTTGTGTTATTAATCTACATCTATAAATGTCAATACCCCATCGGAGTTGAATTCTACGTCCAATAAACATTATCATTGCCAGGAATTTAGAAAGAAAGTTGAAATGATTATGGTTCCCACTTGTTTTTCTGTCTCTCTGTCTCTCTGACTTTCTGTCTCTCTGTCTGTCTGTCTCTGTCTGTCTCTGTCTGTCTGTCTGTCTCTGTCTCTCTCTATCTTTTCCATCTAACCTCCCCTCCCCCCTCTCTCTATCTCCCGTGTTTTACCCCCTATCTTCATTTCATTGCCTAAGGCTACCCGATTTTCGGAAAGCACATGAAAGCCAAAAACTCTTTGACATTTCATAACTTCAAAGACAAAATTCTATATTGTAAATAGCAGTCCTCTATAGTCAGCGACAAAGCGACTATAAAATGGGTCAATTCACCCGACGGGCAAGAATATACCCTACTCTAACTTCACCCTCGGTGTCAAAGATATCAGCAGATAGCCACAAGAATATAGAAAGGGGGAATCAAGAACCGAGCATCGTCGGGACACGGCGTCCGGACGACATCGGCAAAAATCCTTGGGAGGGGGCAATTCACCCCTTCACTAACTTCGGAATCACTGTGTCGGAATCCGGAGCTGAGCTTCGGATTGATGTGTTTGTTCCCCCGCCCCTCATCTGAACATGCTCAAGGAGAAATCGACGCCCCTGCATATACGGTTAATGAGATATTTAGCAGACAACACAAGCTGCGATCGGTAGCCATCGGGATGTTTTGTGCGGAGGTTTGGCGCGCATCGACTTGTGGCGACGCGATTCACGGTTGCCCTAAGGGCTATAGGCTCCGGTCGTCTGCGCCCCATTTACGTTACAAACTATCGATCAGTGGTAGACGTTGCCAGGGTTCTGAGTCGACAAGCTTGAAATAAGGAAGTAGTACTGTAGTCGAGTGACATAAATCATACTAGTGTGATTGTGATGATATCAAAGAACTACTTCCAATGAGAACATCTTCAGAATGGTAATATGCCACCTGCCGATTGCTGGTTGTTATACGATTCACTTTGAGTCAAATCTCCAGAAAAAACAGGTAGGCCTATAGGTCTACAAAGACAACTACCAAAACAAAAGAAGATAAAGAAAGAGAAATTGTATACAGTGTGAGTCCAACAAAAAGTTTACACCTAGAAAATTACTAATTATTTTTAAAATCATCACTATTATACATCTTATAGTGTTTTATCTCAAATCATTTGGTATCATTTTTGTGTGGTATATGTTCACGCTTGGATGAACAGGAGGCATTGTTTGCGAGAGTGTAAAAATCGACTTGCGCCAAAGTTGCTCATGTGATATTTGAATTGAACAACTGGGATTTGGGTATTAATTCGGTCTTTGCAGTGCAGATCCAAGTAACATCCCTAACAAAGTTAATCATGCCACAAATATATATAAGGGGTAAGAGGACACTTTTTTTTTTTTTTTTGGTCCCAAAAAAATCGCAACGACTCAGCCGACCGCTGAATAAGCGGGGGGGGGGGGGGGGGGGGGGGTAAGAGGACCCTTTTTTGGGGTCTCAAAACAAGTGCAACGACACAGCCGACCGCTGAATAAGCGGGGGGGGGTTTGTTTTTTTAATTAAAAAAAATGGAAAGGGGGGGGGGTGTTATGGGGGTTGAGGGGGGGGGGGTTTACACACAGAAAAATTTCAAAGGGGTGGGTTTAACCCTCCAACCTCCCCCCCCTCTGAGTATACGCGCCTGCATGCCACAGGAAATGGTACCAAGTGATTTGGGCTAAACACTCTTTCATAAGATGTATAATAATTATTTACTGTTCATATATTATTTTAAAAATAATAAGTAATTTTCTAGGTGTAAACTTTTTTTTTGACTCACACGGGTATAAAGATCAACTGCCCTTTAAGACCACTATAGGTCAATAAAAACTGTTTTTCCTTTTCTTATAAGTAATGAGTTTGCTGAGAGCCAAAAAGTTAGCTATAACCGACATAGTTTATACAGGCATATGGTTTTTATAGCATTACGGTCAATTCATGTAAAATGAAGCTGAGGCAGCACTTAAGATATTACATTCTCCATTCTTTATCATTATAATTTTCAGAATGAGTGTAGGCTTCATGCATTTTCCCTTTAAAAGTATAAAAGGCAGCTATAGCTGCGATACCCTTACCATCACCGTGCTCAAACAACTATTAAAAACCATCCCAACTTCAATGCTCACATCCCACAGGCAATATTAATATCCGGCATTAATATTCTGACATCTTGAGAGGGCTTAATGTAGAGTTAGAAGGAAGAGTAAATAAGAAGGATGTTTGCTCCTAAGAGGGGATAATGCATCACCCTCGGGAAATACTTCCGGGGTATAGGGGGAACCTCAAGGAGTCACGAGTGGTCATAAACCAGAGAGCTTTGACATTTTTCTATATAGGCTACGAAGCCCTAAGTAACAAGAATTTGGGCATGATTTTGAAGGAAAAGAGGGAGAGATAGGGAATGTTATGAGAGATGGAGTACCATTAAGGAGAGTAGAGAGAGAGAGAGAGAGAGAGAGAGAGAAAATGGAGCATTAAGGGGTGATATAAAGATAATTATGAGGGGGGAATATAGCATCTGAAAAGAACATCTAAGAGCAGTGGAAGGAGTAAGAGAGGGGAAAGGGCCCGAGAGAACGAGGGGGCAGATGAGAGAAAGAGAAAGAGAGAGAGAGAGAGAGAGGGAGAGAGAGGGAAGAGTTGATACAGTGGGAGGGAGTGAGGAGAGCCTGATGGGGTAGAGGATGGAGGGCTACAAGAGACCGATGAGCAAAGGTGCGTGAGGAGGGGGATCGGAGGGGCTGCAGCCCCCCCCCCCTGTCCCCAAAGACGGAATGTATTCCTTGATAATTTTCGTGCAACCACCAGCTCATTTTTGGACAAACGGAGTGGTCCGTTGTACTTTTGGTAATTTCTTTCATGTTTTACAATTTCAGTGTCCCTTTAATAAGGCGTAAACTATTTCTTCCAAAAAACACACACGAAAGATGCGTCAGCACCGGACGATAGTGGGCGCACGAACACCAATGGAGTAGGGTAGGCCTATACCTGGTGGAGAGAGATGGGGGGGGGGGGGTGCGATATAATGATAGGGGATTAAGAGGTGGCAGCACCAATAAAGCCTTTTTCCTAGCTCTGTCCACATTCATATAACATTTTTTGTTGTTGCTGCATTCTATTGTAAATGTTTCTCTTTAACTTGTACGCTATGTTTTGTATTTTATATGTTTGTTGTGATGTTTTTATGATAAATGAAATATAGATCAATTCAATCAATAATAAAAAAGATGATACCTCGTGGGCGAGTTCGTTTATCTGAGATTGGAAGGAGGAAATCCAGTAGTCCTTCAAGCAAACCTCAAGAAGTTCTTGAATGTGTATGCCAAGTTGTTGTGGAAGTATGGTGCTATATACAACCATAAAACAAAAATATATTCCGACATGCATGTATAGCTTTTATACAAACATATCTTTACAACTTACGGTAGCCTATATACAAATAAAACCATCACGTCAAGTAAATGATGGATGTAACTACGAGTATTATTTTTATTAAGTTTAAGTTGATCCTGAATCATTGTAAAAGTGAGTTGTATGACTTAATAATTGTATGACACTTAACAAACATAAAGCCTTCTCTTTCTCCTTCGGATTGAAAGAAAATAGTCATCGAATAACCATCATGGATATGACTGCGTACCTTTACAACATTGCCCAACACTATTCTTATCACATTTATAAAGTACTGAAACTTAACATCGGCTCAGCTAGACATATTCTTTTTCTTCTTCGTGTGCACTTGGGTCCACCGAGGGTCTATTTGACGCCTTTAGCTATTGGAACCACTTAATTAATTGTTGTCCTTTTGCTTGAAAATATGAGTTCGTGAAATACAATATTATTTCTATTGCCAAATGCAATTATGAGCCTGGGTGGCACGTCTCTTTATAGGACCGCGCGTGCATACGGTGCATTGCATTTTCTTTTGTGCACAACAAAAGAAAAGGGCACCATGACTATAATGCAGACAATAATAAAGACACCCTCACCCCAACGAAATCTCTACCCCAGCCTACTTAACCTGCGGTGTAATCCTGGATTAAAGAAGAAAACAAAAGCCCGGATCAAAAGCTATAGCTGATTTGGTAGTTTTGCTTTTGTTTTGAAGCGTTAATTAGCGAACTAGCTGCAAAAAGGAGCTGCACGCGTGCCTCTAGTTTAGCTTTCACAATACAAACAATAACAACAGCAAATCACATGCGCACGCTTGGAAAGCCACTGCGGGAATCGAGTTCTAAACGTACCACGACGTCACTTTAGCCTAATTTTAACTTTTTCCAGACCTTATAAGCTGATATCTAATCATGTCGCGGAAGGCGATTCAAGAATTTGAAGCTCGACGGAATGATTATAGAGGTGGATGGATGAAGGGAGCCAAAGGGAATGAGAAAGTTATGGTAAGGATTGAATTTTGAAGTCGAATGAGTCTGCATCATAAAGCCTCCCACTGCTGCACCCCCTACTGAAGCCCGGGTGTTGGGCCGCGGGCCTTGGCGGACTGGGCTAGGGTTGGTCGGTTTGAAATTGAGGTGTGACTCGCAAGAAGCTTTATTCATGCCCTTCGTCAGGATATTTAAAAAGATTGCTCCTTGTTTTTTTAAAAATATTATACATTAAAATGCACTTTGGTAGCATTGCCAAGTGTATAGACTCCAGTATCATGACATGTTTGAATGGAACCACTTCCTTGGGCTTTAAAAAAAAAAAGTTTGTCAATTAGATCTCAGATAAACTGAAGATTGAACTGATTTTTTGAAGAAGAAAAGAAGTAGGATGTAGATCCAGTGGGAATTGTAAAAATTATAGCAATAATTTGTAGATAAAGAAATATCTATAAGGTAAATGATCAATGGTGGCAATTGGCTTTGAGTTTGACACATCCTCCCTCCCCTGGGGCATTATATACATTGTATTTGGAGTTGTCTGCATATTAATTTGTCCATCCGAAGTAGGTGGCAGGGTCAACAGATTTTTTTATGGGGGGGGGGGGGGGGTTTGCTTTTTTGTTTTAAGTGCCTAGATCTACATGTATAGTGTAGCTTTAAAAATGTTAGACTCGTTACAGCACAACATCTACAATGTAGATCTAGAGCAACTTTCAGCTCAAAGTACCGGTAGTTTTTTTGGCAAGTCTTTATGTTGGTTAAACTTAGTGTCTCGGTAACATTGTTGAAGGTTGATTAAAAAATTGTGTGATTTTGGTATGAAATGTTACTTATTATCTTCCTTCTGTTGTATTAGCCCTCTAACATGCAAACAATCCTGAAAACATTCTCAAACCACAAAGATATTAATGGTTTTCTAAGAAGGCGTCACTGGTCAACACCCTCTAACAGTGATGAACAGTGGTAGTGGTTATTTAATAGTAAATTCTCCCAACCGTTTCCCATGCAAATAGACAAAAAACAGGCTTTTAAAAATCTGTCGACACCTAAATGTCTGGAATGGTATAAAGAGCCAATTCATTGCTTTGTGACGATTTACATTCACCTAAAATGTAAGTAAATCGTAATAATATAGTTGGAAGAATTAAGGTATCGATCAGATCAGTTTTTCCCAATTTTTATTGTTAATAATGGTCCGTTTTTCACTCAAACAGTTTTTATCTGGAAGTTTTAACAATTGATGAATAATTGATTTTAGATCTTTGCTGTGACTTGTTCTATTTAAATGTTATATGACATTGATTGTTGTCATGTACGTTTTCTGCTATTTATTTAAGTTAGTATTGTCTGTTGGGAGCCAGGGGAGTACAAATAACCAAATAATTCCCCTGGCTCTCAACAGAGAGGTTAAATTATATTACATTGTTATGTTATTTATGTTATTTGTAGTTACTGTCTATGATATGTTAATGTATTGTTATATTTTATACAAATGTGAGCTGTAAGACGATTTTTATGCCTTCATTTTATTTTGTGCATGACAATAAAGAAATTCAATTCAATTCAATTAAAAAAACTTTCAGATTATCTTTAATTGTACATGTACATCTAGCATTGAAGTCACTACCTTAGCACCATTTTCTCTCATCTAATGTAATTCATTATACATGTAGTCTCATTCTCCTTTCATTTACATTTACATTAACAGTTGACCAACAACAACCTGCCCAACTACACAGTGAGGTCACCAACATCCAGAGGAACCCAGACGAACCAGGCAGAATCCAGGACCTGGTCCTCCTCCCCTCCACGGAAGACCCCATCCCCAGCTCTGCATTACAGAAGCAAGTCACCGCAGGAGAGAGCAATGGATGCGCCCGCGCCCGTACAAGGATGCATCTGTTACCGGGAACACACCAGCGTGGCTTGTTGCTCCTGTGGTCTCATGTTAGTTGGAAGGGTTAGGATGCAATGCCCCTGTCATCCTAACACCATTCATCTCATGGATGTTGAGAGGTGTCCCGAGTGTTGTAGCGCCACCCTCACAGAGCTGAGGACCACTTGAAGGAAGTCATAACTGGACTAAGTACTGTTGACAGTTGTGTGTCATTTGATGAACCTGTACTGAACAATGGAGATTTTGCTCAGATTTGTCTGTCCTGTGAGGTATCATTCATTCCTTAGATTACCTACAGATCTAAATGAGTAACTTTTATTTATTTATTTTATTTAAAAGTGCTTTCTAAAGTATACCTTTGGCAAATTGCTTTCTGACTAAATACAATAGGTCCATATCCAACATTTCAGACACTGATTTTTCTTTATTTCTCAAGCAGTTTAAGACAACATGTAATGTACAGATCTTTTTCTTTTTACACCCCTTTGAATAAATCTAGTTTGCCCTTCAACTTTTATTAACATTTTGTATTACATGGATATTTAACATGCAGAATTGTTTACAACATGAAGGTCATAACGTCCTTTTCATGTTTGTTTTGTTGTAATCATGGCTTTGGAGAAGAGAAGAAAAAATCAAAATTTTCGATCAATCCATTTTGTTCTGCTGCTGCTAATTTATTGCTACAAGTATGTTACATGTATCAAGAAAATACCTGCAAATTTGTAAATATTCTTTGCACACAAATAGCAAAGTAAAGCCTAGAGTAACTGTTTCATGTAGATAACAAATATCTTTCAAGGTCAAGGTCAACATTTGAAGGTCAATTTTCCAGGACATGCAATTTCAGTTTTTGTCAACTGATTAATTAGAGCTGATCAGCTCAGGCCAGTTCAGTTTTATGGAGGTACTAGTAAAGAAAAACAATATCCTGCATTGTGGTTGCCATGGTAAAATGTCATCAGTGGTAGATATGAAAATACCAGTACAGTCGAACTAAGGTTAATATACAAACTAAATTCATATATAAAAATCACAATAACTTCAGGACTGCAAATATTCTTGTGTTTGGAAGAAAAAGCAATGTTGCAACAAAGAGATGTCTATGTTTCATTTAATTTGTATCTTTTCTACTAGGCTCTCAGAGAATACATGTACATGTGTAGTTGTGCATGCCAACTGCTGAAAATAATGACAGTGCCTTTTGAAAATGATTAACCCTTCGCCTTACCAATGTTTTCTTCCATTTTTATAAGTTTTTGACCTATTGCATCATGAGAAAGATAACATGTGTACATGAAGTTTTCTTTTTTGGTTTTCAAATTTCATTTGAACATTATTGAGTTCATCATGTTAGTTTTTAATGAGCATTACATTTCACGCTTATGTGAAATCAAAATCAGTTGAATTTTGTACATAAAAAAAACATTGATGGATAGAAATAATCTTAAAAAGTAGTACCAGTACAGAGATACATGTGCAGTATATAGTGTATTTATATAATTACTCCTTTGCTTTGTTTTAAATACCTTGGTTACATGTACATGGAGAACCAAATGATGACAAAAAGTCAAATATTGTTTTCATTCAGTCTTGAAGTTTATTTTTTCAAAATGCCGACACGTGTTTACTCTCTATGCATAGACAGTACGAATCAGGGTACAAATACAGGTTCTAGGTTATCCCCTGGACAACCACCCTGCGGATAACCAACCCTGGGATAACCACCCTTTATGACGACTACCCCCTAGGACAACTACCCTGGGGGTTGTCGTCCTAGCGGGTGGTTGCCCTAGGGAGTAGTTGTCCTAGAGGGTGGTTATCCAGAGGGTTAGGTGTCCGGATAGGACAAATACATTGTATAGTTTTGAGAAATATTGTGTAAAAACAAACAAGACCAAAGTAATGTACATCATGCCGAAGTACTGTACCTCCTTTTTATGTATCAATTTTTGTTTTATAATAAACAGATTATATCGATTAAATATTCTTTTGTTTTGTTCGGATATATTCACCAATAAGGGATATTGTGTTATGAAAAGTTATGTTAGAAAGTACAGATGGAGATGAAATGATTGAGGTAAAAAATGAGGGAAAGAGAGAGAGAGAGATGAGGGAAAGACAGAGAGAGAGAGAGGGGGGAGAGAGAGAGAGGGGGAAGAGAAAGAGAGAGGGCAGGGGTGTGACTTATGACAAAGATGGATAGTTGTTACTGTATACAAAAGAAATTTCAAAGAAAAGGAGAGAGAGTGAGTGAGGCAAGGGGGTGGGGTGGCAGGAGATAAAATAACACAAAAGAACATGGGAAGGTGTAAAAATGAAATATATAGAGAAGGTACATGAATACTAAAAATGTATAATCAGAAGGCATATCAAGAGTACATGTAATTTTAATTAGAAATGGGAGGGATATAGTGAAAAGGACGTGCATGCCAATACCTTGAACTTCAGTGCAATTACAAAAAAGCCTTTACTCTTCAAAAAAACACTATTAAAAGTTTAAAACTGCATGTACCGGTATATATTCCTGCATTTAATCTTGTTCATTTATTTCAAATCCCCATGTTAAAAGAATTACCCGTATTTGAGATGATGGCCACCATCATTCAAGTTGCTGCACAGACCACCTGTCTAGATAAAGACCATATGTTTTGTTTCCCTTCAAATAAAATAAGTGTTTCTCATTGAAACATGCACTAAATAAACTACATAAAGACCATGTACCTTTTTTTTGTCTCCCTTGAATGGTCTTTATGTACAGGTTTCACTGTATTCATATCTAAAGCTAACTTATTCAAAAGCATACCTTAAGACAGATAGTGAACTGTAAGGTGCCATCCCTGTCACATTGTTCCATCTAAGGCTAATAACAGTAATATTCGCACCACCAAACCAACCATATACCATTTCTAGAACAACCGATTCTTTTTGTTCGGTATACAATGTAATTTTCTATTCAATATGTTTTTGGCCAGGGCATTGTTTCACGATAAAGTCATAATGGACAAGTTCACAGACATCCCATTGAAAGTAAACACATGATAAATTTAATACATGCACTACCATGGATTGTCTGCTAAATTGTACTTCCGATGGTTTTGTGAACTGCTACCCAGGTGTCAGTTTCGTTGGTATGGCGGGGTATATCCTGTTAACAAAAGTTTGTTGCAACAATTATGACAGATCATATTTCTGTTTACTAAAAACAAGCCAAAATATCATAAAAATCAATTTGTTTATTACTTTATTCCACACTTCACCTGGCAAAACCTTTTGGCTAAATTATACTAAAGCCTTTCCTTATCTTTAGCATTAATCAGATAATGTAGCTTTGTTTTGTTAGAAAAGCTTACAATTTATGTAGGGCACTATGGAGATCAATATCTGATATCTAAATAAACAAACGTGGTCATATCCATTGCCCAGAAAGAGAGAAAACTGATTTGTTTATCAAGGGTATCATACAACATGACAAGGTGGTTTTGTCTCTACATGTATCAATTATAAGATTTATAAGATGATGACATGGATCCTAATCAAATGATTGGTTGAAAGCGTACACGTGACCAGACATTTATCTTGCCTAAAGCGTAATTTGGATAATGACCGGTCATTATCCAAATCATGTTATAAAACAACAAAAAAGCAATCTTATTAAACAAATAATACATATCATTTTGTTCAGGGATTAGTAAAATTAAATTACCCACACCTGGTACCTTCAAAATAGTCTAAACACCCTCGGCTACCGGCTCGGGCGTGTTAGACAGTTCCGGAGGTACCTTCTTACTAATGCCCTCACTGTTGTGTATTATTTGTATACTAACTACCAGTACTAAACATTACTGAAAAAAATGACATGATAGATATTTTATTTAACTCTTACACTGCCATGAGACTGCTAGCGCGCTATTGTTATAGTGCCATGTGCACGCGAGCGTGCTATCGATTGAAAGCCACGTTCATGCTAGCGAGCCACCGCTACGGTGCTTTGTGCGCGCTAGCGCGCAGATGTAATAACAGTTATTGTTCATGCCCATTGCACCGTGTTGAGTGCTTTTGCAGCGCTATTGAAAGTACCAACGCGTGCATCAGATTATCGGCTTTGGATTACGCGTCTTTGTATACAACAGTCAGATTGGATTTTCTCGAGTAATTTAGAGATTTGTTTTTGATATCATATATCATCATTATGCCTCCCCATCGCATTGGATTGGTTCGACAACTCACTGATAGTGCTTATTTACTTCAGCAAAATTACAAATTCATGAAATGATATTGGTATCAATGGAAAAAGGGTGAAATTTCCTACAACTCTCATGTACAATGTTTGTTTATACAACATACGAATGAGAAGTTATAGTGGATCAAACATAGTAAAGATTTTAAAAACACGCACTTGAACCAACCCTAAAATTAACTTGGCACGCAGGGGCTTTGTTGCTGGCACAATAGAGATTAGCACTGTGGCACTGGGTGCATTGTATGGGTGGCAGCTTAAGAGTTAACTATTTTAATTATACATCACCATAAGAGCAGTTTGAATCATGAATGTCCCTACATGTCGTTATTATCACCATCAGTCACTTATCGTTATAATCTCACGTGATGTTCACACTTTTCATTTTCCCTGTCTGTCTCATGACCTTTCAGTCTAGTAGGCTGTTAGGAGTCATGGGCTGTAGCCAAATGTCATGTGTTCAAACTGCTCACCCATCCTGTGCTTTGAAAGTGTTGCATATTCATCTTTCATCCACTGATTTCACTCTCTAGTTGAGATTATCACCATCACAATTCGTCTCATGAACGATCTTCAGTTTTCTTGAGTCTTCATTGGATTCTCTCCATGCTCTTCATTATCTGATGGTGCTATACATAGAACAGTCTACTCCTGAGAAAGATGGCAGCCTGTTGTTCCTGGTGGTGTTCTGCATTGGAGCATACACCCTGATCTGCCTCATATGAGTGTCCCTGCCATTCTGATGGTTCGACAAGGCAGCGATCTGTATCATGAATGTCCTGATGGGTTTCCCGTCCGAGTCTGCCAGCCGGATCGAGATCCAACCACTCGGCTCACCGAGTTCAAGCAACTCTACTTCCTGGAGGTCATGGAAGTTGTTTCCAGCGCGGACAGAGATCTTGTTTGGTGTGTAGCTCTCATCTGATTTGAAGTCTGCGTAGAGGGCGACGCTGTGGACAGTTGTTTTGCGACGGAACTGGATGTTGACAAGGTGTGGTTGTATTCCATCTGATTGCCAGTAGGTATCTACAAGAGGGAAAAAAACATAAATGTTGCAAAATTATTAATGTTCCATCATTTTGGTGCTTGGTATCCATACATGAAAACCTAATACAAAACTTACAAAATGTAAAAGCATAATGAACCAATATGGCTTTCAGCTAAGGGAAAATATCTGTTAGGCATATTTCATTTACAGATGATAAAAGCAGGGTTCCACTGGATGTAATTTGGATGGGGGACATTTCAGGGAAAATGTACTGGTATTGGAGAGGGGACAATTAGGGTTATGTTGCACATATTATTATCATTATTATTATTATTATTATTATTTTTTTTTTTTTTTTTTTTGGGGGGGGGGCGGTAAAGTCTTGAAAGTCTGGCAAATAAGTTACACAAGTAAAATTAAATAGGATCTGACTTTTAACCAGTAAGAATCGCGTTTGGGAGTTGCCTTGGGGTGCATTTATCGTGCCTTGCCACTCAGAATCAGCGTTTCTATATGTACATATCGAAACCCACTATACGAACGTGATTTGCGGGATGTACCGTTTATCGTCTCTTCACAATTCAAAATAAAGTCCTTGTCTCTGCGCAGCTGCTTTGTGCCATTTGACCCGGAAAGCAGACAGTTTCTCGGAGGTCAACTAGATGGACGAGTACACACACATGCTTGTACAAAAACATTACACGACACATGCTCCGAACTGGAAATTAGCCTGGGAAGGTTCGATTTGTATGTGGGTTCAAAACAGCTTTGCGTTTATCATGACTCAGAAACGTGGTTCTGGCTGTATGTCACATTCAATAATGCATTTTTTTTGGCGTTACAATATGCCTATATCTAAAGACGGTTGAAAAAGGCTTTGCGTGTATCTCTTTCAAAATTTGCCTGAAATACGTTTGAAAACGCTGATTTTAGGCAGAAAATTGGACAATAAACGCACCCTTGGATGTCTTGAATAGCTTGCTTTGCTTATTTGCAGATCTTACCGGTTGAGTTGTCTCTGAGCTGATCAACTCCAAATCCTGGCTTGCATGATGAGAGGGACCAAACAGCTTGGGATCCTATCTCCCTTAGTCCAGTTGTAGTCAGATCCACATCATCTATCTTATTCCCAAGACTTGACATATTGACAGCGCTCCTGTGAGAGTTAAAGAAAATGTGGTTAAGATACAATATAGGTACATAATGTATACAGCCCAAGAAATCTTGGTCTGGTCACAAAACCTACCCCAAGTCATGACTATTTATGATCTTAGGTGATGTCATGAGGCTACCAAACTATTACTTGCAAAATGCAAAATAGATGTTTGTATCATTTGTGATACCACTCTCTTAGATATTTACTTTTAAAAACAGTTTACATTAAATTAAGCCTCATAACCTCTTAAGTAACTCAGTTTACAATCTGATGGATCGTAACGAAGAACACACATAGCAGCATTATTATACTTTTTGTCTATAAAAAACTGTTTAGACGTCCTCTATTGTTCTCAACATTTCAAACACTACTGTACAAAACTCAACTGAGTTCACTTAAAATCGGTACTTTAGTAACAATTGATGACACCTAAATAGCAGTAAAATACAATCTTTTCAACGTTATACCAATGTTAGAAAGAATACTTTGAAAATTCAAATCATGAGTCTACTGTCGAACGTGCCGATCCGCCACTTCATATTAATTGTGTGCATTAGTGTGCAATGTGTGCATTGTGTGCAATTGCTGCCTCTCAGCACGTAGTACATCAATAGAGGTCAATACGCCATTATGCATTAGAATGGACTCTATGCTTTGCTGGAGTGACGTAGAATATATTTTTTTAGCAATGAGCATGAGTATTACAATCATAAATTTGTTGCTCATCAGGGTTTTGTGAAGAGGGTTGTCGCTACATGTACATCATGATATTATAGACTACAGTACATGTAGGTCGCAGACAAAGATATCTGTCATGGATTTTGGGAAGAAGAAGAAGAAGGAGGAGGAGAAGAAAAAGAAGAAGAAGAAGAAGAAGAAGAAGAAGAAGAAGAAGAAGGAGGAGGAGGAGAAGGAGGAGGAGGAGGAGAAGAAGAAGAAGAAGAAGAAGAAGAAGGAGAAGAAGAAGAAGAAGAAGGAGAAGGAGAAGAAGAAGAAGAAGAAGGAGAAGAAGAAAAAGAAGGAGAAGGAGGAGGAGAAACAGAGGGAGAGGAAGAAGAAGAAGAAGAAGAAGAAGAAGAAGAAGAAAAAGGAGGAGAAGAAGAAGAAGGAGAAGAAGAAGAGAAGAAGGAGAAGAAGAAGAAGAAGGAGAAGAAGAAGAAGAAAAAGAAGGAGAAGGAGGAGGAGAAACAGAGGGAGAGGAAGAAGAAGAAGAAGAAGAAGAAGAAGAAGAAGAAGAAGAAGAAGAAGAAGAAGAAGAAGGAGAAGGAGAAGGAGAAGACGAAGAAGAAGAAGACGAAGAAGAAGAAGAAGAAGAAAAAGAAGAAGAAGAAGAAGAAGGAGGAGGAGGAGGAGAAGAAGTGGGAGGAAGAGAAGAAGCATAGACTTGGAAACCTTAGTTTTACTTTTTGCATTGACACTGCTGCGTCGTCTAGTTACTGCTCGGAATTTTACATTTTGGGGAATTGGGCTCACTTAATACTCCAGCCCCCTAGTCATATTGTGAATAAGATAACAACATAGTCTATACAAGGAAAATATGATCGAAAATTATTGTCAATATCAAGATAAATTTTAGGTGCGCAGACATATCGTAGTGCTACCCTTATATTATTAAGTTCGTACACAATTCTTAATCTAAACAAGATTGGCCAACACCAGTTTTAACCTATGGGACCACACGAGCGTTTCTGTTAATTAAATTTCCCAATATTTTTCATTTTGAATAAATTCGTTAAATAAAGTGGACACATCCACAAATTGATGAATCTCATACTTCATTCCACATACACTGATACATGATTATTCAATGAAATTGGTATTTATTTACCTTCAACTCTGGGACTCCTCGTACCGGTAAAAATCAAAAATTCGTGTGTATGACGTCATGAATGCAAAATAGTCTTCAATCGAATCGTTGTTCTTTATGTTGGATAGAAGGAACCCAGTCAGCTTTGAGTTATATAATCGTGATCGTGGTAGAATGGTTAAATAGTTATGAAAGGTCAATATGATATGCATATGTTTTCTTTTGCTATGAAAAACCATGGAAGTTAAAATACGACGTGAAATTCGAAATAGGGCCTAAGAAGAAAAGAAAAGGCCACATGAAACATTTCATGCTGGAACTAAAACTACGGGGATTTCCCTTTTTCAACCGCGCGTAATGTGAGTTTGCTTTGGCTTCAACAAGTTCTGTATGTTTTGCTCGCGCATATCGCGCATATCTACTGTGCTGCGTGCATGATGCCGTATAAATGGCCTTACTCTGAGCTGAACTGAGCTGTTGTTTGAGGACGAGCTTTTAGATTGACAGCAGGTTAGTATATCTCCTTGGTCGCTTAAACTCTCCAAAAATCTATAATTATTATTTGATTTTGTGCAGATGTATTTTGTAGTGTCTAGATCGATTGTACATCGACATCGTTGCATGTAATGATGTATGACGCGACGACTGAGCGCGAGGGTGAGAGTGAGACTTGTTTGTCAGTCATGATCAGGTTTATCACTTCAATTTATGACTAGTGTAGTCTAACGTGATCATGGCGAGAGTGTGTGACTGTGACTTGGCATGTAACCACATGGTGGTGTCACTGGTGTGGGCATTTCTTGGATTTAGAACAAGACCAAGGGCAAGACTAGACCAAGGACTCAAGTAGGTGAGTTGGCTCAATTGGTAAAGCGTCTGCTCGTCTGTTGTCAAACCAAAGATCTTGGGTTCGAATCCCATGCACCCAGGCCAGGCGGATGACTGAAGCCTGCGTTGTGTATTAACGTGCCCCCTTGTTTCATGGACGCAGACTATGTTGAGTGGAAAACACTCCATCCCTCGAATCGAATAGGACGTTAAATGGAGGCCCTGTGTAGAGGAGAGTCACCACCTTTGGCTTTGAAGAAGCCATTAAGAACCCACTGCACTATTCATATAAGAGAAAACCCTGTAGTGGTCCACCTGCACACCCCAATTTATACATCTGCAAGAATCTTCAGTATTGAAAGAGGCAGGTTATCCATAAGAAGAAGAAGAAGAAGATTCAGACTTCAGTCTCTGATATTGATGGTTTTTCCGCTGGGCTGAGACTGAGATAGACCGAAAGCTTCAGTCTCTCTAATCGTCGGTTGTTCCACTGAGATTACGTTTGGCTCCACTAGACCTCCGATTGTATTGGGGAATGTCAACAAATGTCAGTTTTATTAAAGAAATGACCCAAATCAGACGGTTATTTCTGTCTAAGACTGAGACTGAGCTGAGATGAGCTCGATTACAGTGTACGTGCGTCTGGAGCCACTGACAAAAAGTTGACAAATGTCAGTTTTATTTAAGAATTCCCCAAATTTCCAGATGGTTATTCCTGTCTAAAATAAACGAGAGTGGTGAGTCTTGGCTTAGCTCTGGCATGCAATGACCATCATGAGATCAGAATGAGATAGAATGCAAGCAGTAGTACATCATGTAAATCTATGAACATTACACAACTTTGCATGAACTGAAATAATGTTCTAGTCATTTTTTACAGAATGGAAATTCTCCAGTTCACTAAATATGTTTTCCTGAGAAAACCAAACTACAAATATTGATTCATCAGCCAGAGAATGATAAAGTGAAGGCCTGGCCCCCCCCCCCACTCAGTGTTATTTAGGGTACGCATATGCGTGTTCTAACCGACCCCCCCCCCCCTTTTCAGCAAAAGTCCGGTGTGTAAAGTCAATACGGCTCGACCTTTTTCTTTTGTATACGAGCCTTTTTCAGCACCCCCCCCCCCCTTTTCAGCAAAAGTCCGGTGTGTAAAGTCAATACGGGTCAACCTTTTCCTTTTGTTACGAAAAGGACATTTTGGCAACACGCATGGGGTCCGTCCGTTCTCGGAGTGGGCCGGGAGTGAAGGTAGGTACGTTCAAGCTCATGTATGTTTGGAAGCTTATATGTAAAGATCATGCTTAAAGACACACCTTAAAGTTATCCTTAGAAAACGTTTCTAACACTGCAGACTTTCAAATTGTTTATCATCTATTTTCTGTTTATTTGCTTCAACTAAGGCTCAAGGATTAAACTCAAAGATGGACACGGATCTAAATCAAAGCAGAGATGAAGGAGAGGCGTTTGCACTCAACAAGTGGCAACGATGTATCTTTAGTCTGAACTCCACAGAGTCAAAGGCATCTGACAAAGCTGAAGCTCTAAGGGGGATTCTCAATCAACTCCATTTCGCTTCTGCAACTGAATGGTATGTGAACATTTGTAGTGGGACGTTGTGATTCTCCAATCTTTTTAGATGGGTTTGTCTGAGGCTTCTTTCATGAATGTATAGGGTTAGGATTTTTTAGGCTTAGGTTTAGGCTCATGATTTGGGTCAAGTAAATTTGTCTTACCGCTAGTAATTGACTTTCGAGCCATGCCATACTCCTTTAACACACAGAAACGTTTGGGGGGTGGGGGGGGGGGGGGAGAAAACTGTTATCAACCGCTGTTGGAGGCAAAACAAATGCAGTATGCTATCCTATAAATTAACATTAGCATGTTGGCCCTCAGTGGACCTGTATAAGAGTTTAAAAAAAAATATATATACTGATTTAATACATAATTATTGAATTAATTGAATTAAATCTGCATTTTCTTTTCGTCACAGCATACCTGAGGATTTATCAGCCAGATTTAAAACACACTACACCAGTATGTACTCAGCTATCATTGACTGCAGTAACCCAGAGACAGGTTTGTGTTCCTTTTTTGCTTCAAACATTTTATATGATATGTATTATGTTACTGTAATTGTAAGTGTGACATAATTCAACTGTGGTAGATCCTTCGTTCATTCCATTAGCCGACCAGTTTTCAGGACAGACCTCGCTTTTGTAATATGACTACTATTGAATTTTCTCTTCTTTGCATGGTTTTCAAATGCAGGACTCAATAATTTTGCGGAGGGAGCTCTTGCCTTGTCATCAAACCATCCGAATGGTAAGTTTATTTGATTGATATAATTGGACTCTAGCTTTGAATTTATTTCAAAGTGTTTTCTTGACCATGAAATTGATTTTATTATTTTTAAATGAATATTCCACATTCCAATAAGTTCCAATTTGCTTTTCATTAACTTTTATTGAATCATAGCAATCCTATAAGTGCAAAATGTTTCAGTTTAATTTTCTTGCTAATTCTGGCATATTATTGGTTTTACAAATCATTTTGGTAAAGTGAAAAATCTTAAAGAAGAAATAAAGTGTTTTCTTTTATAAAATAATGTCTTTTGTTTGAACTTATAGAAAGCAGTGAATGGAAGTCATCATTAACACTAGACAGCATCAAAAATATGGATATCGTCAAACAACTCCTTGCTGAATCAAAGGTAAGTAAATGTTTGACATCATGATCAATATGCTGTATCATATTTGTTTAAATAGTTTGTCATTAAGAAATACTGTTAAGTTGTTAGCTTTTGATGAAAAGAAAATCCTGTGTATTTATTACTCTCACTTTATATGAAATTCGTAATTTCTTAGATTCCATTTAAAAACTTTATGCAGTCTGTGAATGAACTTCTTTCACGTATGCATAGGGTTTAGTAAAATAATATATGTATATAATTTTCAGCTAAATTCAAGACCACAATAAAATTTGAAAGTTCCCTTTACAACTTTTAGAAATATTTTGGTAAAAGGCATTGTAGCAGTTTCAACCTTAAAATGATTGTTTGGTACGAGTATTGATTTCTAAATGTCAGTTGGAAGTGTGCTTTTAAATAATTGATCGAAAACTTGTGATTTCTCTTCCTAGAAATGTAGTGAGAAAGCTAGTGCCAGTTTGAAGGCAGATGCTGAGAGTCTTTTAAAAGCAACACGTCAACCTCCTCCATCAAATACCTCAAATTGGCAACATAAGCCGCAGTACTCCAGCCACTCTTCAGTGCCTACCAGCAACGTAAGGAATGTTCAGACACCAGGGAGTGCATCACCACCACCGGGTCACATTCAAACATCCTATGGGGTGTCATCCAACCCCCTCAAAGAAACCATGGCCCCAGCAAGGAACCCAGCCCCCCTTTTTGCGACATCAAGAGACCCGCGTCCCCCAAACCAGCCGACGCCCCACTTCCCACGTCCAACTCCTACAGTTGGAAACAGACCCCCGTCTCATCCTAGCCATGCCCCTTCTGCACCACGTCCCCACCCCCAGAGGGGGTACACCCCGATGGGGGCAAACAGGGCGGGGCCGAGTCCAGGGTCGATGGGGTATGACCCTGCATCTCAGATGGTTAATCTTGGTATCCTTGGTATGGGGGATAATGCAGCAAGCGGTGGACAACCACCACTGAAGAGGAAATTTGGAGCTTCAGGTAGGCTACCTAATTTTGATACGAGATTTGAAATATGAACAAAGCTAGAAATTTACGTTCAACTCAAGGACATCTAATGATGTCATCAACAACATGTAACTTCTGAATAATAATATTTAGCTTTTATATAGCGCTTAATACAAATGTCTCTAAGCGCTTTACAAATATACTATAACCCCGGTCATTGGATTCAGTGCTTGCCCGCACACACTGTGTGCACAATCTCCACTCCCTGCAGAGAATTCCAGCCAGGCGTTACTTGACACTCAAAAACTTTTGACCAACAATGACGGTAGCATCCAGCTACCCAATTAACACCTGGGTGCAGAGTAGCAAGTGCACCTTAATATCTTGCCAAAGGATATTAATGCAGTGTCGGGATTTGAACCCTCGACCTTTGCATCTCCGGTCAAGCGCCTTAAACCACTCGACCACGAAACTCCTGAAAAATTTTCGAAAATATTGATTTGATTTGATGTGAAATCTTTCATATATGTCAGTTATAATGTAAAGAGCGCATAATGATGAAGAGCATTTGTGGTGATGGGTTGGGGTGGGGGGGGGGGGGGGGGGGGAGGGGGGATTAGGGGCAAGGAAATTGTTTATAGGCAGGTAGTTGTGTATATCAAATGATCACAAAATTTGTATATAGATATTGGATAATTCTTTTGATTGAGTGTGAGGTTGCTTTTGACAACTGCCAGAAATGTACCAAAAAGCATTCAACCATAAACGATTTAATCTTGTGTTATCTTTAGAAAGTCGTCAAGGAGGCTTCAACTCGGGATACAACCGAGGTCCAAGACCTAGACAACCAGATGAAGAGGAGAATGAAGGAGGCCAGTTTGGAGGAGGGGCTTTCAAGAGTGCCAAAGAACAACTGGTAATCCATGATGATTCTTTGTTAGTGCAAAAGATGTTTAGAGGCATTATGTTTTTTCTTCTTTTCTATGAGGGGTGGCAGTGAGTGTATGTCATGCGCCACAACTAGGCGTTGTGGCGTGCGCCTGTAATCCAGCTAACAGTGGAAGTTACAAACTGATTCAGCCGAGGACGCAGGTTTGAAACTGAGTCACGTCAGACGGATGGTGACGTAAAAAGTCGGTCCCCAGACGTAAATAATCATATCTGATTGATACACGTCTGTAAAAACCCAATTACACACACACACACACACGCACATGCTTCTTTTTTTTCACCCTATGGTGCATGATCTATACTTGAGAGCACAGTGTACATTATGTTCATCAAGGAATGTTAAGCTTTTATTTTAAATAAAGAGGATGTGCACACAAAAAGGTTCCTGAATAGAATGTTAAGTAAGAGAACAATGGGAAGAAAAGTAAACCCATTGTCTGCTGGAACTGAGTGGATCCTGTATTAACCCTACAGGGAATATGAGTGTGTCAGAAGTCATGGGTTAACTCATGCCTTGGGAGTGTTTCACAAAGACTAAGATCAATTTTAATTTGGACTGAACTATGGCAGGCCGTTCATGCCATTGTTTTCTCTCACCATTTACTGGCATTGGTCTCTCAAGGGACGTACAAATCATGGTCACAATTAAATCTACAGAATTTACATTTTTTGATAGATCATCATTGAAGGAAAAAATATTATAAAAAGATCGTAATGGTAAGAGCAACCAGTGGCATGAATGGCCTGCCATATTAAAGTCCAACTTAAAGGGAGTGTATCATGGGAAATACTGGTTAATGCCATCTACGTTTTCTTTTGGACAACTGCACGTAAACGAATGGACTTGATTAACTGGGTCAGTGCGCGCTAAACTGGATCAGCGCGGGCTAGCGTTCGCAAAACAGACCAAAGTTCTCCTCGCGCTTCGGTTTCGCGTATGTTGCACGCACATGAAAGCTGCGGTCGCGTCGTCCTTAGCCGTATTATACCCGATTGGCCCCGAGTAGGCCCACAGAAAAGACACATAGTCTCGTCATGACACCCTCCCTTTAAAGTCGATCTTAGTCTTTATGAAACACGCCCCTGGTTTACCTGAATAGCATAATCCTATCATTCTCTAGGAAACAATGGACACGAAGTTCTGCTTTGTATTCATGTGTTACACCAACCTTTACCATGTTTCATTGTATGTCAGTAACATGGTTCATTATGTTATCCCATGTTTTTGTGGTCATGGTTAAAATGACTTATACAGTCGAACCTACTTTAGTCACCACCTGTCTACAAAGACCACATTTTTGTTTCCCTTGAAAATGGTTTCTCATTGAAACATGTACTAAAGGAACCTGTTTACAAAGACCACTTTCTGTGTTTACCTTTGGCGGCCACTATAGACAGGTTTGACTGTATTTGAAACTGCGGTTACTTATAGTACATGTATCACCTTTCCTGCAGAATATCAACAATCAGAAGAAGTTTGGTAACCGTGGAAACCCAAGTTCAGCCCCTTCTTCATCCGGGTATGGCACCAACAGGAAAGTCCTGGGAGTGACAAGGTCTGTATGATACTTGAATGTGGAAACCACCCAACATTATGATTACGTCTTGAATGACATACTTTTAATATAGATGACAACTAAATTATTCATACTCTTATCAAGTTTTGTGATTTCTTAAGTATGTGAAAAATTGATTTGTCTCGATTTATGTTTCTTGAGAATGTGACACACCAAAGCTTACATCTTAAAGTATTCAAGAAAGGCCCTATTTCAACGAGTCTACCTTTTATTGTTCAGATAAAAAAAAGTTTTTAAAAAACCCATCAAAATTGTTTGTTGGTTTGACCATCAGTTTGAAATAAATAAAATAATAATTTAATCAGCTGAGAATTTTCATTTCACACAAATAAAATATTTGATGATATAAAAGGTATGACACTTTGATAGCACTAAGCAAAAACCTTACTTGAAAGACAACTTAATATTTATTTTGAAGTGTCCTGATAAAAGTACCCTGATTTTTTTGATTGATTAATTGATTTTTTTCCTTCCAATTTTGCCCCTCTTCAGGAGAGCCCCAAACAGCAAGTTTGTTCCTCCTGTTCTCAACAAAGAAGAAGCTGATAATTCCACAGGGTGAGTTTGCATGACTGATATAATTATCTGTCTCCTTCAGTTCCACCTAGCATGCAAATAGTTGTTAGTGCATAATTTTGAAGCATCACATTCTAAGATGTTAGTTTTTGTTATGTTGTTTAAATGGTCATGAAATATCTTCCATGATAGCAAAGTAAATGTTAATGTCCCAAATGTGCTCATGTGCACTGCAAGAAATTTTGGGACTAAATTAATGAGGTGTCAATTGTGTTTCAATATTTTTATGGCACTAGCTTTTATGAACTTGATCCACTCACAAAATTCACAAACATTTGATATGCTTTAAAGTCTCTGGCTTTACAGTATTCTCTGTTTCTTTCATGAAGAAACAAACTTACCTTTCTTAGTCCAAAGGTAGTGAACTGTAAGAAATTTCTTGGGAGGGAATTTCTGCTCCGTGCATGGAATGGGTAATGTTGTAATCTAATTGGCAAGTTCTGATTGGTAGCAATGATAACAAAAAGGTTGTTGGTTTACAATCATGATAGTATTTTCTGTGCTTCCTTTGTATGTCCTGCTATGTGTTATTAGTACCTAAATAGTTCAATATTGAACACTTAAAGTGCCTATTTCTTGCCTGTTCTTATTTGTTTAAAGGGATAGTTGAGTTCTGTTTTCAGACCGCAAATGCCTTCAAAGTGCATGGTTGTTGCTCTTATTCTTATCTATGACATTTGTAGTGCCCTTTTAGAACCTAAAATTGCTATGAAGGTAATTTTAGACCCCAAAATGTGTGAAATTTAGCCAATATGATCATACCAATTCAGCTCCACTTTCAAAAAAATTTGGTGACCGTTGATTAATTATTTAATTAAAAATAACAATACATGGGCCGGCTGGTTGTGCGTGATATAACCAACACGAAAATGCCAACAAAAAAGCCAACATTGGCATTGGGTGAAATACGACGTAAAAGGCGCTATTTCATTTTTTCAAATTATCTAATATTTGTGGTAGTACACAAGTATTAGAAATTGATATGAATATTTCAGCCTTCTCTGAACCGATTTTGATCAAACAAATATGATTTTGTCATTTAAATTGTATGTTCTTTCAAATTTGTCACTCAGTTTTTCATTATCTCACAAAAAATTATTTTGTGTAGCGCCCTCTGCAACAGAACTCAACTATCCCTTTAATGTGCATACATGGTCATTCCGTATTTGATCAGACTCGATTAAGGGATTAAAGCTAATAATAATAATAACAGTAATAATGATAATAATAACCTAGGATTCTATCGCACATTTTATCTACAGAGAAAACACCAAAAAGCTTTACAGTGATAGAAACAATAACATTACAAAATGCACATAGAGAGAGTATTATTGAAAAGATTTCAAATGGATTATTTTATAAAATAGATGATGTTCTGTTTTTTCTTCATAGTGGGTACAAGCCACCTTCTAGAAATGGAGGCAGTGGTCAGACAGGCAACATGAGTAATAACAACAACCAGGAAGAGCCTGCTGATGAAAGACTCAAGAACATTGAACCTAAGATGGTGGAGTTAGTCATGAGTGAGGTTAGATTTATGGATGAATTGCTCTTCGGTCTACACCCAGCCCATCTACTATATATATAAGAAGCCACCATTATTATTATTATTATTACTATCCACATGGTCTAATGATCATTGAATTATCATTATTATTACTGATTGAATTATTATTACTGATCGAATTATCATTAGACCATATGAATAGTAGAAAAAATGGGGATTAGAATAGCTGGTTATTAGACTAAAAGAACATTATATTAAATAAGTAGTACCGGTAGACTAATTGGCAATTAGACAAAATTACTGTTGCCTTAATGGTCATTAGACCAAATGATAAGTAGACAAAATGATTATTAGGCCATGCTGATAGTAGATGGGCTAAGTGTTGACCATATGGGAAGTAGACAAACTGTTTGTTGACCAAAGGGCAATATACCAGATTTATGCTCTTCTATTCATCAGATTATCATTTGTTCATTTGTCCATACACGCATGTGGCAGATGTTATGACATTTTCAATCAGCTGGCAAACTGGCCATATATAATAGGTTTTTGGGCATGGTTTATCAGAGTAGAAGCGAGTTCATTCATAAAACTCTAAGCAGGAATAGGCATATAAAGGGGGCTCAGACTAAAACGTGAAGCCTGTCTATCTTTATGTACGGTAGGCATATGTACATATAAAATGAGTTATGCAAACACATTTCATGCATGAAAAAATGGTGCATATTCTGTGATTTATAAGTGAAGTATTCCATTCAAAGGGGAGAGCAGAAACACGTCCTGGAGCACATCCATTATTTTGAGAAAAAGTTTTTGCAAATAAAGGATGGGTTTTATTCATAAATAAATGGTTAGTCAAGGTTATTTTTTAACATAAAAATGATGAACTGGTCTAAAATACACTGAATATTTTACTTACCGGTATACAAGTAGGTTACTACTTCTATATCTTAAATTTGATATATATATATATGTATAGTGTGTGAATCATTAGTTGGTCTTTTTTTTTTAAAGATACAGTAAATAATGATATGTATGGATTCAAAGTACAAGTAAGCATCATTATTTTTCCAGATCATGGACCATGGACCACCTATCCATTGGGACGACATCGCTGGATTAGAATTTGCCAAGAAAACCATCAAAGAAATCGTTGTCTGGCCCATGCTTAGACCGTAAGTTCAAGAATGAGAATGTGCTAGATCTTTGACATTATTTAAGTCAAGATATTGAGAAGTGCAGGGGTGTACTTGTATAGTTTTGATTTTGGATGAACATTGTTGTTGTTTTGTTTTCCTCCTTTTGGACAAGTTGCTGGTGTCATTTATGGTTACATGGATCTGTTATTATGTGAATCCTAAGTCAGATGAATATGCATTCTTGATATTTGCCATAATACCATTTTTTTTTAAATATAAAAAATAAATGATAATAATACAATCATAATGATGATCAGTTTATTAGCAACTTATTGTATGATAGGATAGTGGTAGTTGATATTATCGATTGTCTATAGGATTGTTCTGCACATTGTAACATTTGTTGCAACATATGCTTTGTGTTGCTTTGTTGTCTTTGTATATTTTGTTTTTTTCTCAATAAACACATAAAAGCCCTATGCTTTCCAGGAATAATAATATTTTTTCTGTTTTAGGTCTTTTGCCTCTATTGATGTTGAGGATATTCAATACATCTGTCACATAAGAGGTGATCTTAATGATCTTGAGTTTTCTTTTTTGTTTAATTTTTACAGGGATATCTTCACTGGACTCCGAGGTCCTCCTAAAGGTCTTCTTTTGTTCGGCCCACCTGGTACTGGGAAGACCCTCATTGGTGAGATTCATTATAGTCTAATTACAATAACTGCTTCTCTATCATTTTAATGCCTAACTGAATTTGCATATATCGAGGGGTCAGTGACACAAAGACGTAACTCCAATTTGGCCATTTTGAGAAAGAGTGGTTTATGTGTCACTGAGCACTTGGGCCCTGAGGAGTTAAGTCTATGTTTCACTAGCCATTGACTTCAATGGGGTGTTGGGTGGAGTTAAATCTTTGTGTTTCCTGGAAAGCCCACATTTTTCTGAACATTTTGATATCAAATACTCATTTTGGCAAAATATGGAGTTACGTCTTTGTGTCACTGAACCCTCAATATATTAGAGAGAGATTAAAGGTAATACAAAGTTTTGGGAAATTCGAAAATTGGGTGGATAGTGATTCTTTACAATTTTGATATATTTGGATGCCCCTGTGGATGTATTATAAGCACTAGAAAATTTAGCCCCTTAAACACTTCTGCTTTCGAGAAAAATTGAATATAAACATTTACCGGTGCTCCCGGTAAATTTTGATAAATTTCAAATAGCGCTCACGGCCGTACAATGGTAGCTGCGACCATAAAAATTTCAGAATATGTAGTTGTGATATATAATTTCCAAACGGGGATAGCTAATCGGTCGATTTTAGTCAAGAAACATTGTTTTATAGCTTAATTAATATCTTGACCTTGAGAGGAAGCTATACAACCTAAAGAGTGTATTATTTATTATTTCATAATTTTAGACTCTATTTCAACCGCAACAACGATCACTGAATATTGTAGGATCGCATATGCTTCCAATATGTTCATTTGAACCAAATTCATGGCCCCATACCAAAACTTTGTATTACCTTTAATAATGAATGGATATTTTGCCAATCTTGTGTCAGTCATTACTACAAGACTTCAAAAGTATAATTTGTAATTGTTTATTTTGTGTTTTAGGAAAATGCATTGCCAGCCAATCAGGAGCAACCTTCTTCAGCATCAGTGCATCATCTCTCACATCAAAATGGGTGAGAAATGATTTTATAACTATTTACAGTTCTTATAAAAGATGCTATACTTACAGGGAGATGTGAGTTGGTCTAGTGTTAAAGACGCACGTTCCTCGTATTCCAGAGGGCGTTCAAAATACGTATGCGCTGGCGGACGGTGCTAGCTGCCTATTGACACCAACAGAATACAGCTCTTACGCAGATGGCATGTTCTAAATTGCCGAACAATGCCGATTATCGCATACATTTGCCGAAGTAATACCAATCGCAGTTCGGCTCTAAGATTCGGCTGCTGTTTCCGCTCACTTTCGTGACTTCACGATCGGCAGCAATCAGCTGGCTTGGCGAAGGCAGGCCATACTTTGATTGACAGCTGTATGCAAATTAGAAGTCGATCTTCGGAACCAAGATGGCGATGACTAGAGCAGCTATAACTACACTGGCGGGAACGTGCGCCTTTAATGTCTGTGGTACAGTCAGCCCTCTGTCTTCCCCTACAAACTGGCTCAGGCGACCCCGGTTCGAGACTGAGTCACGTCTTTCGGATGGTGATGTTAAGGTTAGGTCCCCAGACGTAAATAATCATATCTGATTGATTCACGTCTGTAAAAACCCAAATTAAACAACACTATACCTACGGTTTCTTTACATGTAACACATGGTTGTTATACAAGGTATTTCATCAGCATTTATCCTTCTTTACCCAGGTGTAGAAGATGGGTACCTTGGAGGATTTATTCCTTGATAATAATAATAATACTACATGAGATTTATATAGCGCCATTATCCATTTCAATTAAATGCTCAAGGCGCTTCACTATACACTATGTGATCATAACAGCTGCCTCAACTAAATCCACATTAACTTGTTGACTACCTATTTATTCCCATAGCTTCAGAATATGAATAACCCATTTATATTGGCATGTGGTATTTTCACAGAAATTTAGAGCTTCTTAGAGCTATTTGTAGATATTTGATATACATGCAGCAGACAGCAAGAAAAACTGAATAATCACTCGGTTTGACAGGAGTGGAGTGGACAAAAGCTTGCCTACTAAATGTTAAGGTTGGTGGAAGCCTTAAATATATGTTATGATAACCCCAACCAATGAAAGTTCCTTTTCCATTGATATGTGTTTTATAAAAATGGAATATTATTTGTTTGTAGGTCGGTGAAGGTGAGAAGATGGTGAGGGCGCTGTTCGCTGTCGCTAGGTGTCACCAGCCTGCTGTCATCTTCATTGATGAGATCGACTCCTTGCTCTCACAGCGATCTAATGATGAACATGAGTCATCTAGACGAATCAAAACCGAGTTCCTAGTGCAACTGGTATGAACACAACTCTGCACATCATTTTGTCTACTCTGGCTCTCAATAGATGATATTTGAGTATTTCAAACAGCCCCCTCTATTAAGCCCAGTACTTTGAGGTTGACATTTTAACTAGACTTAAATACAGAATAAATACTTACATTATTTTTCTGCACTTCAATATATTTAAAAGGATGCTTCATCTAGTGCTGCACACTACATAATAAGCAAATTTACTTGCGCATGTAAATCCTGTCATGTTTAAATCTGTAGCAACATGGGCAGGGTTTTTTTTTCTCCATTTTTTTAATCCAATCAAATGGCATTCTGTACTGTACAGTGTACACAGAATTTTTTTGGAAATATCTATAGCGTTAGTTCTATGGTCAGTTTCTTGCATACAAACTACCCTCCTTCTTTCTACTCATGATGTTGCATTGTTCAGGGAGTTCTCTTTTGAAAATAAACAAGTTCCATTCCAGTCAATCATCCTCATCAATGAATGTGATTTCAGCCAATTGTTCATAAGTATTATGAAAACTAAATGTATCTTTGAGAACTATACAAATCTATTTTTGCACTTGTGACTATGGCAAAACCCTTCACAATATAATATCATGATCATTTTTCCATGATGGCACACACCTGGGGGGTGTTTCACAAAACTTGTCATCCGTGACAAATTATAGTTTTTGTTATAAGCTACTAAAATCCTTGCTTCTGATTGGGCGTCAGCAGATTTGTCACTGACTTTTGTCATTTGTCATTGAAAAAAGGCTTTGTGAAACGCCCCCTGATTTGTAAATTTGTTATCAGGATGGAGCAACGACATGTTCAGATGAACGCCTCTTGATCGTCGGGGCAACCAACCGCCCTCAAGAAATCGATGAGGCTGCACGTAGGCGCCTTGTGAAGCGTCTCTACATCCCCTTACCAGACTCCAGTGCAAGGGGGCAGATCGTAACCAGTCTTCTTACTCAACAGAGTCATTCACTTGTTGACCAAGATCTGGAGAGCATTTGTCAAAAAACAGAAGGTGATTACAGAAGATAGAGGACTGCTCTCCACTTTCAGATAATTTAATTTCAAATCCAAGCATAGGATCTTGACAATTAGTCAACCTATTCAGGTGATGATGATGATGATGATGATGATGGCGATAGTGGTGGTGATAATGAAAGCGGTGATGATGATGGTGATAGTGCTGCTGCTGCTGCTGCTGCTAATGATGATGATGATAATGATGATGATGATGATGATGATGATGATGATGATGGTGATGATAGTGATGATAGTGATGGTGATAATGAAAGCGGTGCATGATGATCAGATGAACGCCTCTTGATCGTCGGGGCAACCAACCGCCCTCAAGAAATCGATGAGGCTGCACGTAGGCGCCTTGTGAAGCGTCTCTACATCCCCTTACCAGACTCCAGTGCAAGGGGGCAGATCGTAACCAGTCTTCTTACTCAACAGAGTCATTCACTTGTTGACCAAGATCTGGAGAGCATTTGTCAAAAAACAGAAGGTGATTACAGAAGATAGAGGACTGCTCTCCACTTTCAGATAATTTAATTTCAAATCCAAGCATAGGATCTTGACAATTAGTCAACCTATTCAGGTGATGATGATGATGATGATGATGATGGCGATAGTGGTGGTGATAATGAAAGCGGTGATGATGATGGTGATAGTGCTGCTGCTGCTGCTGCTGCTAATGATGATGATGATAATGATGATGATGATGATGATGATGATGATGATGGTGATGATAGTGATGATAGTGATGGTGATAATGAAAGCGGTGCATGATGATGATGATGATGATGATGATGGTGATGATAGTGATAGCGGTGGTGATGATGATGATGATTATGATGATGATTCATATAGTGCCAATTTTCTGTGAAAATGAAAAACAAACAAAAAGGTGTGGAATTAGTATTTACACAATTTTGTTAAAAGATAGACAAGTTTTGATTTTATTTTTTATTTTCTTTCCTCTTTTTTGATGAATTTCATGTTCAGCAAATTTTGTTTTTGATGTACCATGATATCTCCACATACACTGACGTCATATTAATGTAAATGCTGAGAATCACTACTGTTTCAAATACAATTTTCCAATTGTATAAGGATTTATTTCAATTCTCATTCTTAGGTTATTCTGGTGCAGACATGGCCACCCTGTGCAGGGAAGCAGCGTTGGGACCAATACGGTCTATACAGGGAATGGATATACAACACATTAGTGCTGACCAGGTAGGTCTAGTGAGACCTGTTTCATCAAACTTGTTATCAATAACAAAAAACGCCATATTTTCTCTCAGCCAATCAAATGCCATTATATCAGTAGCTTATAACAGTTATTGTAACTTGTTATTATTAAACAGTTTTATGAAACAGGGCCTTGAAGCTTACTCTGCAGTGTTTTCAGTAGGATTTTCTTGGTCCAAACTGAGTGAAATATGGGAGTGATCCAACATTTGCTCAGGGCTCGATTTTGTAAAAGATGCAGGGTTATGGTTTGGATGGAAAATGTGTTTTTGATGAGGTTTAGGGTTAGCTTTAGTGTTATAGAGTTGGGTTCTGTGTCATAATTTGGTTATGCACTGGGTAGAACCATGCTACAGATGAAGTCACCTTTTCATTAAATCTGATTTAGCTTCTGTCATACCTATGCCCTGAACATGCTATAGTATTGGTATCTGGAAACATTTATACTTCAAGAAAAGTCAAACTTAACCTCTAGTAATACCATAAGCTTTTTCCCAGGTTTAATGGGAGCCACAAAAGTTCCATTATGGTGTTTTCCTTGCATCTCCAAGGTGGCTGCCATACCCACTTAACTTCAATCCTGCTTTTCCTGTCTTTCTGTGTGTTTAGGTGAGACCGATCCTGCATGGAGACTTTGAGGATGCCATCCAGAATGTGAGACCGAGTGTGGCTCAGTCAGACCTTGACAGCTATCTGGACTGGAATGCCAAGTTTGGTTGCGGAAGTGCAAAGTGAACAGTCAGACTTTCACACCTACCATACCAAGAATGGAACGCTGGGTTTCAAAGTCCTAAGTGGTTAGTCATCGGAAAGTCAGACCTTTACAGCTACTACCCACATTAATGCTAAGCTTGGTCGCAGAAATGCTTTCAGGGAGTTGATGCCCTTTACTCAGGAACAGTCAGACATGGACATTTATCACTTCTAAAATGGAAAGTAGATTTGAAAATCCAAAGCAAGTAGATGGAATAATCAGATTTCATATTTATTTACGTGTAACCAGAAGGGATTACCAAGTATGGTTGCAGGAGGTAAAGTGAAGAGCTGTCAGAACAGTCAGACGTGGGTACCTATCACGGTTCCAGAACACCTACCCCTGGACATCCACCCCTCAGATAACCACCCCAGTCAACTACCTCCTAGGACAACTACCCCCTGGACAATTACCCCCGGACAACTACCCCCTACGAGAACCATTCTCTAGGACAACTACCCCTTGGACAAATATCCCAGGGGGTAAGTGTCTGGGGGGTAGTTGTCCAGGGGGTAGTTGTTCTGGGGATAGTTGTCCTAGGGGTTAGTTGTCCTAGGGAGTGGTTGACTGGGGGTGGTTATTGGGGGGGGGGGGGGTAGATGTCCAGAGAGGAACATCAAGTTTGGAAGTCCAAACTTTAGTAGTTGGAACAATTAAGAATTGCAAACCTATCACATTGATTTTGAAAGTGAATAGTCAGACCCGGGCCTCGTCTTATAAAGAGTTGAGATTGATCTAAATCAATCGCGAATCCTCCAATAAATCGCAAGTTTGCAGTCTCCTATCTCATATGTACAGAGTTGCGATTGATAGCAAATATGTTGCGATCATTAATGTCAACCCTTTATAAGACGGGGCCTTGAACAACTATCCGGGATGGAATGCTAAGTGTGGTTGCGGAAGTGCTAAATCAACAGTCAAACTTTGTGGCAGAAATGCCAAGGGAACTGTTGTCCTTAACTCAGCAACAGGCCAACTTGAATATTTAGCTATAGTGTAAAGCAGTTTTGTTGCAGAATCTGATCATACCTCAAATAGAAAGTTAGGTGTTGAGTAAAGTCCTTGTAACAGTCAGACTTGCACCCCTACCTGACCAAGAATCAAATGCCAGGTTTGGATGTGTGAGGGAAATGAGGGATTGATAAAGGGGATTGTCAGACTTGGATATGACAATGTACCAGGAGTGGAGAGCCAGGATTAGTTGTAGAAGTGCAAAGTTAACAGACAGTACTGAAGGAGTGAGCATACCTTGACAACTAAACTATTAAAGACACATAGTGTAAAGTGAATTATTGTTACCCTACAGAAAGATCTTCCAATTTTTTAAAGGGTGATTATGTGTAACGTGCCCAGGTACAGCATTTGATGTTATCCATTTATTTCATCCAAGAATTAAAATTACTTGATATGACGATCAAATAATGATATTTTTTTTCTTCTTCAGGTATCAAGGTATCAATACCATTTATCAGTGGACATATCAAGAGATTTCGTCTGAAATAGATAGAGTCATAAGTGGTATACCGGTAGGACAAATATCACTGAACAGCCTAAAAGAGACCTCATTGGAGAAAGCTTATAGGGTCATTACATGAGAGAGTAAATACCAGATATTGAAATGACATTTTGTATTAGTGCAGTTGCATCACTTGAATTTCAATATATGGAATTTCAAATAAATTGTTCTATTGTTAAATCGGTATAATTTGGTGTTTTCATTTTGTAGTGACTGCATTCATACCTCCTTGAGAGCTTATTCTTCATTATTATTGGGAAAGGGGCTGATCCCATGAAAGGCCTTAAAAAAAAAAGGATGTTGCAATTGCCCTTTGCGACCGACCCAAAAATCTTGAAATCTACAGATGGCCTATTTAAAAAAGTTTTAAAATAGAAAAAAAAATGTATTTAAGGCCGTCTGTACAAGTTTGGCTAGGAGGGATTACACCACCCAGGGTGGTCACTGACAGGTGGCTTTTTCATCAACTCGGCTCTCAATTAACATAAGAAAAAAGAGGATCATGGGGGACCAATGGTCACTGATAAGGCATTTTTTTCTATATAGAGGGAGCAAGTAGCTACAAGCAGTACAGGGGGGGCTTAAAGGCATTCAAAACTGAGAAATATTAGCCCAAAGAGGGAATACCAACAAAAAAAATTACAAAAAAAAAAAAAAATTCCGACCGACCTACCCATGCTTTGGCACCTAAGGGGCAATACAACATTTAATTTTTTTTTTTTTAGGCCTAATGATGATGTCATGTGATGATGTTATATTTTAACTTTAGCTATGACATTGGTCTGTAGTGTGGAACATGAGGGAAATGGTGATGCTCCAACATTAATGCTCCAGGGATGATTGCTCACTGCTTTTGTGTTAATTGTACTTGATTGACACACACAAAAAGAAATCCTTAGATATACATTGTATTAGGATACGCAGACATCGATGACAAGGTTAGACAGACAAAGTGTAAGAATGAGAATGAAACATGGATAGAGAGCGGGTATGAGGAGAGAGAGAGAGAGAGAGTGGGGAAGGGTGGGGGAATGTAAAGACAAAGCTAAGGGGGGGGGGGGAAGAGAGGTACACTATGAACTGAAAGAGGTACATGTATGACTAAAGGATTTTTTTTTTTAATTGTGTGTGTGGGGGGGGGGGGGTAGTAGATAGAATTTACTAAAGATAACATCTAACATGATTGGTTTGGTACATAAAACTACGAAATATACAGACATTTTAATTACATAATACAGGTAGGCATGTATCAGTGACACATTATATAATTATATATTATATAATTATATATTATATAATATCTAGAAGAAACAAAATATATATAAAGAAGAATGAAAGTGAAGATTTCTGATTGTATGACCCAGATAAAAAGGCTTGTGGCAGAAAAACTGAATAATGAATTGATACACAAATGTATCATTATTTTCATTAACAGTATCACTTTCACACAATCTTTTTCTAATGGTTTCCCGCTCATCATCAAGCAACTAAAAGAGGACGAAGTTCCCTAATTGTTTTTGTTCCGCCACTTCTTCCAAAAACAATTCTTTCTAGCATGCACAATTAATGATGAATGAATAAGATCGTTACAAATTCGCTTTCTTCATCCCTACTTCACTTCCATCTCCCATCTATCTTCCGTTCTTCTCCTTGATCTTTGACTCATTCTAGCTCTATCTTTCATTCTTTCTCTTCCATATTCCTCGCTGTACCACATTTATATTTCTTTCTTAATCAATCTCTCCATCTTCTTTCTCTCCCTCCCTCCCCCCCCCCTCTCTCTCTCTCTCTCTCTCTTCTCTCCGTCTTCTTTCTCATCTCTTTCTCTCTCTCTGTGTCTGTATGTCTCTCTCTCTCTCTCTGTCTCCCTCTCTTTCTCTCTCTCTCTCTCTCTCTCTCCCCCCCTTTTTTCTCCCCTTACACAAACATACCCTTTGTTTTTTCGTAATTTAGTTTATTTTGATTTCATTCAGCATAAAAAAATACAAATAATTCTTCAAAATACTATTCTTTTTATCTTAATTACATGCTTCAAATAACTCAATATATGTACGATTCATAAATTACAATTTAAAAATTATGAATGAAATCAGTTATAATATCAAACAAATTATAACCCCTCCCTTACTACCCAAACCCACTATCATCCCCTCCTTAAAAAACCACCCTCCTTAAAAAAAAACCACCCTCCTCCACACAAACACACAGAGACGCCAATCACATAGCAAGGTTATCTACCTGCTCGCATCCATTTGCAAATTGTAAAATGTGCAAACAGTCAAGACCACAATTTTCCTTATGTAATCATACTAATGCACAAATATGTACCAAGTGCCTCGTTACATATTATTTCATGTACCAATTGTATTTCAATAGAATGCGAATTGCCTTCACTATTTGTTGCCAGGAAGGGCGAACATGATTTGTCTTACCTACATTGTAAGAACACGTAATGTATTCAATTCGCATTCTGACTGTTAATATACAATTAATCATAACAGGTGAATTTCGCATTAAATTTGATTACATCGGAACAAAGAGCAGGGGCGGATCTAGCTTTTTGCTAAGGGGGGGGGTTGACCAATAATGACGATGCGGAGCATCGTCCACGAGCCGCGAAGCGGCGAGCCGATTTTTTGGGGGGTGTTTATTTGAACCCCGTAAGTGATGTTTTCCTGGCATCTATTAACACAATGGAGACCATAAAAAGCAGTGCATGAACACGTCCGTATTACACCCCCATGTATGGTAATTTACCCTGTATGCCAACTTTTTTGCATGATTCAAACATACCTTCCAGCAGTGGCGTACCTGGGGTACTCCGTCAGGGGGGGCAAGCGACCGAAACAAACAAAAAAAGGCGATGCTAATTTTCAGTTCTGGCGAGCGAGCGAGCAAAAAAAAATCTTTAAGTAACGTTTGGTATATAAACTGGTATTGTTGCAAGTTGGGGGTGGGAACATTCACTTGTTAGCGACGTTAATTGCATTTTTTTGCAAACGAGCGTAGCGAGCAAGAAAAAATATCACTTCTTTTTTAATAATTGCCACTTAAACTTGGTTCAATTGTCCCATGCAGGGCGCGGGAACAATATTGTGTTTAGGGTGATTTCAAACCCATTTTAGCTAGCGAGCCAAAATACATCTCTCTCTCAATGAATTGCTATATAAAATTTGTTTCATTGTTGCAGGTAGGGGGCGGGCACAATCGTGTTTAAGGCAATGTCAATCCCATTTTGGCGGGCAGGCAACCCCTACATTTCTCTTTTTAATGATATTGTACCAGGTTAGTGGTGGGCACATAATTCCACGAGCTAGCGAGCGTAGCGAGCGAGCGAAAAAAAATCACTTCTCTTTTATAGGGAAAATATGGTACATAAAACTTGGGTTCATTGTTCCATGTCAGGGACGTGATTATTAAAAGCGGTGTTATTTCTATTTTGGCGAGCGAGCGTAGCGAGCTAGCAAAATTTTTGTAATGATAATTGGTTCATAAATTTCAGATTTTTTTGTTGCAGGGCAGGGCTTACACAATCATGTCTAAGGTGATATTAATTCCGTTTTTTTTTTTTAATAGAAATTATTAAATAAACTAGTTTTTATTGGTGCAGGTCAGGATGGACGCAATCGCGTTTAACGCGATTCAATTCCTTTTTGGCGAGAGGGCGAAAAAAACTCTTCCATTTTGTAATGATATTGTTGCAGGTCAAGGGTGGGCACAATTGTTTCCAAAGCAATATCTATTCATTTTATTCGCGAGCAAGTGTAGCGAGCGAGAAAAATGAATTTCTCTCTTTTAGTAACATTTGGTACGTACACTGTGTGTTATTGTTGCTAGGTTGCAGGTCGGGGCCCGTCGGGGCAGGCACAATTGTATTCTAGGCAATGCTAATCCTTTTCTTTTTTCAGGGGGACGAGCAAGTGAAAACATTTAATACAAAATAGGCTAGCAAGCAGTTCGCGCCAGCGAAGATTTTTGGAATTGGTTATATCACTTATATTTTCCTATTTTCATTTGCCGTATGTGAAATATTTTTCTGGTGGGGGAGGGGGAAAGATGCGTTAAAGTTTTCGAAGAATCTTAAAAGCAAAAGGAGTGAAGGGAGTTCGAGCGACCGAACTGGCCATGAGGGTACTTTTGCATTTTCAAAAGTAGAATTGAAGGATTTGGTATATGCCTACACTACATTTTCAGGAAAAAAACTGTACGTTTTCAAAATATCTGGGGTCAACTGCCCCCCCCCCCCCTGATGCGTACGGCCATGGTCTTTTTTTTTTATAGATTTCCCCATTTTTTCCTTTCCTTTTCTTTTCCCTTTTTCTTCCTTTTCTCTTCTTCTTCCTTTTTTCTTTCCTTTTCCTTTTTTTCCTTTTTTCTCTTTCTTTCCTTTTTTTCTTCCCTTTTCTTTTTTTCTTTTTCTTTACTTTCCTTTCTTTTCTTTTCTTTTCCCTTTTTCTTTTTTCCCCTGGAGCCCGTCAGGGGGGCACTCTGCCCCCCCCCCCCTGCCCCCCCCCATAGGTACGCCAGTGCCTTCCAGTAAAAAAAGATGCGAGACTGGATTGCCGCAACTTCTTTGCCCTGTTTGCTTCCATATTGCTTGTCACTACACTCAGACCAGACTGATAAAAAAGTGAGCAACTTGAACAAGTAATCCAGGAAATGAGCAGCCCAGCTCAGCGTGCGTTGCCAGGTTAAATCTTCACAAAATCCCCACCCAAACGACACTTAAAATATCCCCAAAGTTGCCAAATTTTGGCAGAAAATCCCCAAATTCGTTTTTCATAAAACTCAATATTATTTTCATTCCCAAATATTTATTTTTCATCCCCAAAGACTTCAACAATCCCCAATTTTTTTTTTTTTTTTAATGTGGGGATTTTGGGGATGAGAATCGGCAACGCTGGCCTAGCTTGTCACTTCGGCGGTGGCCCGTGTCCTCAAAAAAGCTGATGGGGGGGGGGGGGGGGGCAAGGGACGCTGTGACATTTGTTCGCCCAACCCCCCCCCCCCTCCCCCTAAAAAGAAATAATAATAATAATAATAATAATAATAATAATAATAATAATAATAATAAATGAAATAAATACATAGAAATAGAATAAAATAAAATTACAAGTTTTTAAAAAAAGATAAGATTTAAAAAAATGGTCCCCGGATTTTTTTTTTTTTTTTTTTTTGGGGAGGGGGGGGGTTGCAACCCCCCCCCCCAACCCCCCATCTAGATCCGCGTCTGAAGAGTTGCCATAGTGTTAGTGTAATTTCATTTCATTTTGGGGAAAACACACACATACACACCCACATGCACACGTACAGCGAAACAAATCTGACAATGGATTTTAAAAACTTACAAATCGCGATATCACCACTACAAATTCAATTCAATAAAAAAAATAATGTTTTCAGGGAATAAAATAGCTTTCTTTTATTAGCATCAAAAAGTGTATTATATATGAATCCAGACGAAGTCACGAGTGCTTCACAAAATCCTGTCTCTCGACTGGCAAGTGGTTTTCTTGAACATGTAAATAACAGAACAATACAATGAAATGTCAATTTTGTTGAGATAATTATTCGTCGAAATAATTTGAATCTTTGTTCATTGTCTGATGTTGAAGTCAGTGAATACATTCTCTTGTCATAAAACAGCCTTTGTGCAATTACATTTGAATGGACCCTTTTTGTGATGTAATCAAAGTTAATGCACAAACCTTTGTTAAGCGACAGGATACAAATCATTTCATTCACGCGTTACGAATAAATGTATTTTAATAGTCAAAATGCGAATTGCAAGCATATACGTTTTGTTTGGTAAAAACAAGCCTTAATGTGTGTCCTGCCTAGCAACAAGCAATGTATTTTAAAAAAAAAATATTCAACAGAAATCGTTATTCACATAGACTATTCCGTTGACTACTGAATTCTCTAATTACTATAGGCTTTGTACAGGGACCATCACGTTTCAGGAGACAACGGGTTAATCACATATTATGATGCATGGCATTTCATGCTGTATACAGAGAGATTTAAACATTTTCTAGAATACATATAATAGATGAATAAAAAATAAAGCAATGTTATGTACAGAGATAAGAAAGCATTTTTGTATTATGGTCTATAGAAAAGTACAAAACTAGTATGATAATTACAATAATTTAGCTCAATATACAGATACATTGTCAAGAAATAATTTCCCAATGAAAATGCATGAAAATGCACTGGCAATTTGCTCTCTTGTGATTTTTCTGGAAAATGTAAAAGTTGTTTGTTTTACATGTATTTGACAGAGACATGCATTATGCTTAAAATCAACCCATGAGTAGTTACATACATAATCACTTGAAATGTTACCATGGCAAAGTGTGTCTGTTAATGTGATTTGTTTTTCTTCTTCAGAGAGCAGTCGTTATAAAGTAAATATCTCCATTACCTTTACATGATTAATTTAACGTTGGACCTTTCATTTAATATTCTTTTGAGTACAAAATTTCAGACTATAATTTTCAGACACACGTCATACATTTTTAATGACTGCAATTATTTTCCATGGCCAATGTCACAGTTGTCTCCTCTTTTCCTCAGGGCCGTAGCCAGAGTTTGATGTCTTTTTTTTTAGGGGGGCACATACATTTAATTGATCGACGTCCTGGGGAGGGGTCTAAAAAAGTTCAACCGATCTTGGAAAATTGGGGGGGGGGGGCACGTGCCCCCCCCCCCCCGTGACTACGGACCTGCTTTTCCTACCACTTCTACTTCTCCACCTCTTACCTCATCTTGCCCTTCTCCTTCATTCTCATTCGTTTTTTATAGTTTCTACATAATTTCACATCTATCATTTGTAGCTTGTAAAATGTGTAATTCGATATTAATACATTATGAATATAATACTGTTTCTATTCGCGCTCCCCTTCATCTTCTTTTCCTATCCCCACTTGATTCTTCTTCTTCTTCTTCCTCCTCTTCTACCTTTTCTTTACTCTACACCGTCATCATGTTCTTCTTCACTTTTTTAAAATCTCCTTTATTATATAAAATCAAATAAGAATTTTAAAGTTCCGTTCATCAATTTTGATGTCATGTGCTATTAATGTTTTCATAAATTGTATTTTTCATTTATAAAGCACAATTCGGCCGTTTAGGCTGTGATCATATGCATTGCTTTTCTTTTATTCTCAATAAAACCATTATCATTTCAATTCAATACATTTCCTAGTGTTTATCCGATTTCGTTAAATTCGTTCAAACTTTCACCAATCTGTTTTACGAGATTTTTTTTACTTTCCTTCAAATGTCGGATTGTCCTTTACGGTAAAAAAAAAAAACGATAAATATCTAACATTCAATCAATCAATAAAATTCAATAAATCAGTCGATCAAAATTAGGAACGTAAATCCATTCACTTGCGGTGTCAATTCCATTTTGGCGAGCGAGCATAGCGAGCAAGCAAAAAAAAAATTCTCTTTTAATAGAAATTAATAAATAAACTAGTTTTTATTGGTGCAGGTCAGGATGGACGCAATTGCGTTTAACGCGATTCAATTCCTTTTTGGCGAGAGGGCGAAAAAACTCTTCCATTTTTAATGATATTGTTGCAGGTCAAGGGTGGGCACAATTGTTTCCAAAGCAATATCTATTCATTTTATTCGCGAGCAATGTAGCGAGCGAGAAAAATGAATTACTCTTTTTCAGTAACGTTTGGTACATACACTGTGTGTTATTGTTGCCAAAGTTGCAGGTCGGGGCCCGTCGGGGCAGGCACAATTGTATTCTAGGCAATGCTAATCCTTTTCTTTTTTCAGGGGGACGAGCAAGTGAAAACATTTAATACAAAATAGGCTAGCAAGCAGTTCGCGCCAGCGAAGAGTTTCGAATTTGTTATATCACTTATATTTTCCTATTTTCATTTGTCTTAATTTTTCAGGGCCGTATGCGGAATATTTTTCTGGTGGGGGAGGGGGAAAGATGCGTTAAAAGTTTTCGAAGAATCTCAAGAGCAAAAGGAGTGAAGGGAGTTCGAGCGACCGAACTGGTCATGAGGGTACTTTTGCATTTTCAAAAGTAGAATTGAAGGATTTGGTATAGGCCTAAACTACATTTTCAGGAAAAAAAACTGTACGTTTTCAAAATATCTGGGGTCAACTGCCCCCCCCCCCTGATGCGTACGGCCATGGTCTTTTTTTTTTTAATTTCCCCATTATTTTTCCTTTCCTTTTCTTTCCCTTTTTCTTCCTTTTCTCTTCTTCTTCCTTTTTTCTTTCCTTTTCCTTTTTTTCCTTTTTTCTCTTTCTTTCCTTTTTTCTTCCCTTTTCTTTTTTCTTTTTCTTTCCTTTCCTTTCTTTTCTTTTCTTTCCCCTTTTCTTTTTTCCCCTGGAGCCCGTCAGGGGGGACAATCTCTGCCCCCTGCCCCCCCCCCCCATAGGTACGCCAGTGGCTATATTTAATAAAGAAATAAAAAGTTTAGTTTGAAATGTTATGACAGAGATAATATACACTGGAGGACTTGGGAAGGGGTAGCGGGAGGGGTTGGCAGTATCGAGAGGGTGGCGGGGGGGGGGGGGGGGTGGTGAGGTTATGGGGATCGGTAAGGGGGGGGGGTAGTGTATTGGTAAATTACTATGATTTTTATAAAAATTGATATTGTATGTAAATTAATATCATTTTTGCTTTGGACCCCATGGAAGAACAGTACCATTTTGAAAATGGTTCTGAAATGGGCTATCCAACCGTTTTTCTATACTTTACACATTTACTTACTTTTATGTATGTTTTTTAAACTTGTATGTATATATAGATTTCGGAAATAAAAACAAACAAACAAAACAATTTAATTCCGTATCAGTCACTCCGTTGACAATAATTGTATAGATTTAAAATTGTTCAGGAAATAGTAGTACTGTCAGTTTATCCTACATTGCTACCATGCGTGATCTCTTTATATGCGATCTTTCCTGCATAATACATTCGAAATATACTGCCACATTGTCTGTAATAAACACGTGGCAAAATTGAGTGCTTGATCACACCGGTTCGAGGAAGTCAAGATATTGATAACCGTAGATACCAAAGACATGCCAACAACAATAATTACTACATCAATAAAAACAGACAGACTGTGATTTGCACCTTTTGGTGCATTGATAAAGAGATCACCGAAACCGATGGTAGAATACGTGATAAATTTGAAGTATATGAGATCAATCAAGGTCCACTCATCTTCCAGAATACCGGAGTTCCATATTAAGATGGTGAATAAGCTTACCACAATAAGAACGAAAAAGATGACGAACCAGACTGGAGCGAGCGGACTCTCACAATCCTTCGTATCAATGTCCAAATCTTCTGTTTCAGGCCCGTCAGCTTCATCGCCGTCGTGACAGGATTTCGCTTCCCCAGGTTTTCGATCCACGACATTAACTTCGGGAAGAGCGGATCCCGTGAAACTAGTCTCTGTCCAATCAGAATATATCACGTGGAACACTGATGACCTGGTCACTTTGTCACACGTCTCTTCAAGCCTATCACATCGCTGTTTATCTTTCTCCGTGCCAGGGTCAGGCAGTGTAGCGCCCTCACGATCTACCCGATTAATATGCGCGCTGGGCCTGCATTGGCGAGTTTTACCGGAACAACATTCTTTGTTCTGATGATCTTGCTTTGGTTGGCTTTTGTAACATGGACAGTTGCGGAAAGCTCGTAAACACATGCAGTAAGTGCGGTCGATGAGACGGGCGATTACTCGTCCAATACCAGCCATGAAGATGATGTTGATAGGGATTCCGATCATGGCGTAGATGACGCATACAGCACGCCCAAGCTGGGTCCGAGGAACCACGAGGCCATAACCTGACATAAAAATAAGATTAAAAAATAGTCCAGTGAACTATTGTTTGTTTAAACTAAACATAGGGCATCCAGCGCAATATTTAGAATTCAGTAGTATACAACGTACGCGTTTATATTTGTTACGTTCTTGTCAAATAACCTACTTTCTATAAGGGGAATACTGAAGGATCAAGTAAAATATTAGCATTTGCAAGTCGGTCTTTTAAATACGCAACGCCACCTTCTCATGATTAAGGAAAAAATGGAAGACAGATGTACGCGCGGCGTACCACCATTTTCAGGAATTGATAGCTAATGTAGCATTTTAAAAAGCCATTCAGGTAAAGAAGCGTTGATTGCGGAAAAAATATTTAAGTCAAGGTTCATCATAAAATCCAATTATTTACTAAGTATTGAATGGTTTTGCTGAGAGAATTGAATTGAATATTCGAGGAAATAAAATACATTTTACATGACAGAAAGTTAGGGCATTCATCGACTTTTAAGATTTCGGGTTAGGATTACGTATTTGAATACACAATTTATTCCAAAAATATTTGGGAAATGTCGACCCCGCCCCAACAAATCAAAAGTAGGCCTACCCCGGTCACACTGGCGAGATCGACACCAGACCAAATACTCCGATTGGCCAAGATGTGATCGGTGTAGAGTCGGCTAACATGGAGTCGGTTTGGCAGTGTGACTGAGACATACTCTTTTATTATTACTTTCAGATTGTAAAGTGTGCGTTCATATTTGTATTAGACTGAGCAGTATACAAACCTATAGTGGATACAACGGTGAGACAGAAGTGAACACCCCCTGCCATATCCCACTTGTAATTACGCTTCTCAGGGTGATATCGATTCACGATTTCGTCGATGGAGTCCTCGATGACATCGCTTTTAAGATAGTCTGTTTCTGTCATTACGAAGTTGATCTTGGGTGTGGATACGTTTTTGATAGTCTGTTAGGAATAATGGAGAGAAGAGAGCGTTCATAGTCGTTGGAGAAGTGTGTGTGCGTGTGTGTGTGTGTGTGTGCGTGTGTGCTTGAGAGAGAGAGAGAGAGAGAGAGAGAGAGAGAGAGAGAGAGAGAGAGAGAGAGAGCACCAGTGAACAGGAGGTTGAAACAGAAGCAGATCAATACATATTTTTTGGATGAAAAGGACACAAACAAATATGAGAGAGAGAGAGAGAGATAAGAGAGGGGAGAGAGACAGAAAGGGAGAGGGAGAGAGAGAGAGAGAGATAAGAGAGGGAGACAGAGAGAGAGAGAGAGAGACAGACAGAGACAGACAGACAGAGAGAGAGAGAGAGAGAGAGAGAGAGGGAGGAAAGGAGGGATAATTTGAATTAGAAATTAATAATTAAGAGGCACATTTCACAAGAAAATAATACTATCCATATAATATTCATAACGAGCATTATAACGGTTTTCCAACCCCAAAAGTGCGGTTAGAAAAATGGAAGGGAAAAAAGCTTGCATCGAAATCGACAAAATACTCTATTTAATTGGTATATAGCGATTATTGCGATTACCATTTGACGCCAATTGACGGCAAAATTACTAGTCAATTGCATACTTGTTTGATCGATTGTTCAATTAAGTGAATTAAAAGTTCACAGCAGCAAATCGGTTTCAAATTGATTGAATTATCAAAAGATGATACTAAATGAGTAACTATTTTGATGGTTGCCTAGCAATTTGTCCTATGAATTGTCATAGTCTATGTTCTGATACGTCACTCGTCAATTTGATTTCAAATGTTATTTCATGAATTTTTCACACACTGGCAAAAAATTCGGAAAAATATTAATTTTTTAATATTTTCAGTTGGAGTGGAAATTGCCCTTCAAGCGAAATTATAATCAATCAAAGTGTCAATAGCTTAATCGTCCTTCTGTGTGTTTTACGTGAGAGTGCCAACCACAATGTCGTGTACGGCAGGTGAAAATGGTGGCAATTATTCATGTCTCTTCCACACCCCCCCCCCCCCCCCCCGATCGGAAAATAAGCTCCAAGTTGTGCGAAGTAGGAGTAGAGGAGGAGGACTAACATGAAAATAATTATAAGTACAAGTATAATTATAATTATAAGTATAAGTATAAGTATAAATATAAGTATAAATATATATAAATATAAGTAGTAGTAGTAGTGGAAGTAGTAGCAGAAGAAGAAGTAGTTTTAGTAGCAGAAGTAGTAATAACAGTAGTAGTAGTAGTAGTAGTAGTAGTAAGAGGAATGGTAATAGTTGGGTATTAGTAGGAAGAGGAGTAGGAGTAGCAAGAGTATAAGTATAAGTACACTGTCGCTCATAAAGTTGGAATATTTTTGTTTTACTCCAATTTATGGAATTATTTTAAAAATAATTTTAAAATAATAGATTTAGATAATAGTATACATTCTCAGATTTTATTGAATAATAATATGCTAATGTGTGTTTTGCGTGACTGCTAAAGCATGTGTATGCTACTATGCTTATCAACTAGGGAACCTACGCTCTTAAGTCATAAATGACAGTAATGAGGATTAATGCCCCACAAAAGGGCACTAATATGAGCAAATCGACACGGTTTTGATCCTGGGGCTTCACAGTTACGAGGTCATTGCTTTGTCACTGAACCAAGATTGTACGCAGCGGGGGCTAGGGTAGGGGGCAGTTTCCATAAATTAAAAAACTCAGGCTAACAGTCATTTGGTCTAATTTCCATATCGTCTCCAATAAGTCTACTACCAATTTGGCTTATTGCTCATTAAGGCTAATTTCTAGTCGGTCTCATTCCCATTTTTTCCAATATCCATAACGTCTACCATCCGTAAGGTCTGATAATCATTTTGATGATTATCATTATTTATGATTAAATTATTATTAGACCAAATGGATAGTACTACAAAATGGGCATTAGACAAAATGGGCATTACACAAACTGGAAATTAGACTAAATGAACAATAGACCACATAATAATATGTACTAGTAGACCGCCTTGCATTTAAGGTGTACATGATTATAAGAATTAATCATAAATGAGTTGTAAGAGATAAACTATTACCGCTTTGGAAAAGTGAGTCGTACAAAGACTTCATGAAATCTGAAATACTCGTATATAGTGAGTTATGATTCAGATATCATGCATAACTGTTTTTTAATCACGTAACACAATACATTGCAGAGATCTTTCCCTTCAATAAACCTCAGGTTTCCGCATTAACAAAAATAAAAGAATGGATCCTACCCGTGTTATCAATTCATGAAGCCATCTTTTTTCCTCTGCATCTTTGTGAGTTTCCCTTTGTCCTTCAATCCTGCTAAACATGTAAGCTCCTAGAGAGAGATAAGAAAACCACACCACCGTCGGGATGATCACTTTCCTTGTTAATAATGTTCTCATGGATTGAGAACATGCCATCTTTAACTCTCAAATATTCACAGATCTTCCAATCTATTGCACCCACCTAGTACGCTTAAGTGCTCTCATAAACCGAGGTTAAAAGCTAATTTCCAGATGATTTATATTTTGGTCTTTGCCATCCTTGAAATTGGCAGAGATGGACTAAAAGCCTTGATCATCAACAATTTGTCGATTTTGTTATGTCCGTTGTGACATAAAACGATCATTTATTGTTCGCGACAAAAAGATGTCCGCATGTTTGACGAGACCACTTATCTTGCCGGCTCTGTTATATTATATTAAAAGAGATGTAATGAAAGTGGCACTCGATTTCATTTTGTCATGCGCAGATTACCTTGACGCGGCAGTGGGTTGAGGGGATGTCATCCCTATATAGAAGCAGAATATGTCCATGCTAATGGGAATTATCAGCTTATTCGTCAGGTATTTCATCTACCGTCAAACAAAATACACTCTTAAAATGATTGTGGCTATAACAACACGATGGAATTGCTCGTCTCCATTGCTGCCTCGCGATCGTACTAATGAAGACCTCTCTAGATGGTATAGGGCATTGTTCAATAATTACGAGTCATAAACTAATTTCAATCCATGCCCATTATTCGCAGAAGTAAAATTGCGAAGGTAAGATTGGTTCGAAGATACGCTGAATCACGGTACCTTTCTAAGGAGATAAACAAACATAATAATAGCGACAGTACCTCGGAGTGACATCAGATGAATAGACAATTATTATAACCGAGATCTCTGCATGACGAGATTGAAATTACAAATGTCTCTAGCAAGTGAGTTTGAGTTCTTCATTGAACTGAAACGGTCTGCATCAAAAGGCTATGACTTATAAGGATGTGAAATGTCAGATGAACCGTCCTAATTCTTTCAAACTAATACACTCATCGATATGGTTTGCAGTATGAGCATCTGTTCTGTCCAGTGGCGTATGATGATACAAGACCCATGGAAAGTGGGTTTGGGTGGGGGTGTGGCCGGGACTTGTCGACCAGTGACCCGTTTCACAAAGCCCCTTTTCAATGAAAAATGACAAAAATCAATGACAAATCTGCTGATAACCAATCAGAAGCAAGGGTTTCAGTAGCTTATAACAAAAACTGTCATTTGTCACTGATGACAAGCTTTGTGAAACGCCCCCTTGGTGCATAATCACCTGCCAGACTAGCGCCGCCCCTAATTACAATCATGTTCTCTTCAAATACCCCGCTTCAAAAAATCGTTTCAAAGAGACAGTGCATAACCCTCACAGTCATGACGGATGAGACTAGCTAATCTACGCACTGACACGACTTCACTCGTTTACAATAATTGACAAAACGTTGTCATGGCAGTATTTGACTTCAATATCGAGATTGACAATTTCCGCCGGGAGCACAATGGAGGTATAGATAGTCGATGTATTACAGGGTTACCAATATATATATAGGATGAATTACATTGAAATTGATGATGCTATAATCATCATTACTGTATAGAAGATCAGTTAGTGGATAGCTAATCACCCACGACCAATATCCAATCAGTATCCAATCGATTTACCCCGCATATACCAATATATATTATTAATATCAAATTAAAACAACGAGTTATGAAGATTGATCTGCATTATGTTTACACCCCAATTGTTTCTTATATTGACTCACCATGTAACCATAATAAAATGGATTCATTTTTTACCTTGTGTCATGGCAACCCTCGAGTATTAAATTTTCAACGCGTGCATGCTCAGCTGCCGCTTCCATGGTCGCTAAGCAACGGACATCCTTAATCTTGTTCTATAAAAATTATCGAGTGGAAAAAAGTCATGCCGAATTACTAGTTTTATCTACATGTGCGAATGTGCTGACAATGTGTAGGAAGGACAAGGTCGACTGATGTGCTATACATGCCCCCATTTCGTCTAATTAAGATCCAACCTCACAGTAGTAATCACATCGCGGTGCATAATGATATTTTAGGTACTTCAGCATCAATATCCTTATTGACATCATGAAATTACTAGCTCAAATACAATGGAGGCCTTTTTTTAAAGGGTAGAACTTATTTCAGCAGGTTGTTAATAAATTGATGGAGCGAGAGGATCAGTCATCGCTGTCGGAAAACGTGAGTGAAGTAACGATGTAGCCAATTTATCCTACCAACGTTCACAACATAAATGTCATTACGCCAATAACAACCATCAAATCTCAAAATGTCACTCCAGCAAAAAAGCAACATAACTTATACAATATTTTAGGATAAGCCTGCCAAGCTACTATATAAATAGCCATTGTCGCATATTCAGGTGAAAACAAGTTTAAAGATTAAGGTGACAGTAGTGGTTCATTCATTTGACTTTTAATCAAAAGGTTGAGTGTTCGAATCCCAGCTCGCCATTAATGTTTGGAAGGTGCATTCATTTTTTACATGTGCCTCACCTAAATCTATTCATAGTCAAGAATAATAGATGGGGTCTGATTTTTTGATGATTTTTTTTTTTTGGAGGGGGGGGGGGGGGGTGTTGCGGGGGGAAGGAGCTTGGACAGCCGAGCCATCATTTCCGAAATCATAAACTCCATGGATTAACCCAAAAAAATCCTACCTCACCCCCCAAAATGAAATCCCCAATGGGCAAGGTCAGGGAGATTATAGAAATCACGTTTCTGGAGGTAAAGTAATGTCAGGAACCCCCTCCCTCCAACACACTGACATGTTGACGGAGTGGAACAAAATTGGTGTTACGGGAAAATCGCTCCGACTTCAGTTTGCTACATTAACCGAATTCCTACACTCACCCCTATACCAACGCTACCCCCAAAGCTTAAAGGTACTATGTCCCATTTGCAGGCCCAAAAAATGAAAAAGTTAAATTCCAGCTGCATTTCAAAGATAATACTAATTTAGGACTTCCCTAAAAAAGGTGGGGCTTGAAAATGTCTTCAAGTGGGAAAATAACGACTATTAGTTGTCAAATCGACTTTAGGGCTATAGAGCCCAAAAGTAATAGTCTTGATTTTCAGACAATTGTACCGAATGGTCATACGTTTTATGCTGCACAAAGATTCAATCAGTTTAATCTTGGCCATCACAAGAAGTGGGTTATTGATGTAGACAAATGCTCTTAGTACCCTTTACAACTCTTTTCATGTATGTTATTACCAAAGAAGAAAAAAGCCAGTCAGTCACTCAATAGTGTCTGACAGTGAAGTCTAGCAAGTAAACGGGTTTCCTTGCATAATTTGAATATGAGGACACTGCTAACGTTTAAATTTCACAGATAGGACTTACATGACATATTCATAATTCCTGCAAAGTTCTACAGAATTTGAGGTTGGCTGCAAAAGGGACATAGTACCTTTAAATGATTAATACATGCGTATTTGTCAGTCTTTCTTTATACAAATGATTTTCCCCATCCGTTATGAATAATTTATTTCAAGAGTCAGAATGCAACATTGCATTCATAATGTGTTGTTCTGTAGAATAAGCTATTTAGCAACATAATATTTAGCACCAACTAAGGTATTCAATTTGCATTCTAAAATTTGACATGCATTCATAGCACGACAGGTGAATGTACAGTTCAAGATGTACTGTAGACCGGTAGTGGTACAATTGCGGATCAAGGGTTTAGGGTGCAAAATATAAATTCAATATTGATTAAATATTGCCTTCAGAGGTTAGATGGCGACACTTCAACCTAAATTCGCAAAAAACAGAAACATAATTATGCTCAAATGTTCAATGTTGAAGTGCGGTCGCGATATCTATCCAGGCCGGAAGGATATGATAATATATGATCCAAATATTAGTAGGCGGTTTCCCGGCAAAATTTGTACTATCACGTATTAGTCGAAACATATTCTTTCATATGATTGGTAATAAGAGCTTCCATTTTCATTTGTTGAGAGGGGGTGTTTCCAAAACTAGTCTATACCTTTAAAAATACCCTTACCAAGTGTTTTGTAATTCTTTTTAAGGAGGAGAAAATTTGATTTGTCCTGATTTCGGTTTCTCGAGAATGTGACATAATTATCTAAGCGTATACTTTTAAAAGTATTAAAAGTAAAGAACGTGAACCTATCCTACACCTCTATTCAAGGTATATGGATTTGTGATTTGTGTGCCCTCCCCCCCTTTATAGCTAATTAAAAGTATATTTGTTATAATCGATACGATAAACGTGCCTCTATACAGGTGCACTCTGCAATGGCATACACTTCATGCTCAACATTTACAAAGGTAACAGGTTAACGATCTAGTCCTTAAAGGGAGAGTTCTGTTTTCAGACCGCAAATGCCTACAGGGTGCATGGTTATTGCTCTTATTTTTATCTATGACATTTCTAGTGCCCTTTTAGAACCTAAAATTGCCATGAAGGTAATGTTAGACCCCACAATGTGTGAAATTTAGCCAATACGATCATACCAATTCAGCTCCACTTAAAATAAAAACACGGTGACTGTTAATTAATTATTAAATTAAAAATAACAATACATGGGCCGGCTGGTTGTGCGTAATATAAGCAACACGAACATGCCAACAAAAAAGCCAACATCGGCATTGGCTGAAATACGACGTATAAGGCGTTATTTCGTTTTTTCAAAGGTTTTTTCAACGGTTTTTTCAAATTTTTCAAAATATCTAATATTTGTGGTGGTACACAAGTATTATAAATCGTTATATTTCAGCCGTCTCTGAAGCGATTTTGATCAAACAAAGATGGTTTTGTCATTTAAATATTATGTTCTTTCAAATTTGACACTCAGTTTTTCATTATCTCACAAAAAAATATTTTGTGTAGCGCCCTCTGCAACAGAACTCAACTATAGGAATGTCGCTCAACATAGCTTTTCTGAGATTCCCCCGCCTCTCGGTTAAATCAAGCAATATAAAATATTTTGTCTTATTCTCAAACTTAAATGTACTCTGTAAACTTATTTTATTACGTAGATACTTATCAATATTTCGTTACTTGTATAATCCATTTGTTCTATTATACATGTATATTGTATTGTATGATTTATATATCATTTTAATTTGTGGATGTTTGAGTGGAAAAATAAATCAAATTAAATCAAATCTGCTGACCACTGAAAAGCGGTGATTGTGATTATCGCGTTCAAGTTTAAGACCGAATTTTTTCCCAGTACCATTGAGAGTTATACTAGACTGTTTAACAAATACATTTGACACTTTTGATCGTTAATATATACTTAAAAAATTATAATTCATATTAGACGGCAGTTTTCACATTGGAAGTTGAAAGTTGTCCAATATATTTGGAAAAGTTTTTGTGCAATTTCTATCATAGAAATGTATTCATAATGAATAATATTCTTTAAATTATGCTTTTTTTTCTTCTTTTGTTTTGTTTTGTTGTTGTTGTAGCTTGGAATAGTTATTGAGATATCACTTTTTGAAAAATTAAGGCCGCAAAACCTTTGCGCATTATTAGAACAATACCATTGAGCATCACATCTGTTATTTCTGCCATCTTTTGCTACCCAGTGACATTAATGATTCACGATTGTGAATTGAAAGAGGTGCTATGGAATTTCAGCTGCTATGCATAATAATGTAAATTTCAATACATTTAACTTATAACCATGTGAATATCGTAAATCGATGATTTCCTTATAATGAACAAACCTGTTCTTTACCACTCCAAAGAGAAGTTTTTAATTTGAAATATAATCTTTTGCAATTTCTCGTTTTGTCTTTAGATGTTAACAATGGTTTTGAATAATTTTATTTGTTTGTACTTTCCTAAAGCTTCGTGCGATACATTTAACTTATAATTATGTGAATATCGTAAATCGATGATTTCCTTATAATGAACAAACCTGTCTTTTACCACTCCAAAGAGCAACGTGTCTGACACGGCCGGTTGTACTACATTAATCTTGATCTAAGGAGACACAAACGAACGACCTTCTCATCTTGTCGTTAGATGTTTAAAATGGTTTTAAATAATCGCTAAACTCCTAATGTAATTTCAACAACCCTGTTTTCTGAAATTCTCATTTGAACTCTTTGGTTGTTTTTTGTTTATATATTTTATTTTTAATTTATGCCAAACTATGTTCATTGTAAATATGAAATTGATATGTCTATTTTGTAATTTTGCATGTTGTTATCTGTGACCTATTTCACAATTCAGCCTCGCGGCTGCGAAGATATTTTTTAATAAAAAAAAAAAAATATATATATGAGCACATTTTTTTTTTTTTTTGATCTTCAAAAAAAAAATTCAATTTGCACCCCCCCCCCCCTTGAGCGCCAGGGGGGGGGGGGGGGGCCCAACCCCCCAAAAAGGTAAAAATCACGTGATTTTACATGATTTTTTTCTCAAGGGGGGGGGGGGGGGGGGCTTTCTTCCTTTTTTCTCCCTCTCTCTCTCTGTTTCCTTTCTCTCCTTTCTTTTCTCTTCTCTTTTCTTTTCTTTTCTCTTCTTTTTTTTTCTTCCGTTTTCTCCTTTCTTTTTTCTCTTCTTTTCTCTTCTTTCCTTCCTCTTTTTTTCCCTTTTTTTGCGCCGCCAACGGGGGCCGTTTCGGCCCCCCCCCCTGGATCCGCCACTGTATAGCTGTATAATTGTAAAGATACAGAAGCTCAATAATGATATCAATAATGATATCAAATTGAATACTAATGTATTTTGCGACAATTCACAATACCGAATATGGTCAGGGCAAACACTGCAATGAGCTAGCAGCCGACACAACAATACACAAGTCATGCCTGAACTCATGTTCTTAAAATAGACACGGTATTTCCTATTATAAATACAACGCGCAAATGGCGCTGTGGTGTTAGTGTGAACAAGAGGCAAACGAAAATCTAGCAGACGTCGTCGTAGAGATAGTGAGTTTTTATCTTTTTATCATATTTCAAAGGTGTATGGAGTCAACAACGTGTATATCATTTGCTGTCATATAGGTTCCACTTATTATGCAGTTAATTGTTTCATGACAGAAGGATTTATTGAGGTTCGAGCTCGATTCTTCCGCCTTCTCACTGGCCCATGTAAAACCCTATGGAGATCGCATGCAGTCGTGGTTACCTGTCCGTACGCGTTGTGTGAATGCCGAGTGGGTGGGTGTGTACAATTTGTACATGGCTATGCATGCCTGTATCTGCGAACATAAAGATTTGACATGACATGATTTGGCTCTACAGTATTCCTGTAATTTGCTGTCATTTAAGTAAGATTAGATTTTATTTGACTCTATCGACCCGCTTCAGACGTATCATATTTACAAAGTAGCAATTCAGAAAGGTATAAAACAATTAAAGTAAGATAGGCCTAATTAATAATGAAATGCAGGCCTAGGTTCTAGACCCTCTAGAGTCTATAGAGTCTATAGGTCTAGATTCTATATCAATTTTTTGTATTTCTAAAACACAATAAACATGAGCTAAAGGCTAGTAGGCCCTATACACTAAACAATTTATAGTTATAAGTCTAAAATACCACGTGGCTCGGTTTGTCTACCACTACAACAGTACGAGTAACTAGACTCTAGATCTAGGTCTACACTTTTATTGACAAAAATAGGACTAGATCTAGAGTCTATTGTGTCTTTCAGCCTTAAGGAACAGCAAAGTATTAGGGTCTATTACTGTTAAGAATTTTCTTACAAGTTTCTTAATTGTTTAACACTAGATCTAGAACACTATTAAACAATTTGTCCATGTGAAATGTGCTAGGGTTATACTCGCAACAAACTGTTGATCTAGATAGATCTAGACTAGTCTAGACTAACTGCCTTTCTTTCTTGAAAAAACTTGGAAGGGCATGCAGACAAAAATATAGTGAAATTCATCTCCTAATTTAATCTTTAGAAGCAAGATCAATGTATTTTTTGTACAAAGAAAAAACGGCCATGCATGGCCATTCATTCCAACATTGCAAAGAGCAAGACTGAATGAGAGGATTCAATCTATTCACTTTTAGTGAAATCATATAATGTACAAATCTACACTGCATTCAGTTTACAATTTTTACATGAAATATAACATTATTCAGGCTTGTAAAAAGTTGCAGAAAATAGACCTTACAATGTATGTCAGTTTGTCAGTATTGTTGGATATTTGCAACATTTGTAATGTTTTAATATGTAAAGACTTAATATTGATGTTTGTTTTGAGCTCAGGGTGTGGGGGGGGGGGGGGGGGGGTACGTGCTTATACTTGTCAAATCGTTATTCAGGGATCTCTCTCTCTCTAATACTAAAAAGTCACTTTTTTGTGCCCCCAAAAAATCCCTAAACATGTGGTATGAATCTGTGTAAGAAAATACCTAAAAATTGCCTTACTTTTAGTGTTTTTGCCTTAAAGGTAAAGACCAGTATTGGAAAGGCCCCAATTTCAAAAAATGAAATGGAAGCTCTCATTACCAATCATGTGAAAGAATATGTTTTGACTAATACATGATAATAAAAAATTTGCCGGGAAACCACCTACTAATTCATATATTTGGTAAATTTGTTTCTCTCATGGTCTGTGAGAGATATAGGGTAGTCCCATATACATCTTTCTGTGTATAGTGCTTGTAACTTTAGAATGGGCCAAATTTCTTATCATTTTGATGATTCCAGAACCTTGCAGATGCTAGATGCTAGATGATCAACCTTTTCTGATCGATTCCACAACGTTTCTTTCACAATGCAATCGCATGACCGTAACTGGTCTTTACCTTTAATAATTGTTATTTTCTACGGAATAATATCTCATCCTTATTTTCTGTAAAGTAAAAGTCCCAGATGCAAAAATGATTGAAAACAATTTGCTCTTTCATCCAAAGTCCATGATTGTCCAATACCCTTTTCTATCGAAATAGCCCTTATAAAGTGTGGGGGCTTCAGCCTCACGCCCCACTCCAAGTGAATTTTTAATTTGTTATTGTTTTAATCAGATTCAAGTTAACAACTGCACTCTATAATGACTATATCAACATATTTCTGTTTTTTCCCCACAGATCATTTCAGTCGATCATAAGGTAAAATCCATATCAAGCAAATCATAAAGATGGTCAAGCAACTGATGGACATGTGTTTGGGCTGCATAGCCCAGAACCTTCACGCAATCAGCAACGTCGGCAAACACCTTCCCACATTGCACAAAGAGAAAATACTCCAGTGGGTCGTGGATCATAACATGCTGACGACAGAATACGTTCCACATGTCACGTATCATCTCTTCTCTCCCGCACTGAGGTCCATCTCGTTCAACGATTGTGATCAGATCACAGATAAGCTTCTCATACAGCTTGATGCATGCAAGTGTGTTCTGGAGAGTATCACAATTGACGGGTGTAAAGTGACAGGTAGGAGGTGCAGCTCATCCTAAAACCTCACTCACACTGCAAAACCAACACCAAAGCCACTGAAAACCAACAAAATCTTGACATTCAAAGTAAAATAAGTTTTCAGTTTGGTGTTTAATAGTCTTCTTGTAACTGCATGAAATATTTAAGCTCTCTGAAATAATTTCCTGACTTGATGGGGAGGATTTTACCCCATGGTATAGGGCAATTCCACGGTAACGGAAGGACACTCAGACAAGATTTTTGAACTTCAGGTTGATACTAAAAGAACTGTTTTATTAGTATAAGATGTGAAACAGTACAGATATAATACCTATATAAGTGCCTTCAATTCTCCCCCCAAAAATTGTCATTATAGTTAAGTAGTTTAAGAATGTGCATATTAATTATCTCGGTAACGGAAGGACATAAAAATGGACATGGTTTTTCCAGTTAATTAGTGTTTATCCAAATTTTGTGAAGTTGATAAAGCTTTCCACTTGACTGAAACACATTTTGTTCCCCATAGTTTAATACATACTAATAAAACATTTCTTTTAGTATGAACCTGAAGTTCAAAAATCTTGTCTGAGTGTCCTTCCGTTACCGTGGAATTGCCCTATAGTCCTTAGAAGATCCTGTATATGAGTTTGATGCATGCATGTGTCACAAAGTCGCTGACGGAGCAGTAGCAAAAAAGAAAAGGAGCCCACTTTTATTGGGGGGGGGGGGGGATGTATCGACACTTGGCAGCACATGTCCCCATCCTCGCCAGTAGTGCATTTCATTCCTTACTTTGTTATGACGTTTACAACACCTTAGAGATCAATCCTGAAGAAGGTTCTGATTTTATTTTTGTCAAAGTGTCTCTCTCTCTCTCTCTCTCTCACATGGTGCACCCGCAAGCCTACTATACATCATAGTCATTGTAGGTATACTTTTCAGGGTTACAGCATTTCCTTTTTAAAGCTTATCAACACTAGTGTGGCTAGGAGGGATTAAACCACACAGCGAGGTCACTGACAGGTGGCTATCTCATCAACTGAGCTCTCAAATAACATAAGAAATAGAGGATCATGCGGGACCAACAGGCACCGATTGGGGAAGTTTTCTATACAGAGGGAGCAAGTACATGTAGCTACAAGTAGGACAGTGGGGCTTTAAAGAGCCCTCAAAAGGGCCGATGAGCTGACTGAGCTCTGCTAAGAGCTCTTGGTTCTCTGTTCTTTGTTTACCTTCAACACTTAATATAGATCTTACTGATTTGTTGAATATGGAATAAAATTAAGACTTGTTATTGTTTTCATTGTCAGATGTTGGTGTATCAGCCTTACTGAGTCATCAGGTTGAACTGCAGACCCTGGTCCTGAAGGAACTATCTGAGCTGACAGGGACAGGGTTAGAAGTCCTTAGGTCGAGAAAGTTAAAAGAAGTGGAACTCTTCCAGTGTATTAACATTACCAACAAAAGTAAGTCACATCATTCATTGATGGACTTGAATCATGGTCCATGCTTGAATCTAATAAATACCTGGTGAGGGATGTGTAGTTCATGGGTTCAAGCCACGGCAAGGCACACATGAACATTTAGCAACATGTTTATCTTTACTTGCCACTCTTAACCCATGTGTAGGAAATGCAGGGGCGGATCTAGGGGGGGGGGGGGGGGTTGGCGGTTTAACCCCCTCCCCCCCCCCCCCCCTTGGGCGGCCAAGTGATGAAAAAAAAGAAAAGTAAGGTGAAACAGTGCAATTTTTGGAAAATCCTGGATCCACCACTGGGTCAAACCCCAAAAGATAGATCCGCCCCTGAAATGGATAAGCCTACCTGGTAGGGTTCATTCCTTGAAATGCACTGTGCACTGAAAATGGTTACCAGAGCCAAAGAAGGGGTAATAGTTCCTTCATGCTCTTTGGAACAAATTGAAAGCACATTGAGACAATATCATAATAATTATGTAGTATGTGCTATAAAATGACAGAAATTATAATACTTATTTATTGGGACATGACTATAGGAAAAAGTTCAATACATTAAATATCCTGGTTTTTAAAAATCAAATCACTGGTGTTCATAATGACTCAATAAATTATGACAGCTAAAGGGCAGTCAGACCTATATCCTATGGAAATAAGTGTATGAAATGCTGTCATTATCGATAGGACAATCACTTTCACATGATTATAAGTTGGCACTAAGGCAGATCTGATTTTAGTTAAATGAAAATAGAAATGCACCATATTGACATGAATTTATTTTAAGGGGTGTTATTGGTTTAGTACAAGAGAAATTATATTAACAGCAGCATAGAGCTTATATTCCATTTCCAACTGTTTTAACTTCTATTTATTCATTTTCTATTCCTGTTTTGCCCACTTTATCTCCCAGGCCTAGTAGCACTTGTGACAAGAAATCCAACGATAGCAAGACTGAATCTATGTTCATGCTATAAGCTGACACACGAAATCATCCCTACAATAGCAGTAACACTCGCAAATGAACTTGTAAGTGTATTGATCTCGCTCAAAGAAAGTGATTCTAGGATAATCACAATGGCATAGTAGTCCTGGGGAGTGTTTCACAAAGAATATGATTGACTTAAAGATAAAGACCAGTTATGGTCATGCGATTGCATTGTGAAAGAAACGTTGTAGAATTGATCAGAAAAGGTTGATCATCTAGCATATAAGCATTGGTGTGTTCTGCAAGGTTCTGGAATCATCAAAATGATAAGAAATTTGGCCCAGTCAAATAATAATCTACATAATTTACTGTTTTTGATAAAATATTATCTAAAGATCCTAATTTAGAGACCAATTGTGAGAGCACCCAGAAACATGAATGGCCTGCTATACATGTAGTTCAAGTCTAACTTAAGTCTATCTTAGTCTTTGTGAAACACTCCCCTGGACAACTTCCCCGGACCCTGGAATGAATGAAAACACTTTTTTAAAATCAAACTTGACCATGATACGTTACACGATAGAAAATGGAAATACCTGTTCTTTGGTAATAGGACACAACTCGATCAATAGCAATACTTCTTAGTTCAAGTTAGCATCCTTTGGCAAAATCTTACCATAAATTGGCTGCCATAAACCAGAGTGATACAAGTATGGTTGCCAGCTATGACCGGGTAATAATGTTGGAGTGCCAGGGGTGTCACGACGTGACGGACGTGTGCACTTTATAAGAAGCCTCCATTATTATTTTCATTTATTATCTCATCTTAATGCTTGCAATTGTTTGTTATCAATTATATCTTATTTCTTTTTTATAATGATAATTTGCAACAATGAACAACAGTACAGAGTATTGATTATGCTTTATTTTTGCCTTTTTTTTTTCTTCCCAGGAGCATTTAGACCTTAGCAGCATTCACACAATAGATAATAATGATCTGGTTGTATTATCACAGCACTGCAAAATCTTAAAAGGGTAAGCATAATTTTGGTTGTTGACAAAATAGTTAGTGAGTATTCGGTGAAATTATCTTAATATAGTGAGCTGTGATATGTTGTGTAGTAAACGAATGAACAGTCAAACTGATGGTCCGTCGTAAATCATAGGAACACGCAGTACCTGTGTTTGCACCATGTCAGCTCTTTCTATGCACAATATATATTTGACCAGGCATGGTGGCTCAGTGGTTAGAGCGCCCGCCTCATGAACGGGAGGTCGTGGGTTCGAACCCCGGCCGAGTCATACCGCAGACTTATAACAATGGGACCTTCTGCCTTCTAGCTAGGCGCTCAGCATATTAGACATGTAAAACAGAAAATAATGACAATTAGCATTACCATAAATTATTTTCTTGTGTCTTCCTAACCAACAGGATTGTACTTCATGGCTGTAATAGAATAACCAGTGCAGGGGTGATGGCGGTAAGTAAAAGTGGCATATAGAACAAATATGTAAACAAATATGTAAAGGACCAATTAAAAAGATATATGCTTTTTTTAAATGAAAATATTTTATGTGCAATTGAAATGCATGTTCAGCCTACAAAAAGGTACATTATCACCGATTCTTATTCTGTGACCTCAAGTTATCTGTACTCCGTTAGCCAGAAACGCGTTAACTCTTATAAGTTAAAGGTAAAGACCAGTTATGGTCATGAGATTGCATTGTGAAAGAAACGTTGTGGAATCGATCAGAAAAGGTTGATCATCTAGCATCTAGCATCTGCAAGGTTCTGGAATCATCAAAATGATAAGAAATTTGGCCCATTCTTCGTAAAGTTACAAGCACTATACACAGAAAGATGTATATGGGACTACCCTATATCTCTCACAGACCATGAGAGAAAAAAATTTACCAAATATATGAATAAGTAGGCGGTTTCCCGGCAAATTTTTTATCATCATGTATTAGTCAAAACATATTCTTTCATATGATTGGTAATGAGAGCTTCCATTTCATTTTTTGAAGTTGGGGCGTTTCCAATACTGGTCTTTACCTTTAACGCCCTTCTGTCTCTAACCAGACGAAGAGATACAGATCTTGAAGTTCACTTTGTCAAAGTAGTCTACTGAATCATGTATAGTATGTACGATGCATAAAGATTGGTTGCGTTTGGGTATATGCATACCGTTCACTCCCATTTGTGTTGGTCATTATATGTTTCCTTTATGTCTTCTTCTGCCACAAGCTCTAGAAGATCTTCCTGACACAGTTCCTGTGGATCTCAAAAACCTACTCTGTTAATGCAGTGCTGCCTCAAGGCGTCAAGATTCTTGTATATGATTCCCTTAATGTATATGCAGTCCTGTATACGTTATATTTTTGTCATTGCTTACAGCTGAGTAAAGAATGCACCAAGCTCCAGCTCCTAGATGTCTCCTTCTGCTACAAGCTCCAGGAGAGCTCGAGCAAGGACTTCCTGAAAGAGCTACCTGTAAGTCTCAAGAACCTTGTCCTTTCAGGGCTCCAGCTGGAGGGTGGAGATATCCACACAGCCGTCGCAAGGTTACCAAAGCTGGAGACTCTCAGACTCTGCGGGATAAACTCCATCCCTGAAGAGGATGCCATAAAGGTTTGTGTTCATTTTTAAAGTAATTATAATCTGGATCTTTTTAGCGTCTTCTATAAGTATCAATAAAGGCTATCCAGTTTTGATTACCATACATGGTTCAGATTCATGCATACAATTATTATGCATATTTTAGACTTTTCTGCATTGTTTTAGTCTCCTGTAAATTGCAAAGGCTTGTTCTGATAAGACGCTACAAAACAGCTTTTTTTAGATGCTGCTTGTAAGTTTCGGCTTGCATGGTGATGTAGATATACAGTAGGCTTGCGGGTGCACCATGTAAGAGAGAGAGAGAGAGAGGATAGAGGAGTGCTGAAAAGGACTCTCGGTAATCTTTCTTGAGGGTGTGTAGTCCTGAAAAGGACTGTTTGTGTAGTCTTGAAAAAGACTGTTGGTTATCTTTCTTAGCTTATAGTTCTAAGGAGAACTATAGCGCTTGGAGAGAATGAGTGGCGGGAGCTTTTTTATGATGACATAAAGCGTAGTACGAGTCCTTTGTTGCGCGAAGTTGCCATGCATTAACAAAGAAGGAAAACAAATGTGGCGGCTTTTTACAGTGCCATATCTGAACAAGCCCTAAGTATCCAAGAAGGCAAGAGTTCCCAGCTATGATTTTATTGGTTCAAAAACCGATTAAGAGGCATGAAAATTACTTGATGAATTTATAACATACAAAACAAATTCAAGTTGGACATGATTTACTCAAGAGTTTATATCCTCATTTGCATAACTGAAGGTACCCTATGCTCGAAGAAATATCAATAGTGTCATGGACCTTAAAATACATCAAAATGTATTTTATAGTTTGGTGTGTATGTATATGATGGTATGTGAATTGATTGACAATGTATTACTGTTACTTGCACATTGCCTAGGTCCATGTGGTATGTTATACATGTGTCCTTATCCCTGTACTTTACAGATTTTCGAGACGGTTGGGCCGCAGCTGATATGCTTGGATATGACTGGCTGCCATCAGATCATGACTGATGATATCCTGAGGCTTATCGTCAAGAACTGTAAAGTCTTAGAAGATCTCTGTCTGGCATTCTGTATGAAATTGACTGGTGAGCCGCTGAGGATGCTGTTCAGAGATCAAGAGAGGTCTAGCAACCTGACACTACTCAGGATGAGCGGATGCAAAGATGTGAGTAATGTTCTTTATACCTTCTTAAAGGGATCCGGTAACTTTGTCTCAGATTCTGAAACAAATCCTGGATTTAGCTCATGCTGCAATGATAATTATAAACCTTTAGGTCAGTCAGGAACCCTATGACTTTTACAAGCCGATCGCCTGTCTGATTATCAAGATATTTATGATTGGAAATCAAAACCAAATTTTTGAGTTTTCACAACACTACAGTCTATTGAGAAAAATGAGTATGGTAAAACCGGTCACTCAAAGATTTTTACTTTTTTGAGGCACTTGATCATTTTGAAGTGCAATTTTTTTAGGGCTTCAATATTATACCATATTACAGACACTTATAACATGTAGGGCCGTGCATCTCAGATTTAACATTGTTAAACGATGCCTTTAAGGAGCACTGTGGTGGTATAGTTCATTTGTTTTAGTTTCAATCAAAGAGATTGAGAGTTCGTGTTTACATGGCTCAAAGGAAGAACAAAGATTCTCCCTTGGAGTTGGAGAACTGAATGGTCTCTGTATTAAACCTACTGGAATGGTAGCATTCATGAGGGAATTGGTTTCAAAAAAACATGGGATCAGAAGTTGTATTTCTTGACACAACTGTAATGAAATGGTACCTGGTAGAAAGCAATTTCCGGTATGTATTGAACTTTGGTATAGCAGCTCCAGAAAAGACCAAGATGACATTGCAGCATCAGGAACACTAATGTGTGACAATATAAAGGCAAATTATTAGAAGCCAAAATTTTGTGAATATTTGTTCAGAACATAAGTATCATTATAATCATTTTAAAATCAAAAATCCATTGGGGTTTGACCATTTATTACTGGCAAATATAATTATGAGCTTTACAAATATGACCATGCATTCTCGAAGTCAAACAAACCTTCTACATAGCCTCTTCAGCCTTATTCTTCTGATGTTCCCAAGATAACCAGGCTGGAGTCTTTGGAAAATGTGTGACATCTCAAGATCTACTTTTATCCAACAGGTTGCGCCTCATTCCCCATGAGTGGAACCCTGGACCACCTCATTGAGACTAACTGCATGTGTGACAAATGTCAACTTGTGGCAGTCCAAGTTTGTTCTATTTACCGACCAAAGCTAGTAAAAAGTTAAGTGTTTATGGATATTTTTTTCATTTTCTTCTTTTTTCTTTCAGTTGTACCATGATATCTTGCTAGATATGAGTAAAGCATGTGTGAACCTGAACAAGCTTTACATGGCGGGAATCAAGAGCGTTGATGACACTTTGCTCTTCTCCATAGCAAACCACATGCCTCATCTGAAGAACATCTCACTCAAAAGCTGTGTTGGTTCTTCTGCTGATCAGGTGAAAACTTGATTAATTTTTTTCAGTCTCGTCTGTATTTTAGGCTTGTCATCCACTGATTTCACTTTGTATTGATAAATTTTGAAAGAGTAGGATTTGGTGAAATAAACAGTTGGCTCAAGATCATAACACTTTGAGGGATTCTTGCTAGATAAGACAATAGGGCTACTAAATTTTTGATCACCTAAAAGTGCTAACCACTGAAAATAATGGGTTACCCTCTTCTTAATCTCAAAGAGATGCGGTGTGAGGGCGGTAATGACAATAGTGAATCTTTGAGATCTTTATATAATATAAGTCTGGCATTGTACTTTCAATATTGCCTGTCCATCATGAAATATGGAGTAGTCATTCCCATTTAAATAGAATTTTTGTTGTATTTTTCTTTTCAAGTTTCTTTAAGATCTATCCTTTCCATTGACTGTTCTATTTTACTCAAGTTTATGAATCCTATGGATAGACAAAGAGTAGATCTACCTTCGTTAAGGATATTGACCATAATGTCATTCTGTGTGTATTTCTACAGGTGACGGATAACGGCGTCGTTGAACTGACAAGATGCTGCCCTCTAGAGGATATCTGCCTCGCTGGAATCCACAACATCACAGATAAGAGTATATTTGCTCTCGCCAATAACTGCCCTGATCTCAAGACTCTGTTTGTATCAGGCTGCAGTAAGGTTACAACGCAAGCAACAAACTACCTACAAGTAAGTGCCTCTGTGTAATGATATGGTGTGGGAATTTTCTTTGTATCCAGCTACAATTATAGGTGACTGTATGAAAGTGCTCAAAAACAAGATTCTTATACATGTATTCAGAGATGCCAACCTGTACGATTTTATCATATTTAGTACAATAAAACTATGCAGAATCGGTTGTGATATTGCATGCTCAAGCAATATACAAAATATTGAATGTCATGTGATAGTTTTCAGCCAATAGGATAACCAGGTACCCTATTATATATTATTAGTATTCGTCTTCATCTTTCATTTTCTCTCTTTCTCTCTCTCCCTGTATAGGATGTTTGTAATGACAAGGTATACGTCTACCATCGCCTTCCCAACGCCAATCCAAATCTTGTCATGGCCAAGAATCTTGACACCGGTGATTTCTGTCAGATTGATCAGACAAAATGGTCTATGATGTAACCATAGCAACAATGATTTCTATCTGATGTCTTTCTCATGTCATCAACCAAGATAGATCTTTGTCTTCATCTCAAAATATTTGGCAAGTTCATCATTTGACAGAGCATACTTAAATAGTAACTGAAATAGTGTAGATCTCGTTACACAGTGACTCCTTAATATACAGTTGTATAATATTTTAACCTATGAAGTGGGCAAACCTCATCGTCCCTTAATGATAGTTATCAGATTCCCCAACCATTGAGAATCAATTCATACAATGTGGAAATATGATAAATAGTTTAAACATTTTGAAATGTATTCATTCAGGTATATGGTTATATGGTTATTGCCTCAAAATAAAAATCTTGTTAATTTGCGAATTGATAGCAGGGATATGTCATTCAGATAAGATATGCTACACAACAACAATCCTACTCATGATATTTGAGTAATTCAGGGTAAAGGCCATACAAAGAAAAGTGACATTTTGGGAACTGTTTAGATTAATTGCAAACAGTAGCACATAATCTAGAATAGTTTTATACTTTGATCTCACCGAGATAGCAGCTGCAAAATCATGTGTGCTACAAGTAATTGCATGTTACGTGTATTTTTGATAAACGCTGGTGGACTGGACTGAAATTTGATTCAGGGATTCCTATGCGACATGCCCACTTTAAGATACATATCAACCAACCCTTAGATAAAATAGACTGGCCCTCAAGCCTAAATATCGAAAACTTCAGAAGCTTCCCTGATCCACTATACCCCTGTGCTTAACGTATGGGCAATGATGGTATATTAATAGAATATTATAGAGAAGTGACTTTATAATTCAATCATTCTCATTATTCACAAGTGGATATATAATTAGATGACCATACTTTTGCACAATAGAATCATTACTGCCATCTTGGAAATGCTTCCACATGTTTATGTACCTCAGGGTAGATAATCAAAACTCCATTTGTAAGAAAACGTTTACATCTCCACTCCAAAATGGATTGAAAATGCCCTAAACCTAGGTTTCATTTGTGGAAAAGGGTCCACTTAATGTACCTCAATGTCCCATGTTTATACACTCTTTGTGGCATTATTCCAGAAATTGTTGATATTTGATATTAGAATTTGATACATCTAGAACTAATGGAGAACCTTATAAACATTTCCGTTAAGTGCAATTTCTCTTTTTAATAAAAGTGAAGAGCATCATTTTCATTCCTTGTACTTAATCTTTTTATAAATGGTTGTTACTTTATCAAATATATATTCATAGTTTGTCAAGTGAATATTATTGTAATTGCATACACCCATTTATATGGATTGGTAACATTCTTATCGTTATATCAATTAATATAAGATTTTTAGGATCACATACATGTACCGTAGTCAAGAATCACAGGTCAATTTACATGGAAATGAATGTACTTTGTGTCAGTGAGTGCAGTATATACATGACCCCTGTCTCGACCTTGTTCAACATGAATTACTATTTTATGTTCCAATTTGATTTACATGTAGAAGCCACAATTTCTTGTTCAGCTTCACATTTAATGCAAAGGATACGTTTTTAAAGAGTAGATGCAAGGAATATTTTTGCTATCACGTGTATTTGTGCATTTAATGCCTTCATTTTAAGTTAGTGAATGACTTTGAAACAATGGTGGTCAGGAATTTGTGCATGTATAGTAAATTCATCTACTAGTCTTGTTAACAAATACATTTGCTCTTAGTTGATGTTATATGCTGATGGCCCATTCAGAGGTCTCTTAGGAGAATATGTTTAGCACTCTAGAGTCTAGACTACATGTATTAGGAATCCCCCTGATAATGCCCTTTAACCAAGCTATAGACAATGCATATCTTGACATAAAGTAGTGCTTACATGTTTTCTTTTGTTTTCTCTCAAAAGATTTCATATGTATTTGCCAAGGTTCCTATGACCATGTATGTATCTGGCATCGCGTACTTAAAAGCCAATTAATGGTTTTATCTGCCCTAAAAGGTTTGTCATTAGATTTCTTTCATTTTGATTTTCGTTGATAAATAGCAAAATCTATTAATTTTAAGCTCATATAAAGATTTTTTCTTCTTCAAGTGGGATATGATACTAATGAGAGGTGAAAAGTAATGTATAGCCGATCCAGGACATTAGTTCTAACATGCAACCGATTTATGTAAACCTAAAAGAGCACTGCGTGCATGATGTTTAGAAACCTCTGTGAGCTTGCAGTTGAAACATTTGTAATTCCATTTTCCTATTTTCTATAAATTTCATATTATGATATAGACCTTAAGTTATAACACAAGTGAAACCCTCAATATTATATAATGCTTATTAATCATTGATGGTGATGATTTTGGTGATGATAATGATGCAATGACGACGTATATTACAGAATCATTGAATGATTTCTACATTCTGCACACAGATAAACAAGACTTTGTACTGATTTTATATATTCAAATGTGTATTTTATATACAAATTTTATTAATACGTGTTGTAAGAATTAGTTTATGAACTTTTCTTTTGTTTTTTTTCAGCTTTAACTTTAACAGTATTATGAGTTGTGTATGTAGAAACCATTAGCAAGGTATAACTTTGCATGTATTATAGTCTTTCATGGATAAAATAAATCATATTCTATAGCATATTGTTTCAAACGCCTTTTGTGTTATACATGTGTTTGAAAGAGAAATTGTTGATAAAAAAAGAAGAGGTATTCATATGAAAGAAAGAAAGAGGGACACAGAGAGTCAGAGAGAAATATATGAATAGAAAGAGAGAGAGAGAGGCAGAGCAAGATATTATAAATTGATTGGAGATAGATAATTAAAAAAAATGAAACTGTAGGAGGGGGTAGAAAGATTTTGGAAGTATAAAGGAAAGAAAAGATTAGGAAGGGAAGACAAAATTGGAAGGAAGAAAGGTAAGAGAAGGAGAAGAGACTGGAAAGATCTTGAGATGGAAGAAAGATGATAGCATTGAGATTATAAAAAAATAAATAAAGAACGACATAGATAGAGACAGAGTGAGTAACAGAGACAACGATAGAGACAGAGACAAAAACAGAAAGAGGAGGCATCAGGATGGAGTGGAATGACAGATGAAATACATCTTGAGGGAAAAATCAAGCTGTTTGATAATGGTAATTACCCCCCCCCCCCCTTTCAAGATGTAGATTTTTTACCATTTTCCTTCATTGTTTGCTCAATCCAATGAAAATGTTAGCTTTTTAAAACGTTCAATTAAGTTATTTTACCAATAAAAAATATGCAAGTCCTCATCAATAATGACGAAAATCGCGTTCTTTGTCATATCTGCGATGTTTGAGGAAGTACACGCAGTCAAGAAAACTTATTAATCAATAGGCCTACTATCGATCAACTTAAATCGGGAAGGGTAAGGGGGTATATATGCGTTGACCCGCCCTATATTACGAAAATCCCTCTTGTATTGTAACGTTAAATACTTTGTTTGTATAGATACAGAAGCTCTGTTAATGGGGCATGTTCCCCGTATTCCAGAGGGCGTTCAAAATACGTACCCGCCGGCGGACGGTGCTAGCTGCCTATTGACACCAACAGAATACGGCTCTTACGCAGATGGCATGTTCCGAATGCCCGCACAATGCCGATTATCGCATACACGTGCCGAAGTTATACCAATCGCAGTTCGGCTCTAAGATTCGGCTGCTGTTTCCACCCACTTTCGTGACGTCACGATCGGCAGCGATCAGCTGGCTTGGCGAAGGCAGGCCATGCCGCGCATACTTTGATTGACAGCTGTATGCAAATTAGAAGTCGATCTTCGGAACCGAGATGGCGATGACTAGAGCAGCGGTAACTACACTGGCGGGACCATGCCCCTTTAATAAACGATATAAAATCGAAGGCTAATGGTGGTGTTTCCGCAAATTCGGGATACCAAATATGGTCATGGTAAAGATGAATCACCCGGTGAGGTAGCAGCCGACACAACTATAGTGTGAGTCAAAAAAAAAGTTTACACCTAGAAAACTGCTAATTATTGTAAAAATCATCTATGAACAGTAAATTATTATACATCTTATGCAAGGGTGTTTTATCCCAAATCATTTGGTATCATTTTTGTGTGGTATGTGTTCACGCTTGGATGAACAGGAGGCATTGTTTTCGAGAGTGCAAAAACCGACTTGCGCCAAAGTTGCTTATGTGATGTTTGGATAAAACAATTGGGATTTGGGTATTAATTCGGTCTTTGCAGATCCAAATAACATCCCTAACAAAATTAATCATGCCACACATATCAAATATCATCGAAAATTTGTGCGCGCGCGTGTGTGTGCGTGTGACTTTGCTTCTGCAAAAAGCATATGCAAAGCATTTCATTGGATACATTCAATTCATTCTCTCACTCCGCTAATTCCAACATAATTCATAATGTAGGCATCACTTTGGCGCAAGTCGATTTTTGCACTCTCGCAAACAATGCCTCCTGTTCATCCAAGCGTGAACACATACCACACAAAAATGATACCAAATGATTTGGGATAAAAACAATCTTTAATAAGATGTATAATAATTTACTGTTCATAGATGATTTTAAAAATAATAAACAATTTTCTAGGTGTAATTTTTTTTTGACTCACACGGTATAGCTTTTACACATCCGTATCCGTATAGGCCTAGCCTGAAAAGAAGTCATGTTCTAATAATAGAAATCAGGGTTTCCTGTTAAAAATACATGTATATGCAACACGCGAATGGCGCTGTGGTACATGATTTGAACAAATGGAAGAAACGGCAAACGAAAAGCCAGCATAGTAGCAGACGTTGTCGGATAAATACTAAAATAGTAAGTTTTGATTTGTATCTTACTTATATGTGGTTATTATATCTGTTATAAAGGTTGACTTTATTATGCAGATATATCTTTTTTAAAAGAAGGATTTATATAAATCTACTGTGCTTCAAGCTCTATTCCATTGCCGTTCAACGGATCCATGTAAAACCCTATGAAGGTTACGGTCGTGCATAATTACATGCATAATTATGCTCTTCACGCATTAACAAAAAAACGCGGATCAGAATCGAACATGCGCATTGGGAGAGTTATTCATGTATGTTAATATTTTAATCACTTAGCTAATTACTGCGCGCTCGTATTGGTGAATCCAATAACCTATCCCAAACCTAATCTCATTATCCTGATTATTGAATACAGCTTCGTGCTGTTGGGAAATAAATCTAGTCAAACTTGGTCAAGGTTTTTAATTTTATCAACGTTAGAGTGTATTAAAAGTTTCTTCAGAATAGCTAGATCCACAAATGTGACATGGCAATGAATAATATACAAATAATGAATGGTTATGAGTTCAATAGTGCGAATATGTTCATGAGTTGGAAGATTAACATTCTATTCAACGAGGCGTCAGCCGAGTTGAATAGAATTAACGTTAATCTTTCAACGAATGAACATATTTGCACTATTAAACGAATGAAAAACATTCATTATTTGTTTTATACAACATCGAAGAAGACCTAATAGAACGTTAATCAACAAATTATGCTTTACTCCTTATAAAGATAAATTAAAGTTCGAGTCAAGCCTTCTCGATTACATGCAGATTGCCTTCGCGTCAGATACACGCAGGGATACGCGCACATGCAGCAGAGAGGTACGCAGTCTGCATATAACCAAAATGCACGGCGCATATAACCAAAAATGCACGACCGTGCAATATCATGTGACCAACAATCGTCCAAATGACAAGGATCCACGTAGGTGTTGTATAATATATACAATTGTCATGATTGCCGGTTATTTGGAGCGTTGGAATAACTCGTGTCGTACGGATATTGTTGAAGGTTGTGCGTAATAGATTTTTTGTATTTTTCTATCATAATAAGAATCACAAAGTTGACTTGTACATTTACAGGAAGTAATCTTTGAAAGGATTGACATGATCTAATTTTATCTGTATAACAAGCCCGGCCCCCCCCCCCCCACTCAGTGTTATTTAGGGAACGCGTATGCTCGTTCCCTCTTTTTGAAAGCACCCCCTATCTGAGGACTGCCAATATTTCCGAACCCCCCTTTCGCGGGCTTTTCGCGGGCTTTTCCTGCCTTGGAGACCCCCCTTAATAGGGAAAAATGCTCAATGTACCCCCCTAAATTCGGAATAATTTCTCAGGAGTCCAAAGAGATAAGAGAAAAAAAGAAAAAAAAAAACCCTTTTTAAAGAAATCTCCGGGTGAAAAGTCAAATACACCCCTTTTTTTGCAATTCTCGGGCCGGACTTTGTCGCACGAAAAGTACCCCTTTACCGGACATTTTGGTAACACGCATGCGGTCATTCCGGCCCGGAGTGGGGGGGGGGGGGGGGGGGGGGCGGATAACAAGTTAATGCCGGCCCAAGCTTAAAAACAAATAAAAAGGATAAAGAAAAGGAAAAAGTAGGAAGGGGGTAGGGGAATGTTAGGGACAGAATCAGGGGGGGGGGGGGACACAATAGAAGCAAATTAGAATGTTTTTTCTTCTTGTTGAAAACAAATAACAAATGGGAACATTTGAAATGTATTATTCTCCCTTGTTTCGGAAGGGGGGGGGGGGGGTGTTCGGCTAACTTTAAATTTGATTTGACCCCCCCCCCCACTCTCTCTCTTTTGAGAACCCAAACCAGTGTCATTTATACCAGCCATTTACACCAGCCAAACCCTCTCAGTAGGGCGCTAGTTCACAAGTGTGCTCACACTTTAGAACCTTACGTTTAATGAATCTGCTTGCCCCAGGTTGAATTAGCCATGTCAAAACTTACAAAAGGCCCTAAGTAGCAAAGTTAGACCCCATCCTAAAATGAAGTCTATATGTCTACATCTAACTTAGATAAACGATTGAAAGTTGGCCTAAGCTAGAATTCATGACCCCATACCAAAAATTTGTATTAACTTTAACAAGTGTACCTTATTACGACTATAGCAACTTATTTCTGTCCCCCCCCCCCCCCCCACAGATCATTTCAGTTGAGCGTAAGGTAAAATCCATATCAAGCAAATCGTCAGGATGGTGAAGCGCCTCATGGATATGTGTTTGGGATGCATAGCCCAGAACCTTCACGTCATCAGCAACGTCGGCAAACACCTCCCCACATTGCACAAAGAGAAGATACTCCAGTGGGTCGTGAATCATAATATGCTGACGACAGAATACCTTCCACATGTCACGTATCATCTCTTCTCTCCGGCACTGAGGTCCATCTCGTTCGTTGATTGTGATCAGATCACAGATAAGCTTCTCATACAGCTTGATGACTGCAAGTGCGTTCTGGAGAGTATCACGATTGACGGGTGTAAAGTGACAGGTAGGTGGTGCAGGACATTTTTTTACGTCACACCCAGTCACCAACGCCACACCAAAACTGAAGTGACTCCAAATCAAATCATAATAATTGACAAAATCTTGGCCACTTTGGGTGATGTAATTTTTCTTACAGTCTATTATCGGTCTGGTGTTGGTTTCGATGTTGAGTTTTTTAATGTGATTGATGTTTTTTGAGCTTTGAGAATATTTGTCATCATGGCTTAACTGTATACAGCGTAATGGTTATGGATCAAGATCTTTTAATTTTGTTGTTGTTTGGGGTGGGGGCCCGGAAGGGGCTCAAATATGTGTTCAATATAAGGCAACAACAACACTTGAGCTTTGTTTGTAGTCAATTTTACTGGAGGAAAAAGTCCTTCCCCACCCCTTCCCACTGATCTGCCACCATGTATTTTCCAATGCTTTTTCTCCTTCCATTGTAATGAGATTCTTAAACTTCTTAAGAGAATCCATATTATGGAGATGCGGTCAAAGTGCATATCATGAACTGCAAAAACATGATCGTCCTGGTGTATATACAATACAACTAAATGGATGTCTTATTGATTTGTGATGTTATACAGGAGACAATATTAAGACTCCATACGTTTGTTTCTATTTGCAGATATTGGTGTAACAGCCTTACTGAGCCATCAGGATGAACTGCAGACCCTGGTCTTGGAGAACATATCTGAGCTGACAGGGACAGGTTTAGAAGTCCTCAGGTCAAGGAAGTTAAAAGATGTTCACTTCTCGGGCATTCAAATTACCAACGAAAGTAAGTCGCATCATTGATGGACTTGAGTTTAGCTAGAACTTGACTGTGGTTGGGAAGGTTGCAAGTTTATGCCTGACATGATATTGATACATATTTCCCACTCTTTTGATAATTGTTCAAGCAGTAAATGGGAACCTGTTCTGATTTCTTCTTTGGAATGCACTATGCAGTAATAGTGGTTTTGTTTAGCTTAAGTGGGAGAAATAATGTAGAAAGCCCTTGGGAAATATATATATAAATGTGTAATATCATGATATGTTATTGGCTACACATAAATGGAATATCATCTCTAAGGTGTTTATATTTGTATTTGAAAGACTTCAAAGCATTATTTAAAGGTTATTGACAAGAGAACTATTCTGAGGAGGACAGCATAATTCCATTTCCAACTGTTTAAACGAGGATATTTCTTCCAGCTAGTCATTCCTGTTCTATTTCTGTTTCGTCCACTTTATCTCTCAGGCCTAATAGCACTTGTGACAAGAAATCCAACAATATCAAGACTGGATATAGGTTGTTGCGGTAAGCTGACACATGAAGTCATCCCTGCAATAGCAGTAACACTCGCAAATGAACTTGTAAGTGTATTGATCTGTCTCGAAGAAGATGATCTATTTCAGGGCCCCGTTTCACAAAACTTGTCATCAGTGACAAATTACAGTTTTTGTTAAAAGCTACTAAAATCCTTGCTTCCGATTGGTTATCAGCAGATTTGTCACTGATTGTTGTCATTTGTCATTGAATAAAGGCTTTGTGAAACGGGTCCCTGGACAATTACCCTGACATAGTAGTCCAGGACAACTACCCTGAATCTTGGAATAAATGAAAGAACTTTCTTATCGAACTTGATCCTGATACAGTACATATTGGAAAATGGAAATACAATTCTTTGGTAATAGGACACCACTCGATATCAATAATTCTTAGTTCCATTTAACATCCTTTGACATGATTAATCCACTTTTGCCACTCACCACCCAGGTGTAAATGGGTTGCGATATGCCAGAGCACTAAAGGTTTGGCCACCAGCTTTGACCCGGGTAATAATGTTGGAGTGCCTGCATGGTGTATCATGACGTCACGGACATGTGCGCTATATCAGAAGCCACCATTATTATTTTTATTTATTATTTTATCTACATAACTGTGTTCAATTGTTACTTATGAATTATATCTTATTTTCTTGTGGGTGATAAATATTGAATATTATGGTAATGCCAAGTTGCATCAATGAACAGTAGAGATCGATGATTATGCATTATTTTTTAAAATTTTAATTCTTTCCAGGAGAATTTAAACCTTCAAAAGATCCGCACAATAGAGAATAACGATCTGGTTGTATTATCACAACATTGCAAAAACTTAGAAGGGTAAGCATAAGATATTAGTAATTATTCAGTGGATTAATCGGTGTCTTAATATATTGAGCTGTGATAATGTTGCGTAGTAAATAAATGAACAGTCAAACTGATGATCCGTCTTAAATTCGTCCCTATTTTCACGAAGTGACGGATGAGCGCGCAATTAAAAGAAAGTTAGTTTTGAATAAATCGCTTTCAAACTTTCAAACTATAATCTTAACCTCTTTAATGTATCAACACACAGAGAAAAAGAGGTGTACATTCACTACCTATAGGGAGTAAATGCTTGTCGCATAAGTGACACCCCTCAGGGAGTAAATGTACTCCCCAATGTAGGGAGTAAATTTACACCCCACAAGAAGGTGTAAAATTTGAACCCCAAGTCTATGATTTTACTCCCTTTAAAGGTAATACAAAGTTTTGGTACGGGGTCATGAATTTGGTCCAAATAAACATAAATTGGAAGCATATGCGATCCTACAATATGCAGTGATCGTTTTCGCGGTTGAAATCGAGTCTAAAGTTATGAAATGGTAAAAAATAAACTCTTTATGTTGTATAGCTCCCTCTCAAGGTCAGGATATTAATTAAGCTATAAAACAACATTTCTTGACTAAAATCGACCGATTAGTCATTTCCGTTTGGAAATTATATATCACAACTACATATTCTGAGATTTTCATGGTCGCAGCTACCATATTATTGTACGGCCGTATGCGCTATTTGAAATTTATCAAAATTTACCGGGAGCACCGGGAAATTTTTATATTCAATTTCTCTCGAAAGCAGAAGTGTTTTAGGGGCTAAATTTTCTAGTGCTTATGATACATCCACAGGGGAATCTAAATATATTAAAATTGTAAAGAATCACTATCAACCCAATTTTCAAAATTTCCCAAAACTTTGTACTACCTCTAAGGAGTGAAATTTGCACCCAATGGTGCTTAATTAACACCTTTTGGTTCCATTTTCAAGAAAAATGGGTTCAAATTTAGTACACCCGTGGGGTAGAATTTTATACCCTATATGATCGATTCCACACTCTGTGGGGAGTAAATCTACACCCTTCTTATGCACAGCATCAACCAATTGATCATCCCTCGAGCAATCAATCATCCATGCTTTGTAATCACCTAACAGTCACTTATTCTCACCCTTTGTCTACGTTTCACTGCTCTAAAGAAATCAGACCAGAATATGGGGTACCGGATGGCGTCCTTTTTTTCTGCGGCACAGATTGGGGCTTTTAAAAAAAAAGAGGTCTTGATTTAACCCTAACCCTAACCCTAAAATTTCCCATAGGCTCAACACGCACCTAACCCCAATCTGTGCCGCAGAAAAAAAATAACGCTACCGGGTGAGGCTGGCCTGGATGGACGCATCGGATCAATTGTAGTGGAAATATCTAATACACAATCCTGACCTTCCCGAATATCTTCCCTTTAGTTCTTCTTCTTCTTCGCTATAAGTACAGGCCATCGTCGGGTGTATTTTCGTACTGATATATACATGTAGTGTCTCAATAAAAGGTCTACAATGAGCTATGTGCAGTTAAAAAGACATCCGTAGCTTAACGGAGCTGGATCTTGAGTACCTCTCTCTTAAAGCTTAGCAGAGAGGTGCAGGTGACGGCGATTGGTTACTTGGTCGATTTGGTAGTTACACGTATAAGAAGGCAATAGTAAAACAACACTTCTGCTAATTTCATTAAATTATTAAATATAACCTTCGGTACAACCCTTTATTCTTGATCGGATAACTTTCACACAAATAATATGCCCAAATGAAACATGATAATTCCCCCAACATGACTACAATATATAAATATTGCTAATTTTCCTTCATTTCGCAGTACCTATATCGACAACAGAAAAATATATTGACCAATTAGAGCTCGTCTGACTGAAATAGGGTGTAAAATTACACCCTCAAATGATTTTTCTGTACACCCTTGCGTATTTCCGTGTTTTATACTCCCTAAAAAGGTGTAATAGAGGGCGCCCTAGTCTAATTTCGATTTACTCCCCAAGAACACCTTTTATTTCTCTGTGTGAAGGGCAAATAATTGTTATATCCTGGGATAGAACATATCTCAATGTTTAGTTCTATGTTTAATTATTTCCATATTTTTTTATATTACGGGGGGAAATGAGCTGTAAACATAACCGTCACTTCGTGAAAACACGAAATTCAAGGACGCGCTGTTATTTTGTTTTCACGAAGTGATGGCTCATATATAGCCGCGCGCGTAAAACATGGAATTCCCGAAATGGACACTAAATACGGCAAAACGTTATGTTTAATTGATGTGCAGATAAAATAACTCGAAATACGAAATAGAGTACATTTTCCTCTTTCTGGCTGCTTTTTTATTCCTCTGTTTGCACTTTTAACACAACCGTCATTTCGTGAAAACACAAATTACATAGAACGCTTTGATTTTCTTTTCACGAAGTGATGGCTCGTATCCGGGCGCGTATAAAACATATGGGATTTGTTATTGTGTGAAACATGATACTCAACAATGGCAGTAGTGTAGTATAAAACATGTAAAACTATAGGCCTTGTAGTAGAGGTATCATTCTGATCCTTATTATCCTGATTATCTCTTGCAATACGTCCGGACGATAAATTCAAATGAATGACAATTGACAATTTGTCATGAATCATTGTCTTTAAGCTTACCATTAAATGCATCTGGCTAGAATTTTGCTTAGGTATTTGGTACTGCATGGATGATTTAAATGGTAAAAATGAACTTGTGTTCTATTCATGCTATTCTTATTCATTTGCATTATGTTTTATTCATTCAAGTTCTAATGTGTCTGACTGTTTCCAAGACAATAACTTTTTTTCTCTATCATAGTTCTATGTAGCTTGATATCTCACAGCAAATTTTGAGAGAAAAGCAATCCAAGCAACGCGTTCGCCTTTGCTGCTCTTCAATAATACTTGACAAGCAGTATTAATTAATTTTTCAAGGACTTATGATAAACTGTTTAAAAGTTGATTGCCCTCGGTTGATTCTTTTGTTCGGATTATTTGGCGGGGAGAGATAGAAGTGAACTGTACGCTTAACGACGTTGTATCATTATTCTTATTTGTTCATCATCGCTATGATGCTCTTTGAATACAAAACAGCTTTTATTGTTAGGCTTCCTGAAAGAAATTTCAATTGTTGTTAAGAATTTTTTGGTTGCACTCTGTAGATTATGATGATGTGTTTGCATGATCTTGTTTTCAATAACAAGATCAAACACATGATGAAAATCTATTGGGTGCATGCCAATAGGTTTTTACAACAATAAACATAAATGAGGTGCTAATCGATGCGGCGTACACATGGCAATCACATGGTAGATAACATTGTGATCATCAGTACTGAGTCTAATAAATTTATGAGAACTGAATTTGAACCCATGCAGCCATATGCTACCCCTCTCGTTCTCTCTCTCTCCCTCTCTATCGCCTTACTTTTTCCTCTCCCTCCCTGTGCATTTGTATGCCTCGATAATACAGAAAATAAACAATAAGATTCTTATTATTATTATTATTCTTACTACTTCCTAGTATATGTAGTAGGGGCCCGGCCCCCCCCCCCTTGAGAAAAAAATCATGTAAAATCACGTGATTTTTACATTTTTTGGGGTTGCCCCCCCCCCCCCCCCTGGCGCTCAAGGGGGGGGGGGGTGCAAATTTAAAAAAATTCGAGACAAAAAAAAAAAAAAAATGTGCTCACTACCCCCAAATACAAGATACAATATGAGAATTCATGGAACTGAAATCCAACAGTCTAATATGCATTACTGATTTCTAAAAATGAGGTAGGTATACCTGAAAAATAGCTGTTCTGAGCTAAACATTTGAATATCAAAGATTTATGTTTGCAGGAGTTCATTACAATACTGTAACAGAAAACTGACACAGGTACGACCATTCAGTTCATTATTTTAGAAATCATGGACAATGTTACCAGTTCACTTTAAATCAATTCCTCGATTTTATAATCAATCCATTTCATTACGATAATTACTTAATTCTACACACAATTAAAATTATGAGTGGAGTTTTCTATATGATATTCAAAATGTTTACAATTAAGCAGTATAAGAGAAAGATTGAGGTATTGAAATATTGAAGCATTGCCACAACGATCAATATGATTGATTCTAGTTTCTAAAGCATGCTCTTCAACAAAAGTTCTTCAATTTTCTTCACACGTATGTCATCCGAGCGATAGTGGTTGAAGCAGCGAAGATTCTTGATCTGGACTGCTTGAAAGCAAAAGGAAATAAGAGAAAGAAAAATCATAATAAAAAAATTCCAAGTCAAAATCAATAGAAAATCATTATCAGAATGTCAATTATGAAAGGGAACTTTACAGTGCATTATATTTATGACTAGGTGAAATTATTTTGTGTAGTTTTGGTACCAACCTTTAGAGAGGCTCTTACATTTAGATACTTTAATTAGTATAACCTTAGTATTAGCAATTTTTGTTAAGGATTAACAAAAATATTAGATGCTGACCTCGATAGGACCACTCATTCCCTTAAACTGAGAGACCTAAACATTAAAAACAATTAATTAGGAATATCTCAAATTTCAACTATTTGGAAACGACCAAGAAGGGAAGAAGATACCTTTTGACTTGTTCACAAGCCATCTGAACTAATTTGATGTCACCATGCCAAGTCACATCTGCAGCTCTGACTGTATTCAGTGAATTGCTTCAACAATTCCATACCGCTCCCACTTTGAGGTCACCGTGCCAAGTCACATCTGCAGCTCTGTGTTCAGTGAATTATCAAGGACCCATCTAACCAGCATGTCGGTCCCTTATTCCAATCTAATTTTGTAGAATAAAAGAAATAATTACAGTACAAGTTATTTTCCTTTTTTTTTTAAGGTAAAGAAATACATCTAATATTATCTTTTGTACATAAAATTAATCACTAGGCATAACTGACCCCAAACAGACGTTTTCAATTGCCCCTACCAAACAACTACCACCTTTAATGCACATATGCAGTGAGTGTGCTTGGTACTTGTCATACAAGATGATCAAGTTTTGACTCTATGCACTCTATTTACAACAAATATTCCAATTTTGGTTCATAGAAGTTTTAGCTGAAAATATTATATACCAAATTGGTATTTAATTTTGGCGAAGGCTATACATGTACATGACCATTGAATGGCCATGTACGTATAAAGCCTTCGCCAAAATTAGAAACACGTTCCTGTCCAGCTTTGTACTATGTCTGCTATAAAGTGCATTACATATTCCATATCTATATTTCCCAGTTAATATTTAATTGCTTATGTAGCCATCATATATAATAGCAGTGTATTTCAAAGATTTGTATCGATCGCAAGTTCGGTAGTGAGCGCAAATCAATGGATGGCATTATACAGACCGGTCATGATTAATCATAACTCTCTATATGCTGCTAATGTGTGATTTTCTTTCACAGACCATGAAAACTATTCTCATCTGGATGTGTATCTGGCCTGCGGCATTGTTGAAAAGTAGATGTACCAGTCCTAGTGCTTCCTTAATATAAGCACAAATTGTATCTAATGCATCTGAACTAAGGGAAAGCAACAACATCATCATAATCATTACCACTGAAGTGTAGGTTATTCCTGGAGATTCTCCTGTGCAATGTTGTGACATATCATCTGGTATGGTGCTTGCTTGGAAAATTCTTTAAAACACGGAGTGGAGTTGAGCAACATTTGCTGGTATCATGAACAATTGTTAAAAAGAATTATTTTATAGGGTGAGGGACCAAGGATACTAAAGTGCTGCCTTTAAAACACACCTTGAGTACAGACAATGGAAGAATGATAAGCTAAACGTGTGTGCATTGTTCCCCAACTGGTAGACTACTCATGAGATTACTTCAGTCTCCAAACAAAAGTATCCCATTTCCGGATGGTGCCATTTAGTCATTTTCAGGGTAGGACCTAATAGACTATTTGATTTTTTAAATAACTGTTCATTCATGTCCCTTTTTGCTTGGAAGGCAACTCAGTAAATTCCCTATCAGTTAAACAGGAGGGTCTACATATCCCATGCCATCTCACCTCAGCATGATGATAATTTTCATAACTCCCCTTGCCCAGGCGCGTAGCCAGGGAGGGGGGGGGGGGCATGGTTGAACTTTTTTAGACCCCCCCCCCCTTTTTTTTTTACCTCGATCGATTACATGTATGTGCCCCCCCCCCAAACATCAAACTCTGGCTACGTGCCTGCCCTTGCCCATGTTGGCCTTGGATCTGGAGCCCTGAAGCTGCTTACACCCCAAGCACACCTTTACAAGTAAAGTCACAGCGACTCAGTTTTGTTTAGATCCTGATCTACTCACCTCTAGATTACTGACTAGTGGCTGACATAAATTGATAATCATGAAATGATGATCTAGAGTTATAGACTCTAAATAAAATGTATAATTAGCTACACTACTAATACTAAAAGTACAAGTAAAACTAAAACTAAAACAAAGGTAGGGTCTAAACTAGTCTAAGTCTACCTTTTGTTAAAAGTAAAACTTCGTTCTTATTCTTAACTTAAGCAGATGTAAAAAAAACAAAAAAAAAACAACCTTATTAAATCAATATTTGATGTGAAATGCGATAAGAAAGACCCTCCACTTAAGGTATTTAGTCTAGATGTATGTTTTTTTCAGACATGATTTGGTCGTTTTAGTTTTGCATCACATACCCCACTCCTTTATGCACTTACATGAAAATAAGTATATGGGGCGATGTGTGCAACGGCGGTGCATTTTGTATACATTTCTGCGCTCATGGACATATTTATTATTGCTTACAAAGAATCAGAATGACTCAAAAGAGTGTATCATATTACTTTACCCCCCAAAAAACTATAATAAACTCACCTTTTCATAGTCTGTCACTGTTTCAAATTGCGAAATTTTCACTCCCGTCGTGAAACAAATAAAAGCAGAAAAAGAGCGGACGAGAATTTCACGAAGTGACGGCCGGCTGTATAAGCGCAGCGCGTAACTGATTAGTCGTCACTTCGTGAAAACGTCACTCCTTTTACTAGGTATTTTCTTGTTTACGTCATCGTCATAGTGACATAATTAGATATTATTGTGGTTAGAAATTTTGTGAGGTTTAAGATGTTAGTGAATGATGTCCAAAAATGCAAAAAAAAATGAAATTATATGCGATTTTCCTCATTACCGTCACTTCGTGAAAAAGGGACGAATTAAAGGACACAGAGTACCTGTTATGTTTGCACCATGTCGGCTCTTTCCATGCACAGTATATTTCTACTTGTAATGGATATCTGTGGAATGACCTAGTGATGTACATACATATTAAACAGAAAATAATGACAATTGATATTACCATTAACTATATTCTTTTGTATTCCCAACCAACAGGATTGATCTATTTGGCTGTAGTGAAATAACCAGTGCAGGGCTGAGGGCGGTAAGTAAAAGTGGCATATCTAACAAATATGCAAAGGACCATTTATTGTTAAGACTACAAACTATGCTCTTAGCAGTACTAATTTAGTTTTGCCTAAAACGAAAACACAGAATTGTAAGCGTACGTTTCTATATCGCGGAAGTAAATTGTATAATGGATTATCTATGCCCACTCGACAATCAAGAAGTTTGGCTATATTTAATAATGTAATAAAACATTTAATTTGAAATGTTATGACAGAGAAATATGGTTTTAGATAATATTAATACCAATTTATGATTGTCATAAAAATTGTTTATTGTTCTTTGTAATATACCCTGGAGGACTCGATCAGGAGGGGGTAGCGGGAGGCGTTGGCGGCATCGAGAGGGCGGCGGGAGGGGAGGCGAATGGGATTGATAAGGGGGTTAGTGCATTGGTAAATTACTATGATTAAAAATTGATATTATAAATTAAATTAATATGATTTTTTTGCTTTTGGACCCCATGGAAGAATAGGACCATTTTGAAAATGGTCCTGAAATCGGCTATCCAACCGTTTGTCTATACGTAACACATTTACTTACTTTCTTATCATTTGAAATGTGTTTTATATATATGTTTTTTAAAAATTGTATGTATATATGGATTTCGGAAATAAAAACAAACAAACAAACAAACAATTTAAAATTATATTTGCTTCTTTTTTAAATGAAAATATTTCATGTGCAAATGAAAAGCATGAAAAAGGGGTAGTTTTGTGCAACATTAGCACCAAGTGTTACGCTGTGATCTGTGAGTTATCTGTAATATGTTAGCCAGAAGGGTGTTAACACTTTGTAAATGCATAAAAGTTAACACCCTTCTGTCTCTATCCAGACGAAAAGATGCAGATTTTGAAGTTCACTCTGTAAAAGTAGTCTACTGAATCATGTATGTACACTGCATAAAGATTATTGTGTATATGGTTGCGTTTGAGTAAATGCATACCTGCGTACCATATTGCTCTGATTGTCTCATTTTCGCTCGCGTGAACATTGCCAGCACAAACCACTGACCTCTACCTCCTGTACGGATCACCGCCCATTCCCATTCACTATACGTCACGTACTAAAAGGCTGTATTGTCTGCCCGTTCATGAATATTCATGTTTTGGCTAAACTCGGAAAAATGTTTGCTTAAATTACTAAATGGAAAAATGACGGTGGGGGTTGGATGAAATGGACATAATGAACCAAGCAGAAGTGATCTATGATAATTCATGCTTCTTATCCTTCGTGTGCTTGACCTATAATCTTAAAATCGCTTGGCAAACTGAGTCCAAAGTTCGACTTGTTTCACATGTGTACTATAGGCAATGACGAGCTTGCAACCTATTTTGATCAAATTACGGTGGGTGAACTTTCAAAAGTCAATGGGACATGAGGGTTCAAATGAAAGAGCTAGTGATAACGTAAGTCGGGGTGGATGTGCTTTTCGTTTAAACAAAAAATAATTTTTTAACGATTTTTTGTTGGTACAATTACATAGGCTAACACGTATGGCTGCTGACTCTGACAATCGGGGGCGTTGTGAAATGAGACTAAACGAAGCTATATGATTACCATTGTTTCTTGTCAGTATTTGTTTCCTTTATGTCTCCTTCTGCTACAAGCTCTAGGAGAGCGCCAACAAGAACTTCCTGACACAGTTCCCCGTGAATCTCAAAAACCTACTCTGTTAATGCAGTGCTGCTTCAAGGCGTCAAGATTCTTGTACATTCCCTTTAGTTATGTGCAGTCCTGTATACATTAACATATTATTTGTCATTGCTTACAGCTGAGTAAAGAATGCACCAAGCTCCAGCTTCTAGATATCTCCTTCTGCTACAGCCTCCTGCAAAGCTCCAGCAAGGAATTCCTGACAGAGCTACCTCTAAGTCTCAAGACCCTTGTCCTGTCAGGGCTCCGGCTGGATGGTGGAGATATCCATACAGCGGTCTCAAGGTTACCAACGCTGGAGACTCTAATACTCTGCGGGAAAAATTTCATTACTGAAGAACATGCCATAAAGGTTTGTAGTTCTCTTTCTGCAAAAGTGTTCTGCAACAGGCAAGTCCACACACCAGTGTCACCTTTAGTTCTTTCTCCATCCCTTTCTTTATTTTCTTTTTCATAGCGTCATATGATGTGTCACTTATCGAGTCTGACACCATCCCAATTCTTGGTCTGCCTCTTCCATGATTATCATCCGTCTTCCCTTCTAAGATGACCCTGAGCATGTTACCTCCCTCCCCTGTAAGACGCGTCCTGTCTAGTTTTTCTTCTGTCTCCAGATTGTTGCTTGATAAATGTAACCTTTGTACATTACATATGGTTGTGTATCCTCTCCTACATCACTGAGGTACATTCTTAAATTCTGAGGAGACTTCATCAATTGTGTAATGGAATTTCATGTTAATGTTTTTGATGTATGTGCTTGCTGGATGGCCATGTATATGTGAATTGATGACTGTCACCCTTTCACCAAATGGATAATGTTACCCAATCTTGTAATACTGTTACTTGCACATTGCCTAGGTACATATGGTATGTAATACGTGTGTCCTTATCCCTGTACTTTACAGATTTTCGAGACGGTTGGGCCTCAGCTGATATGCTTGTGTATAAGAGGCCACCGTCAGATCATAACCGATGATATCCTGGGGCTTATCGTCAAGAACTGTACATCCTTAGAGAAGATCCATTTGGGAACACATATGATGTTGACCGGTGAGTCGCTGAGGGTGCTGTTCAGAGATCAGGAGAGATCTAGAAACCTGACACAACTCAGGTTATTTGGATGCAAATATGTGAGTGTTGTGCTTTATAACTTATTAAGGAGCACTGTGGTGGTATAGTTCATTTTTAAAAAGTTTCAATCAAAGAGGTCGAGAGTTCGTGCTTACATGGCTCAAAGGGAGAACAAAGATTCTTCCTTTGTGAGGGGAAACTGGATGGTCCATGTATTAAAGCTATGGGGAGCATTCACTAGGCAATTGGTTACAACAAAACATTGGATCCGAAAATGTATATTTCGACCCAACTGTAGAAATAGGGTACCTGGTAGTAAGCGGTTTCTTGTACAGTTTGAACGATATTATAGCAGCTCCAGAAAAACCATGGTAACATATGGCAGCATCAGGAACACCAACATGACTGTGATGGTATAAAGGCACATTATTAGAAGCCAATATTTTTGTGATTATTTGTTTAGAACAAAAGTATCATTAAATCTGTAGTGACTTGACCTTTGGAGAACTTTGCATTTGTAAATATTAATGTCTTGTCTTTATTGTGTGGCTTGAAGTCTAGCCTTTTATTCCATTGTCACTCATTTCGTTAGTGACACCTGTTGCATTACTAGAGTGCCACACATACTTATTCTGGCAAGCACATTCCACATCCTATGGGTTGGGATGTGCAACCACCTAATGTACTGGTATAGCTTATACTGTACAGGTACATTACACTTGCTTGCTTTATTTGCCACACCTATTTTCATCACTTCTCCTGAGCTGTTCATATAGAGCACACGTATTCTCTAGAGAGTCGATCTACAGCAAAGCTAATTCAACTTCATCTTAATTCTTGTCCTATTTCTTCGCTTGTTTCTCTACTCGGTTCTGAGGCCTTATTACTTTATAGAGATTAGAAGTTTCTTCTTCTTTACTTAATTCGCGAAGAAGCGTCATTACTTTGTACATGGTCTTACATATTCTTTCTACGGGTGCTGTGCAATATTTGAACTACTACTTGTGATATAATATATGTTCCAAGTATCTGTACTCAACAGGTGTTTCTACGAGACAAGGTAGGAAAGAAATCTATTTCTATTTCTTTTATTTAGGTGATTAAATTCCCTAAAAATCATTTTAAAACTTGATATAGCCATTAGGTTTTGTCCATTCATTATCAGCAAATTCAACAATGGGCTTTTCAATAACCCTGCATTCTCCATGTCAAACAGACCTTTTGCATAGCCTCTTCAGCCTTATTCTTCTTATATCCCAAAGATAATCAGGCTGGAGTCTTTGGAAAATGCGTGACATCTCAAAATCTACTTCTATCCTCCAGGGTATCCTCATTCGCCATGAGTGGAACCCTGCACTGCCACATTGTTCACATTATATTTAAGACTAACTTCCTGTGTGACAAATGACAACTGTAGGCCTGTAGCAGTCAAAGTTTTTTCTATTGATCGACCAAAGATAGTAAAAGTTAAGTGTTTGTGTATTTTTATGCCTCCGCAACGAAGTAGCCGGAGGCATTATGTTTTCGGGTTGTCCGTCCGTCCGTCCGTCTGTACGTCCCGTTCTCATAATCGCGTTATTTCAAGAACAGATTGATGGATTCCCGCCAAACTTGGGTCATGTATGTATCTTGCAGAGCTAATGAAGTAATTAGATTTGGGGGTCATGAGATCAACGATTAAAGGGCTCAATATGTATGCAAAAATAGCTCGTGATCACAATATCTCAAAAACCGATTAATAGATTCCCACCAAACTTAGGCCATATATGTATCTTGCAGAGCTAATGAACAGATTATATCACAGGGCTCATTAAAAAACAAAGAAAATGCAATCATTTTTCAATAATTCATTGAATTCCCCCGGTCCCCACTAGAAAACAATTCTGTGTGCCCATGCCTTGAGCCATAATGTATGGTCGTACAGAGGGTTTTTTATGTTGGGGGCCGGGGGAAAGTGCAATGAATTATTGAAAATTTATTACATTTTATTTTTTATTTTTTATTTGTGGGAACTGCCCCCTACCCTAGTCCCGCTGCATACAGTCATGGTTCAGTGGCCAAGCAATGGCCTCGTAACTGTGAGGCCCCAGGGTCAAAACCGTGTCGATGTGCTGCCCTTTTGTGGGGCATTAATCCTCCTTACTGTCATTTATGACTTAAGGGCGATGGCCCCCTAGTTGATAATCATAGTAGCAGACATGCTTTAGCAGTCACGCAAAACAAATACTGGCTAATTATTATTCAATAAAATCTGAGAATGTATACTATTATGTAGATCTATTAGGAATAAATCATTGTCAAAATAATTCCATAAATTGGGGTAAAAACAATATTCCAACTATATAAGCGACAGTGTATATATCTTGCAGAGCCAATGACTGATTCGATTTTAGGGTCATGAGGTGAAAGGTCAAAGATCATGGGGCTCATCATATATGCAAAAATAGCTTGTGATCGCATTATCATTAGAACCGACGGATGGATTACTATCACACTCAAGACATGTATGTATCTTGCAGAGCCAATGAACTGATTAGATATTAGGGTCATGAGGTCATAGATCAAAGGGTCATAAATGTATATGAAAAGTAGCTTGTAATCACGATATTCTAAGAACCATTTAATGGATTACAATCAAACCTTAATTTTAAAAATTGCTTCTGTTTTGGTTTGTAAAATTGCTCTATGGCGGAGGCATCATTTTTGCGCGCAGTCGAACTTTCATCTAGTTTTCTTCATTTTCTTTTTTTTCTTCAGTTGAACCATGATATCTTGCTAGATATGAGTAAATCATGCGTGAACCTGACCGAGCTTAACATGGCGGGAGTCAAGTGCGTTGATGACACCTTGCTCTTCTCCATAGCAAACCACATGCCTCATCTGAAGCACATCTCACTCGGGGCCTTTGTTGGTTTAGCTACTAATCAGGTGAAAACTTTGTTCATATTTTCAGTCTCATCTGCATCCTAGGCTTGTCGTGCGTGTGTGTGTGTATGTGTGTTGGGTTTTTACAGACGTGTATCAAACAGATATGATTATTTACGTCTGGGACCGACCTTTAAACGTCACCATCCGAAAGACGTGACTCAGTTTCGAACCTACGTCCTCGTCTGAATCAGTTTGTAACTTCCACTGTTAGCTGGATTAGAGGCGCACGCCACAACGCCTAGTCATTCCTGGTTTGTTCGTTGTATAGATAAATTGTGGAGGAGTAGGATATGGTGAAATAAACAGTTGGCTCAAGATCATAACATTTTAAGGGATGCTTGCTAAATGATAGGGCTACTAAATCTGCCTTTGGATAAAACACTATCGATTGTTGATCACCTTAATCAAAAAGTGCCAACCACAGAAAATAATGGGTTACCCTCTTCTTAATCTCAAAGAGATGTGGTGTGATGGAGTGTAAGATATAGGTAATGAAGAAATTGAATCTTTGAGGTCCTTATATAAAATAAGTCTTGCATTGTACTTTCAATATTGTTTGTCATCAAGAAATAAGGGCTATACTTAAATTGCATTTTTGTTGTATTTTGCTGTTTTTTAAAATCTGTTAAAATTTCTTTTAAAACCAACCCTTCCATTGACTGGTGTGTTTTACTCAAGTTTATGAACTTTATGGAAAGACAACGGGTAAATCTATCATCTCTATAGTGTTCCACTATTAGAATATACCATAATGTCTTTTTGTGTGTATTTCTACAGGTCACGGATAACGGCGTTGTTGAACTGACAAGATGCTGCCCTCTAGAGTCTATCAGCCTTTCCGGAATCCACAGCATCACAGATAAGAGTATATTTGCTCTCGCCAATAACTGCCCTGATCTCAAGAATCTGTTTATAGCATGCTGCAGTAAGGTTACAACGCAAGCAACAAACTACCTGCAGGTAAGTGTCATTGTTTATCGAGGAAGTGACACATGTGTTTTAAAAATTTACTATACATGTATAATATGTTTTATAAAACCAGTACTATTCATGTATGATTATCACATGCACATTTCTCATATAATATAGAGTGTATTTGTGATTTTACACCTTCCTTTTTCTTGAGTCATCCCTTTAGAATTTATTCAGGTGAGTCAAATGTGAGGACGAGGTATGTCAATGCAAACAATGAGAACCCCACATGCCTACAGACATGGATGTGTGGTGATGGTACATGTTATATACATTTTTTTTTTTTTAAAACGTTTTAGCCCTCCATAGGCTATTTTATTGAGTCAAATAAACATTTTTACAATTCAATGAAATTAAGTCTTTCCTTAACTCAAACAAAACAGAATACTTTCACATTTCTCTCCTTGTTGTTCATACAAACAAATGTTGAAGTGCCTGCCATTTAGTAAAAAATTTGTTATGCATACCAGATATAGAATGGATATATCTCTCGTCTTCATAATATTGAATAATTTTCTTCTTCAATGAACTAAAATTTGGAATTTTGTTATTAAGCTTTTGAACAAATAGTTGATGCTTAATCAAAGTCACCATGCAATTTAAAGCATCGTTTCTTTTGTCTTCAAAACCAAAAATTACATTTTCTAAATTAAACTCTATCTGTAAACTCTATCTGTTATATACATGATTTGCCATGCAAAAAAACAGTTAAAATTGCATGCTCAAGCACTTATACACAACATTGACTGTCATGTGATAGTTTTCAGCCAATAGGATAACCAAGTACACCATATCATTAGTATTCATCTTCATCTGTCATTTTCTGCCCTCTTTGTTTTCTTCCTCTCTCTCTCTTTCTCCATCTCTCCCCCCCCCCCCCCCTCTCTCTCTCTCTCTCCCTCTACCTGAACAGGATGTTTGTAATGACAAGTTATACGTCTACCATCGCCTCCCCAATGCTGATCCAAATCTTGTCATGGCCAAGAATCTCGACACTGGTGAATTCTGTCGGGTCGATCAGACAAAATGGTCAATGTGGTAACCATAGCAACAATAATTTGTATTTGAATATCTTTCTCATGTCATCATCTAAAAATATTTGGTAAGTTCATCATTTGACATAGCATACTTATAGTAACTGAAATAGTGTAGAACTCGTCACACAATAATTCCTTAATATACTTGTATAATATTTTAACCTGTAAAGTGGGCAAACCTCATCGTCCCTTAATGATAGTTATCAGATTTCTCATCCATTGAGAATCAATTCAGATAATGTGGAAATATGATAAATAGTTTAAACATTTTGAAATGTATTCATTCAGGTATATGGTTATATGGTTATTGCCTCAGAATAAAAATCTTGTTAATTTGCGAATTGATAGCAGGGATATTTCATTCAGATAAGATATGGCACACAACGACAATCCTACTCATGCTATTTGAGTAATTAAGGGTGAAGGCCATACAAAGAAAAGTGACATTTTTGGAACTGTTTAAATATTGAGATTAATTGCAAACAGTACCACATAATCTAGAATAGTTTTATACTTTGATCTCACCGGGATAGCAGCTGCAAAATCATGTGTGCTGTAAATAATTACATGTTTCGTGTATTTTTATAAACGCTGGTGGACTGGACTGAAATTTGATTCAGGAATTCCTATGCGACATGCCCACTTTAAGATACATATCAACCAACCCTCAGATAAAATAGACTGGCCCTCAAGCCTAAAACTTGAAAACTTCAGAAACTTCCCTGGTCCACTATACCCCTGTGCTTAACATATGGACAATGATGGTATATTAATAGTATATTATAGAGAAATAATTGTATTAGTCATTATTCACAAATGGATATATAATTAGATGATCATATTTTTGTCAATTAGAATCATTACTGCCATCTTGGAAATGCTTCCACATGTTTATGTGCCTCAGGGTAGATAATCAAAACTCCATTTGTCAGAAAAAGGTTACATCTCCACTCCAAAATAGAGTGAAATTGCCCTTACTCCTAAACCTAGGAATTGGTTTCATTTGTGGAAAAGGGTCCACTTAATGTACCTCAATGTCCCATGTTTATACACTCTTTGTGGCATTATTCCAGAACATGTTGATATTTGATATTAGAATTTGATACATCTAGAACTAATGGAGAACCTTATAAACATTTCTGTTAAGTGCAATTTCTCTTTTTAATAAAAGTGAAGAGCATCATTTTCATTCCTTGTACTTCATCTTCTTTTAAATGGTTGTTACTTTATCAAATATACATTCATAGTTTGTCAAGTGAATATTATTGTAATTGCATACACCCATTTATATGGATTGCTAACATTCTTATCGTTATATCAATTAATATAAGATTTTAGGATCACACACATGTACCGTAGTCAAGAATCACAGGTCAATTTACATGGAAATGAATGTACTTTATGTGAGTGAGTGCAGTATATACATGGCCCCTGTCTCGACCTTGTTCAAAATGAATTACTATTTTATGATCCTATTTGATTGACATGTAGAAGCCACAATTTCTTGTTCTGCTTTGCATTTAATGCAAAGGATATGTCTTTAAAGAGAAGATGCAAGGAATATTTTTGCTATCATATGTATTTGTGCATTTAATGCCTAAATTTTGAGTTAGTGAATGACTTTGAAACAATGTGGTCAGCAATTCGTTCATGTATAGTAATTTCATCTACTAGTCTTGTTAACAAATATATTTGCTCTAAGTTGATGTTATATGTTGATGGCCCATTCAGAGGTCTCTTAGGAGAATATATTTAGTACTCTCGACTACATGTATTAGGAATTCCCCTGATAATGCCCTTCGACCAAGCTATAGCCATTTCATATCTTGACATAAAGTAGTGCTTACATGCTTCCTTTTGCTATCTCTCAAATGTGTCTTGGCATAAGCATGTATGTATAAAGATTTCATATGTATTTGCCAAGGTTTCTATAACCATGTATGTATCTGGCATCGCGTACTTAAAAGCCAATTAATGGTTTTATCTGCCCTAAAAGGTTTGTCATTAGATTTCTTTCATTTTGATTTTCGTTGATAAATAGCAAAATCTATTAATTTTAAGCTCATATAAAGATTTTTTCTTCTTCAAGTGGAATATGATACTAATGAGAGGTGAAAAGTAATGTATAGCCGATACAGGACATTAGTTCTAACATGCAACCGATTTATGTAAACTTAAACAAGCTTTGCGTGCATGATGTTTAGAAACCTCTGTTAGCTTGCCGTTGAAACATTTGTAATTCCATTTTCCTATTTTCTATAAATTTCATATTATGATATAGACCTTAAGTTATAACACAAGTGAAACCCTCAATATTATATAATGCTTATTAATCATTGATGGTGATGATTTTGGTGATGATAATGATGCAATGACGACGTATATTACAGAATCATTGAATGATTTCTACATTCTGCACACAGATAAACAAGACTTTGTACTGATTTTATATATTGAAATGTGTATTTTATATACAAATTTTATTAATACGTGTTGTAAGAATTAGTTTATGAACTTTTCTTTTGTTTTTTTCAGCTTTAACTTTAACAGTATTATGAGTTGTGTATGTAGAAACCATTAGCAAGGTATAACTTTGCATGTATTATAGTCTTTCATGGATAAAATAAATCATATTCTATAGCATATTGTTTCAAACGCCTTTTGTGTTATACATGTGTTTGAAAGAGAAATTGTTGATAAAGAAAGAAGGGGTATTGACATGAAATAAAGAAAGATGGACACAGAGAGTCAGAGAGAAATATATGGATAGAGAGAGAGAGAGCAAGATAATAAGACATTGATGGAGATAAATAATGAAAACAAAAAATGAAACGGTAGGGAGGGGATAGAAAGAGTTTGGAAGTACAACATGTATAAAGGAAATTAAAAAAATAGGAAGGGATGACAACATTGAAAGGTAAAAAGATGAGAGATGGAGAAGAGACTGGAAAGATCTTGAGATGGAAGAAAGATGATAGCATTGAGATTATAAAAGAGAAATAGAGAACGACAGAGATAGAGAGAGTGTGACAGAGACAGTGAGAGAGACAGAGATATACAGAGACAGAAACAGAGAGAGGAGGCATCAGGATGGAGTGGAATGACGGATGAAATACATCTTGGTTAAACGTTTGATGGTATAGATACAGAAGCTCTGTTAATAAACGATATAAAATCGAAGGCTAATGGTGGTGTTTCCGCAAATTCGGGATACCAAATATGGTCATGGTAAAGATGAATTCCCCGGTGAGGTAGCAGTCGACACAACTACAGTGTGAGTCAAAAAAAAGTTTGCACTTATAAATGGCTAATTATTGTAAAAAATTATCTATGAACAGTAAATTATTATACATCTTATAAAAGGGTGTTTTATCCCAAATCATTTGGTATCATTTTTGTGTGGTATGTGTTCACGCTTGGATGAACAGGAGGTATTGTTTGCGAGAGTGCAAAAACCTACTTGCGCCAAAGTTGCTTAATATGTGATGTTTGGATAAAACAATTGGGATTTGTGTATTAAACCGGTCATTGCAGATCCAAATAACATCCCTAACAAAATTAATCATGCCACACGTATCAAATATCATCGAAAATTTGTGCGCGCGCGTGTGTGTGCGTGTGACTTTGCTTCTGCAAAAAGCATATGCATAGCATTTCATTTGATACATTCAATTCATTCTCTCCGTCCGCTAATCCCAACATAATACATAATGTAGGCATCACTTTGGCGCAAGTCGATTTTTGCACTCTCGCAAACAATACCTCCTGTTCATCCAAGCGTGAACACATACCACACAAAAATGATACCAAATGATTTGGGATAAAACACCCTTTCAAAAGATGTATAATAATTTACTGTTCATAGATGATTTTAAAAATAATAAGCAATTTTTTAGGTGTAAATTTTTTTTTGACTCACACGGTATAGCTTTTACATATCCGTATCCGTATAGGCCTAGCCTGAAAAGAAGTCATGTTCTAATAATAGAAATCAGGGTTTCCTGTTAAAAATACATGTATATGCAACACGCGAATAACGCTGCACGGTACATGATTGGAACAAATGGAAGAAACGGCAAACGAAAAGCCAGCATAGTAGCAGACGTTGTCGGATAAATACTAAAATAGTAAGTTTTGATTTGTATCTTACTTATATGTGGTTATTATATCTGTTATAAAGGTTGACTTTATTATGCAGATATATCTTTTTTAAAAGAAGGATTTATATAAATCTACTGTGCTTCAAGCTCTATTCCATTGCCGTTCAACGGATCCATGTAAAACCCTATGAAGGTTACGGTCGTGCATAATTACATGCATAATTATGCTCTTCACGCATTAACAAAAAAAAAAACGCGGATCAGAATCGAACATGCGCATTGGGAGAGTTATTCATGTATGTTAATATTTTAATCACTTAGCTAATTACTGCGCGCTGGTATTGGTGAATCCAATAACCTATCCCAAACCTTATCTCATTATCCTGATTATTGAATACAGCTTCGTGCTGTTGGGAAATAAATCTAGTCAAACTTGGTCAAGGTTTTTAATTTTATCAACGTTAGAGTGTATTAAAAGTTTCTTCAGAATAGCTAGATCCACAAATGTGACATGGCAATGAATAATATACAAATAATGAATGGTTATGAGTTCAATAGTGCGAATATGTTCATGAGTTGGAAGATTAACATTCTATTCAACGAGGCGTCAGCCGAGTTGAATAGAATTAACGTTAATCTTTCAACGAATGAACATATTTGCACTATTAAACGAATGAAAAACATTCATTATTTGTTTTATACAACATCGAAGAAGACCTAATAGAACGTTAATCAACAAATTATGCTTTACTCCTTATAAAGATAAATTAAAGTTCGAGTCAAGCCTTCTCGATTACATGCAGATTGCCTTCGCGTCAGATACACGCAGGGATACGCGCACATGCAGCAGAGAGGTACGCAGTCTGCATATAACCAAAATGCACGGCGCATATAACCAAAAATGCACGACCGTGCAATATCATGTGACCAACAATCGTCCAATCAAATGACAAGGATCCACGTAGGTGTTGTATACAATTGTCATGATTGCCGGTTATTTGGAGCGTTGGAATAACTCGTGTCGTACGGATATTGTTGAAGGTTGTGCGTAATAGATTTTTTGTATTTTTCTATCATAATAAGAATCACAAAGTTGACTTGTACATTTACAGGAAGTAATCTTTGAAAGGATTGACATGATCTAATTTTATCTGTATAACAAGCCCGGCCCCCCCCCCCCCCCCCACTCAGTGTTATTTAGGGAACGCGTATGCTCGTTCCCTCTTTTTGAAAGCACCCCCTATCTGAGGACTGCCAATATTTCCGAACCCCCCTTTCGCGGGCTTTTCGCGGGCTTTTCCTGCCTTGGAGACCCCCCTTAATAGGGAAAAATGCTCAATGTACCCCCCTAAATTCGGAATAATTTCTCAGGAGTCCAAAGAGATAAGAGAGAAAAAAAAAAAAAACCCTTTTTAAAGAAATCTCCGGGTGAAAAGTCAAATACACCCCTTTTTTTGCAATTCTCGGGCCGGACTTTGTCGCACGAAAAGTACCCCTTTACCGGACATTTTGGTAACACGCATGCGGTCATTCCGGCCCGGAGTGGGGGGGGGGGGGGCGGATAACAAGTTAATGCCGGCCCAAGCTTAAAAACAAATAAAAAGGATAAAGAAAAGGAAAAAGTAGGAAGGGGGTAGGGGAATGTTAGGGACAGAATCAGGGCGGGGGGGGGGGGGACACAATAGAAGCAAATTAGAATGTTTTTTCTTCTTGTTGAAAACAAATAACAAATGGGAACATTTGAAATGTATTATTCTCCCTTGTTTCGGAAGGGGGGGGGGGTGTTCGGCTAACTTTAGATTTGATTTGACCCCCCCCCCCACTCTCTCTCTTTTGAGAACCCAAACCAGTGTCATTTATACCAGCCATTTACACCAGCCAAACCCTCTCAGTTGGGCGCTAGTTCACAAGTGTGCTCACACTTTAGAACCTTACGTGACTCATGAATCTGCTTGCCCCAGGTTGAATTAGCCATGTCAAAACTTACAAAAGGCCCTAAGTAGCAAAGTTAGACCCCATCCTAAAATGAAGTCTATATGTCTACATCTAACTTAGATAAACGATTGAAAGTTGGCCTAAGCTAGAATTCATGACCCCATACCAAAACTTTGTATTAACTTTAACAAGTGTACCTTATTACGACTATAGCAACTTATTTCTGTCCCCCCCCCCCCCACAGATCATTTCAGTTGAGCGTAAGGTAAAATCCATATCAAGCAAATCGTCAGGATGGTGAAGCGCCTCATGGATATGTGTTTGGGATGCATAGCCCAGAACCTTCACATCATCAGCAACGTCGGCAAACACCTCCCCACATTGCACAAAGAGAAGATACTCCAATGGGTCGTGAATCATAATATGCTGACGACAGAATACCTTCCACATGTCACGTATCATCTCTTCTCTCCGGCACTGAGGTCCATCTCGTTCGTTGATTGTGATCAGATCACAGATAAGCTTCTCATACAGCTTGATGACTGCAAGTGCGTTCTGGAGAGTATCACGATTGACGGGTGTAAAGTGACAGGTAGGTGGTGCAGGACATTTTTTTACGTCACACCCAGTCACCAACGCCACACCAAAACTGAAGTGACTCCAAATCAAATCATAATAATTGACAAAATCTTGGCCACTTTGGGTGATGTAATTTTTCTTACAGTCTATTATCGGTCTGGTGTTGGTTTCGATGTTGAGTTTTTTAATGTGATTGATGTTTTTTGAGCTTTGAGAATATTTGTCATCATGGCTTAACTGTATACAGCGTAATGGTTATGGATCAAGATCTTTTAATTTTGTTTTTGTTTGGGGTGGGGGCCCGGAAGGGGCTCAAATATGTGTTCAATATAAGGCAACAACAACACTTGAGCTTTGTTTGTAGTCAATTTTACTGGAGGAAAAAGTCCTTCCCCACCCCTTCCCACTGATCTGCCACCATGTATTTTCCAATGCTTTTTCTCCTTCCATTGTAATGAGATTCTTAAACTTCTTAAGAGAATCCATATTATGGAGATGCGGTCAAAGTGCATATCATGAACTGCAAAAACATGATCGTCCTGGTGTATATACAATACAACTAAATGGATGTCTTATTGATTTGTTATGTTATACAGGAGACAATATTAAGACTCCATACGTTTGTTTCTATTTGCAGATATTGGTGTATCAGCCTTACTGAGCCATCAGGATGAACTGCAGACCCTGGTCTTGGAGAACATATCTGAGCTGACAGGGACAGGTTTAGAAGTCCTCAGGTCAAGGAAGTTAAAAGATGTTCACTTCTCGGGCATTCAAATTACCAACGAAAGTAAGTCGCATCATTGATGGACTTGAGTTTAGCTAGAACTTGACTGTGGTTGGAAAGGTTGCAAGTTTATGCCTGACATGATATTGATACATATTTCGCACTCTTTTGATAATTGTTCAAGCAGTAAATGGGAACCTGTTCTGATTTCTTCTTTGGAATGCACTATGCAGTAATAGTGGTTTTGTTTAGCTTAAGTGGGAGAAATAATGTAGAAAGCCCTTGGGAAATATATATAGAAATGTGTAATATCATGATATGTTATTGGCTACACATAAATGGAATATCATCTCTAAGGTGTTTATACTTGTATTTGAAAGACTTCAAAGCATTATTTAAAGGTTATTGACAAGAGAACTATTCTGAGGAGGACAGCATAATTCCATTTCCAACTGTTTAAACGAGGATATTTCTTCCAGCTAGTCATTCCTGTTCTATTTCTGTTTCGTCCACTTTATCTCCCAGGCCTAATAGCACTTGTGACAAGAAATCCAACAATATCAAGACTGGATATAGGTTGTTGCGGTAAGCTGACACATGAAGTCATCCCTGCAATAGCAGTAACACTCGCAAATGAACTTGTAAGTGTATTGATCTGTCTCGAAGAAGATGATCTATTTCAGGGCCCCGTTTCACAAAACTTGTCATAAGTGACAAATTACAGTTTTTGTTAAAAGCTACTAAAATCTTTGCTTCTGATTGGTTATCAGCAGATTTGTCACTGATTGTTGTCATTTGTCATTGAATAAAGGCTTTGTGAAACGGGTCCCTGGACAATTACCCTGAATCTTGGAATAAATGAAAGAACTTTCTTATCGAACTTGATCCTGATACAGTACATATTGGAAAATGGAAATACAATTCTTTGGTAATAGGACACCACTCGATATCAATAATTCTTAGTTCCATTTAACATCCTTTGACATGATTAATCCACTTTTGCCACTCACCACCCAGGTGTAAATGGGTTGCGATATGCCAGAGCACTAAAGGTTTGGCCACCAGCTATGACCCGGGTAATAATGTTGGAGTGCCTGCATGGTGTATCATGACGTCACGGACATGTGCGCTATATCAGAAGCCACCATTATTATTTTTATTTATTATTTTATCTACATAACTGTGTTCAATTGTTACTTATGAATTATATCTTATTTTCTTGTGGGTGATAAATATTGAATATTATGGTAATGCCAAGTTGCATCAATGAACAGTAGAGATCGATGATTATGCATTATTTTTTTAAATTTTAATTCTTTCCAGGAGAATTTAAACCTTCAAAAGATCGGCACAATAGAGAATAACGATCTGGTTGTATTATCACAACATTGCAAAAACTTAGAAGGGTAAGCATAAGATATTAGTAATTATTCAGTGGATTAATCGGTGTCTTAATATATTGAGCTGTGATAATGTTGCGTAGTAAATAAATGAACAGTCAAACTGATGATCCGTCTTAAATTCGTCCCTATTTTCACGAAGTGACGGATATGAGCGCGCAATTAAAAGAAAGTTAGTTTTGAATAAATCGCTTTCAAACTTTCAAACTATAATCTTAACCTCTTTAATGTATCAACACACAGGGAAAAAGAGGTGTATATTCACTACCTATAGGGAGTAAATGCTTGTCGCATAAGTGACACCCCTCGGGAGTAAATGTACTCCCCAATGTAGGGAGTAAATTTACACCCCACAAGAAGGTGTAAAATTTGAACCCCAAGTCTATGATTTTACTCCCTTTAAAGGTAATACAAAGTTTTGGTACGGGGTCATGAATTTGGTCCAAATAAACATAAATTGGAAGCATATGCGATCCTACAATATGCAGTGATCGTTTTCGCGGTTGAAATCGAGTCTAAAGTTATGAAATGGTAAAAAATAAACTCTTTATGTTGTATAGCTCCCTCTCAAGGTCAGGATATTAATTAAGCTATAAAACAACATTTCTTGACTAAAATCGACCGATTAGTCATTTCCGTTTGGAAATTATATATCACAACTACATATTCTGAGATTTTCATGGTCGCAGCTACCATATTAATATTGTACGGCCGTATGCGCTATTTTAAATTTATCAAAATTTACCGGGAGCACCGGGAAATTTTTATATTCAATTTGTCTCGAAAGCAGAAGTGTTTTAGGGGCTAAATTTTCTAGTGCTTATGATACATCCACAGGGGAATCTAAATATATTAAAATTGTAAAGAATCACTATCCACCCAATTTTCAAAATTTCCCAAAACTTTGTACTACCTCTAAGGAGTGAAATTTGCACCCAATGGTGCTTAATTAACACCTTTTGGTTCCATTTTCAAGAAAAATGGGTTCAAATTTAGTACACCCGTGGGGTAGAATTTTATACCATATATGATCGATTCCACACTCTGTGGGGAGTAAATCTACACCCTTCTTATGCACAGCATCAACCAATTGATCATCCCTCGAGCAATCAATCATCCATGCTTTGTAATCACCTAACAGTCACTTATTCTCACCCTTTGTCTACGTTTCACTGCTCTAAAGAAATCAGACCAGAATATGGGGTACCGGATGGCGTCATTTTTTTCTGCGGCACAGATTGGGGCTTTTAAAAAAAAAGAGGTCTTGATTTAACCCTAACCCTAACCCTAAAATTTCCCATAGGCTCAACACGCACCTAACCCCAATCTGTGCCGCAGAAAAAAAATAACGCTACCGGGTGAGGCTGGCCTGGATGGACGCATCGGATCAATTGTAGTGGAAATATCTAATACACAATCCTGACCTTCCCGAATATCTTCCCTTTAGTTCTTCTTCTTCTTCTTCGCTATAAGTACAGGCCATCGTCGGGTGTATTTTCGTACTGATGTAGGTGCTGTGCAGGTGTATATATACATGTAGTGTCTCAATAAAAGGTCTACAATGAGCTATGTGCAGTTAAAAAGACATCCGTAGCTTAACGGAGCTGGATCTTGAGTACCTCTCTCTTAAAGCTTAGCAGAGAGGTGCAGGTGACGGCGATTGGTTACTTGGTCGATTTGGTAGTTACACGTATAAGAAGGCAATAGTAAAACAACACTTCTGCTAATTTCATTAAATTATTAAATATAACCTTCGGTACAACCCCTTATTCTTGATCGGATAACTTTCACACAAATAATATGCCCAAATGAAACATGATAATTCCCCCAACATGACTACAATATATAAATATTGCTAATTTTCCTTCATTTCGCAGTACCTATATCGACAACAGAAAAATATATTGACCAATTAGAGCTCGTCTGACTGAAATAGGGTGTAAAATTACACCCTCAAATGATTTTTCTGTACACCCTTGCGTATTTCCGTGTTTTATACTCCCTAAAAAGGTGTACTAGAGGGCGCCCTAGTCTAATTTCGATTTACTCCCCAAGAACACCTTTTATTTCTCTGTGTGAAGGGCAAATAATTGTTATATCCTGGGATAGAACATATCTCAATGTTTAGTTCTATGTTTAATTATTTCCATATTTTTTTATATTACGGGGGGAAATGAGCTGTAAACATAACCGTCACTTCGTGAAAACACGAAATTCAAGGACGCGCTGTTATTTTGTTTTCACGAAGTGATGGCTCATAGCCGCGCGCGTAAAACATACGGGGTTTTTCTCTCGTGGATGGAATTCCCGAAATGGACACTAAATACGGCAAAACGTTATGTTTAATTGATGTGCAGATAAAATAACTCGAAATACGAAATAGAGTACATTTTCCTCTTTCTGGCTGCTTGTTTATTCCTCTGTTTGCACTTTTAACACAACCGTCATTTCGTGAAAACACAAATTACATAGAACGCTTTGATTTTCTTTTCACGAAGTGATGGCTCGTATCCGGGCGCGTATAAAACATATGGGAATTGTTATTGTGTGAAACACGATACTCAACAATGGCAGTAGTGTAGTATAATACATGTACAAGTAGGCCTAGTATAGTAGTAGAGGTATCATTCTGATCCTTATTATCCTGATTATCTCTTGCAATACGTCCGGACGATAAATTCAAATGAATGACAATTGACAATTTGTCATGAATCATTGTCTTTAAGCTTACCATTAAATGCATCTGGCTAGAATTTTGCTTAGGTATTTGGTACTGCATGGATGTTTTAAATGGTAAAAATGAACTTGTGTTCTATTCATTCTATTCTTATTCATTTGCATTATGTTTTATTCATTCAAGTTCTAATGTGTATGACTGTTTCCAAGACAATATCTTTTTTTCTCTATCATAGTTCTATGTAGCTTGATATCTCACGGCAAATTTTGAGAGAAAAGCAATCCAAGCAACAAGTTCGCCTTTGCTGCTCTTTAATAATACTTGGCAAGCAGTATTAATTAATTTTTCAAGGACTTATGATAAATTCGTTTAACAGTTGATTGCACTCGGTTGATTCTTTTGTTCGGATTATTTGGCGGGGAGAGATAGAAGTGAACGGTACGCTTAACGACGTTGTATCATTATTCTTATTTGTTCATCGTCGCTATGATGCTCTTTGAATACAAAACAGCTTTTATTGTTAGGCTTCCTGAAAGAAATTTCAATTGTTGTTAAGAATTTTTTGGTTGCACTCTGTAGATTATGATGATGTGTTTGCATGATCTTGTTTTCAATAACAAGATCAAACACATGATGAAAATCTATTGGGTGCATGCCAATAGGTTTTTACAACAATAAACATAAATGAGGTGCTAATCGATGCGGCGTACACATGGCAATCACATGGTAGATAACATTGTGATCATCAGTACTGAGTCTAATAAATGTATGAGAACTGAATTTGAACCCATGCAGCCATATGCTACCCCTCTCGTTCTCTCTCTCTCCCTCTCTATCGCCTTACTTTTTCCTCTCCCTCCCTGTGCATTTGTATGCCTCGATAATACAGAAAATAAACAATAAGATTCTTATTATTAGTATTCTTACTACTTCCTAGTATATGTAGTAGGGGCCCGGCCCCCCCCCCCCCCTTGAGAAAAAAAAATCATGTAAAATCACGTGATTTTTACATTTTTGGGGGGTTGCCCCCCCCCCCTGGCGCTCAAGGGGGGGGGGGGTGCAAATTTAAAAAATTTCGAGGACCAAAAAAAAAAAAAATGTGCTCACTACCCCCAAATACAAGATACAATATGAGAATTCATGGAACTGAAATCCAAAAGTCTAATACGCATTACTGATTTCTAAAAACGAGGTAGGTATACCTGATAAATAGCTGTTCTGAGCTAAACATGTGAATATCAAAGATTTATGTTTGCAGAAGTTCATTACAATACTGTAACAGAAAACTGACACAGGTACGACCATTCAGTTCATTGTTTTAGAAATCATGGACAATGTTACCAGTTCACTTTAAATCAATTCCTCGATTTTATAATCAATCCATTTCATTGCGATAATTACTTAATTCTACACACAATTAAAATTATGAGTGGAGTTTTCTATATGATATTCGAAATGTTTACAATTAAACAGTATAAAAGAAAGATTGAGGTATTGAAATATTGAAGCATTGCCACAACGATCAATATGATTGATTCTAGTTTCTAAAGCATGCTCTTCAACAAAAGTTCTTCAATTTTCTTCACACGTATGTCATCCGAGCGATAGTGGTTGAAGCAGCGAAGATCCTTGATCTGGACTGCTTGAAATCAAAAGGAAATAAGAGAAAGAAAAATCATAATAAAAAAATTCCAAGTCAAAATCAATAGAAAATCATTATCAGAATGTCAATTATGAAAGGGAACTTTACAGTGTTTTATATTTATGACTAGGTGAAATTATTTTGTGTAGTTTTGGTACCAACCTTTAGAGAGGCTCTTACATTTAGATACTTTAATTAGTATAACCTTAGTATTAGCAATTTTTGTTAAGGATTAACAAAAATATGAGATGCTGACCTCGATAGGACCACTCATTCCCTTAAACTGAGAGACCTAAACATTAAAAACAATTAATTAGGAATATCTCAAATTTCAACTATTTGGAAACGATCAAGAAGGGAAGAATATACCTTTTGACTTGTTCACAAGCCATCTGAACTAATTTGATGTCACCATGCCAAGTCACATCTGCAGCTCTGACTGTATTCAGTGAATTGTTTCAACAATTCCATACCGCTCCCACTTTGAGATCACCGTGCCAAGTCACATCTGCAGCTCTGTGTTCAGTGAATTATCAAGGACCCATCTAACTAGCATGTCGGTCCCTGTATCCAATCTAATTTTGTAGAATAAAAGAAATAATTACAGTACAAGTTATTTTCCTTTTTTTTTTAGGTAAAGAAATACATCTAATATTATCTTTTGTACATTAAATTAATCACTAGGCATAACTGACCCCAAACAGACGTTTTCAATTGCCCCTACCAAACAACTACCACCTTTAATGCACATATGCAGTGAGTGTGCTTGGTACTTGTCATACAAGATGATCAAGTTTTGACTCTATACACTCTATTTACAACAAATATTCCAATTTTGGTTCATAGAAGTTTTAGCTGAAAATATTATATACCAAATTGGTATTTAATTTTGGCGAAGGCTATACATGTACATGACCATTCAATGGTCATGTACATATAAAGCCTTCGCCAAAATTAGAAACACGTTCCTGTCCAGCTTTGTACTATGTCTGCTATAAAGTGCATTACATATTCCATATCTATATTTCCCCGTTAATATTTAATTGCTTATGTAGCCATCATATATAATAGCAGTGTATTTCAAAGATTTGTATCGATCGCAAGTTCGGTAGTGAGCGCAAATCAATGGATGGCATTATACAGACCGGTCATGATTAATCATAACTCTCTATATGCTGCTAATGTGTGATTTTCTTTCACAGACCATGAAAACTATTCTCATCTGGATTTGTATCTGGCCTGCGGCATTGTTGAAAAGTAGATGTACCAGTCCTAGTGCTTCCTTAATATAAGCACAAATTGTATCTACTGCATCTGAAACTAAGGGAAAGCAACAACATCATCATAATCATTACCACTGAAGTGTAGGTTATTCCTGGAGATTCTCCTGTGCAATGTTGTGACATATCATCTGGTATGGTGCTTGCTTGGAAAATTCTTTAAAACACGGAGTGGAGTTGGGCAACATTTGCTGGTATCATGAACAATTGTTAAAAAGAATTATTTTATAGGGTGAGGGACCAAGGATACTAAAGTGCTGCCTTTAAAACACACCTTGAGTACAGACAATGGAAGAATGATAAGCTAAACGTGTGTGCATTGTTCCCCAACTGGTAGACTACTCATGAGATTACTTCAGTCTCCAATCAAAAGTATCCCATTTCCGGATGGTGCCATTTAGTCATTTTCAGGTACTGAGGACCTAATAGACTATTTGATTTTTTAAATAACTGTTCATTCCAGTCCCTTTTTGCTTGGAAGGCAACTCAGTGAATTCCCTATCAGTTAAACAGGAGGGTCTACATATCCCATGCCATCTCACCTCAGCATGATGATAATTTTCATAACTCCCCTTGCCCAGGCGCGTAGCCAGGGGGGGGGGGGGGGGCCACGGTTGAAATTTTTTAGACCCCCCCTTTTTTTTTACCTCGATCGATTACATGTATGTGCCCCCCCCCCCCCAAACATCAAACTCTGGCTACGTGCCTGCCCTTGCCCATGTTGGCCTTGGACCTGGAGCCCTGAAGCTGCTTACACCCCAAGCACACCTTTACAAGTAAAGTCACAGTGACTCAGTTTTGTTTAGATCCTGATCTACTCACCTCTAGATTACTGACTAGTGGCTGACATAAATTGATAATCATGAAATGATGATCTAGAGTTATAGACTCTAAATAAAATGTATAATTAGCTACACTACTAATACTAAAATTACAAGTAAAACTAAAACTAAAACAAAAGTGGGGTCTAAACTAGTCTAAGTCTACCTTTTGTTAAAAGTAAAACTTCGTTCTTATTCTTAACTTAAGCAGATGTAAAAAAAACAAAAAAAAAACAAACATATTAAATCAATATTTGATGTGAAATGCGATAAGAAAGACCCTCCACTTAAGGTATTTAGTCTAGATGTATGTTTTTTCAGACATGATTTGGTCGTTTTAGTTTTGCATCACATACTTCACTCCTTTATTCACTTACATGAAAATAAGTATATGGGGCGATGTGTGGAACGGCGGTGCATTTTGTATACATTTCTGCGCTCATGGACATATTTATTATTGCTTACAAAGAATCAGAATGACTCAAAAGAGTGTATCATATTACTTTACCCCAAAAAAACTATAATAAACTCACCTTTTCATAGTCTGTCACTGTTCCAAATTGCGAAATTTTCACTCCCGTCGTGAAACAAATAAAAGCAGAAAAAGAGCGGACGAGAATTTCACAAGCAGTTACACTGTCATCCAAACACGCCAAAAAATGCCAAACCGGAGCCTGGCCGCGATGTTACCAAGGGCAACTACGCTTTACCGGCAGACATGCCAAGCCCCAAACATTCCAAAACGAAGTGTGATCTTTTGGCGTGTTTTGGCGTGTTTTGGCGTGTTTGGCAAGTATAACCGCTCGCAGTTGTAACATCGCGATGTTAGGCACGTGACTTCCGGCACTTCCGGATTGTTACCCGCGCTCTTTTAAACCACGTTCTTCCCGTGTGATATTTATAGCATTTCCATCGTCGCGCGTGTTATCCGTTCATTCAGCTCCGTTTGTTCCAATTCCGTTAACTAATCCTTTATCAGGTGGGCTGTATAACGTACAGACCACCTTATAATTTCGTTAGAATTGCCTTTATTTATTTATTATCAGGTGGGCTGTATAACGTACAGACCACCTTATAATTTCGTTAGAATTGCCTTTATTTATCAGGTGGGCTGTATAACGTACAGACCACCTTATAATTTCGTTAGAATTGCCTTTATTTATTTATTATTATCAGGTGGGCTGTATAACGTACAGACCACCTTATAATTTCGTTAGAATTGCCTTTATTTATTTATCAGGTGGGCTGTATCTAATACAGACCACCTTATAATTTTGTTAAAATTGCCTTTATTATTATTTATTAGGTGGTCTGTCAACGACAGATCACCTATTGTTTTCGTCAGAATTTTCTTTCTTTATTATTATTATTATTATTTATTTTTATTTATTTTCACACTTTTTTGTTAACAGGATAACTCAAGATCAGTTTAGTCAATTTCGTTCAATTTTGGCACAGTCATAGGTCATTGTCATGAGACATTAGAGTAACATTTTCAAGGTCATCAAAATTTCATGACGTCATCCAGGCGCCATTTTGTGTTTTTTTGGTACTTTTTACTCATGATCATATCTTCTTAACGGAAAAGCATTTCTCATTCATATTTATCATGATTAAGGTCAATATCCGTCCGGTCAACTTCAGGTCAAAAAACGCGCGCGCACGCGTATGTCCGCGCGTCAGCGCGCGCGCAAAAAATAAAAATGCTTCAAATCGTTTAAAATTAATTTTGCATACGTTTCAGGCCATTTTAAGCGTTTTGCAAAAAAAAATCGCACGCGCGTGCGCGCGCGTTTTCGCGCGTACTGGTATTTGCCAACATAAAATCGCAAAGTTTTCTCTGTCATCATATTTAGCACATTTTTCCAAGCATTTCTATACCTTGTTCACCTTTTTCTGCCCATTAATAACGGAATGAGCGTCCGTTTAAGATAATGTCCGTGCGTGCGAGCTCTTGTAATACATAGCATACATGGGCAAAAACATGCCTATACAAAATCCATTGTATCGCTTTAGGATGGAAGATGAACCAAATTTTGTTTTCATATGTTGATAGAGTATGAATTGGAGATATGATTTCATGTCTCATTTGACCCTCAATTGACTCATGACGTCATCATAATGGCCTCCGAACTCAAAATTTCAATTTTCATATTATGACGTCAGCAGATTTTTGGAAAATTGATTGTATCTCTGTAAATATTGATCAATTTTGTTTCAAATTTTGATATGTTCTACCTGAGAATATTCTCTACAAATACAGTCACCACGAATTTTCATTTGGACAATGGTATTATGGCGTATTTTTGCGATTAAAGGAGGCATGTCAATTTTTTACATTTTGCGTGTATTCTCTATGGGACATGACTTTTTCTCAAAACTGGATTCTACATTCTCGTCTTTTGCGAGCAATATCTCCGTCGTTGTATCTTTGTTTACGCTGAGCTTTGAGTATGTTGTAGCTGAGACAATAAGCTATCACAAGTGTGCCCTTTATTTTTCGATCAGATGCCGGGATCATGCTCATATTTCACTTACAAAGTGGGATTTGAGAATTCAGTTTTCCGTTTACGTGTAATCTCTATTGGAAATGTTTTGGTATATCGGTATAAACGCACTTGACTTCCGACCTCGAGGTCCCTGGTTCGAGTCCGGGCGTTTCCAACAATTTTTTTTCTTCACTTTTTTTTCTTTTTGACCTTTCACTGTACCATCTCCTTTGAATATTAAAACACGTACAATCGCAAATAATGTAATAAACAACCATATTTACTTTAATATTACCCTATTATCACTTGATCCATTACTTTTGGCGTGTAATCCTTATGGGAAATGACTTTTTCTCAAATCTGGATTCTACATTCTTGTCTTTTGCGAGCAATATCGCCGTTATTTCGGCTTGATTTTTGTTGATTTTGGAGTATGTTGTAGCTGAGACTATATACTATCTAAATGTTCTCTCATTTTTTTCAGTCTGATGTCATCATGGTCTGTTGATGATGATCATCAACATCATCATGATTGTGATGTTCATCATCATCGTCATCACCATTACTATAAAGATCATCATCATCATGATCATCATTAAGATCATCATTGTTTACATGTCTATATAACTTGAAGGCAGACCACCTTATTCGTCCTCGTGACGAATTAAAATCTAGTTATTATTATTATTATTATTTATTTTTATTTATTTTCACACTTTTTTGTTAACAGGATAACTCAAGATCAGTTTAGTCAATTTCGTTCAGTTTTGGCACAGTCATAGGTCATTGTCATGAGACGTTAGAGTAACATTTTCAAGGTCATCAAGTTTTCATGACGTCATCCAGGCGCCATTTTGTGTTTTTGTTGGTACTTTTTACTCATGATCATATCTTCATAACGGAAAGGCATTTCTCATTCATATTTATCACGATTAAGGTCAATATCCGTCCGGTCAATTTCAGGTCAGAAAACGCGCGCGCATGCGTACGTCCGCGCGTCACCGCGCGCGCAAAAAATAAAAATGCTCCAAATCGTCTCAAATTAATTTTGCATACGTTTCAGGCCATTTCAAGCATTTTGCAAAAAAACGCGCACACGCGGATGGGCGCGCGTTTTCGCGCGTACTGATATTTTGGAACATAGAATCGCTGAATTTTTTCTGTCATCATGTTTGACACATTTTTCCAAGCATTTTGATACCTTGTTCACCTTTTTCTGACCAGTAATAACGGAATGAGCGTCCGTTTAAGATAATGTCCGTGCGTGCGAGCTCTTGTAATACATAGCATACATGGGCAAAAACATGCCTATACAAAATCCATTGTAGCGCTTTAGGATGCAAAGTGAACCCAATTTTTTTCTCCATATTTTGATAGAGTATGAATTGGAAATATGATTTCATGTCTCATTTGACCCTCAATTAACTCATGACGTCATCATAATGGCCTCCCAACTCAAAATTTCAATTTGCATATTATGACGTCAGTATTTTTCTGGAAAATTGACTGTATCTCTGTAAATATTGATTGATTTTCTTCCAAATTTTGATATGATCTAGCTGAGACAATTTTCTACAAATGCAGTTGCCACAATATTTCATTTTGACAAAGGCATCACGGCGTATTTTTGCGATTAAAGGAGGCATGTCAATTTTTCACATTTTGCGTGTATTCTCTATGGGACATGACTTTTTCTCAAAACTGGATTCTACATCCTGTCTTTTGCGAGCAATATCTCCGTCGTTTTAGCTTTGTTTACGCTGAACTTTGAGTATGTTGTAGCTGAGACAATAAGCTATCACAAGTGTGCCCTTTATTGTTCGATCAAATGCCGGGATCATGCTCATATTTCAATTACAAAGTGGGATTTGTGCATTCCATTTTCCGTTTACGTGTAATCTCTATGGGAAATGTTTTGGTATATCGGTAACGCACTTGACTTCCGACCTCGAGGTCCCTGGTTCGAGTCCGGGCGTCTCCAACAATTTTTTTTTCTTCACTTTTTTTTCTTTTTGACCATTCACTCTACCATCTCCTTTGAATATTAAAACACGTACAATCGCAAATAATGTAATAAACAACCATATTTACTTTATTATTACCCTATTATCACTAGATCCATTACTTTTTGCGTGTAATCCTTATGGGAGATGACTTTTTCTCAAATCTGGATTCTACATTCTTGTCTTTTGCGAGCAATATCGCCGTTATTTCGGCTTGATTTTTGTTGATTTTTGAGTATGTTGTAGCTGAGACTATATACTATCTAAATGTTCTCTCATTTTTTTCAGTCTGATGTCATCGTGGTCTGTTAATGATAATCATCAACATCATCATGATCATCATCATCATCATCGTCATCCCCATTACTATCAAGATCATCATCATCATCATAATCATCATTGTTTACATGTCTATATAACTTCTCCCTTTCTCAATATAGTAAATATTATAATACATCATAAGACTTGAAGACAGACCACCTAATTCGTCCCCATGACGAATTAAATTTCTAGTTATTATTATTTATTTATTTTTCTTATTTCGACCCACTTTTTTGTTAGCAAGATAACTTTGAAATGGTTCAATCAAATGCTTTGAAATTTGGCACACATATGTATAGGCATATAGAAAAATCAAAATAATCTTTTCAACCTTGACCTTGACTGATGACGTCATCTAGGCGCCATTTTGTAAAAATTAACTCATGATCATATCTTCATAAAGGAAAGTCATTTCTCATTCATATTTATCATGATCAAGGTCAATATCTGTCCGGTTAATTTCATGTCCTAAAACGCGCGCGTGCGCGTACGTCCGCGCGTCAATGCGCGCGCAAAATTTTTAAATGTTCAAAATCATCTCAAATTTATTTTGCATACGTTTTAGGTCATTTTAAGCATTTATTAAAAAATCGCGCACAAGTGCATGCGCGCGCGTTTTCGCGCGTAACACCATTACAAAACATATAATCGCCATTTTTTTTCTTTTATGATATTTCTCATATTTTTTCGAGGAATTTGATACCATGTTTATCTCTTTATGACCATTAATAACAAGATGAGCGTAATTCAAGATAAATGACCGTGCGCGCGAGCTCTTTTAATACATAGCATATATGGGCAAAAACATCCTATACAAAATCC